ACTAGCAGAGGGAGGTACCTCCATTTTAATGTACAACTACTCATTTTAGTGTACGCTTATTCCTATTTCAACTAGAGACAGGAGAGGGGGTGTCGTACTAGAATCGAGCTCCCGAGAAAATTCTCAATCTCGATAACCGAGACTTTCGATTGAGATCACGTCTCGGTCCGGTCTCTAATTTCAACACTCAAGGGCGTACAATATAGCGAGAGTCTGAGCCAATATGATGGCTACAAGTATGTCCAACCTTCTAATTAGGGCCAACCACCATTAGAAAAAAGGTACACTAAACTAGGATTTATTAAGATTTTATATTTTTGTTCTCATCAAAAAATAAAGTTTAAAAGCTTTTAAATTATTCATAAAAATATGTTTTGAACAAAGAAAAATTTTAAAAATAAAAAAGAAAATGATCACATCGTTTAGACTTGGGTTTAGGTTGTGCTAGCTACCTATTAAATACTAGCAATAATACACCTTTGTTCAATATATAAGAGGATTATGATGAAGGAAAATAATGTAAAGGAGGAAATATTTTTGAAAAAAGTTTAAGAGAAATTGTAAAGGATTTAAAAGAAATTTGAGAAGAAGGATGTTAAAATAAGGTCGAAATCTTAATATCCCCCCACTATCCCAATACCCCAGTATTCTAAAATGAGTAGTAAAAAAAAGTGGAGATATTGAATGGACACAATCCTCGCCCTCCTAAAAATGGTCAACCAAAGAACCCACTAAATTACCCTCTATTTAAGAGACACTCATTAAAATTCAATTAGTCGCTGGTTACCCTCTATTTAAGATACCCTCACTACTAGATACTCTCTCACCTTAAAATGCGCCTCTATTTAAGGGACGCTCATTAAAATTCAATTGGCCACTGGATGGCCGAACCGACTAGGCGATACCCTCTATTTAAGAGACACCATTATAGAATACACTTCTTTATAAGGTACGATTTATAGTCGAGATCTGGACAGGTTACATACGAGCATATAAATTAAGGCTGGAAGGGTCCCCCTTTAAAAAAATTTTTTAACCCAAACATAAATCATTTTTCAATGGTTAATTAATTGTAAAAAAAATTCTTTTTCAAACAAATTAGTAGTTAAATGAAGATAAATTTGAAAGAAATAAATTCTTAAAAGACACACAAAACTTTACGATGATTGAGTGAGTGCTGTAAATTATGAGGGGAGGAAAATAAATAATGATGATGATCTCCTTCCTTTCTTCTCCCTCTTTTTCCTCTTCCCGGAAGCATTTGCTTTTTCCCTCTTTTTAAAAAGTGTCATCCGAAGCTGTCAGCTGTCTGTTTATTTTATTCACTTTTTAAAGTTCTCTCGAGAAGCTTTTCCATATTTCACCAATACGACATTTTGCCAATAAGGGGAAAAACCTCATTTTGCCAATAAGGCTTGTTGGCAAAATGTGTGTTTTTGGCCTTATTGGCAAAATGTCGTATTGGCGAAATATGGAAAAGAGAGAAAACTTTTTTAAAATCCCCTCAGGGTCTGTGGGAGGGGAAAAATATTTTTTTTATTATCCGCGGGGACAAAAAATTGCATTTGCAAGCCGCCGGGAGTTAAAAGCAAACTAAAAGCGGTGGCTTCTGGCAATGACATTTTGGGCATTTTTAGTTGACAAAAATAAATAAACAGTTTTTTGGGGTGGTCAAAAGAGGAAAATGAAATTAGTTGAAAAGTTTGTATAAAAGAGATCAAAAATAAACTTTTTTAAAAACTTCGGCATTTTCTTTTAAATAAAAAAGCGACATTTGCGAACCGACATTTGCGGACAAAACTGGAATCTATTGAAATTGGAACAAATGACCAATGGGTCTTGTTCGGTACCATAGACTATGCTTAAATTATTATTTTGGTGGTACAGTTTTGTGTTACAGTAATTTTCAGGGATGGGACATGTTGGGAAAATCCTATCTAAATCGGGTCAGATTTTCTTTTTCTTGTGATCAGTTTCGAGTTCCGAATTGAAAAAAAGTTCGGATTTCGGATAACGGGTAGTGGGGAAACCATCACATCCCTGATTTATACAAGCCGTAGAACAGAAAAGTCTATGAGTATTGGCAAATGTCGGTGTTCGCAAATGTCGCTATCTAGGAAATAAATAAATTAAAAAAGGGAGGAAGAGTTGCAAAAAAATAAGTAAATGAATAGGAAAAGAATAAAATATACTCTCTCAATAATTTAGTAAAAACAAATTTTTAGGTAGAACAACAAAACAACACAAAAAGTCAAAATAATATAAGTAAAGTATATTTGTTTGTGTTCATTGACAAAAGGTAGAAAAAAAAAGAATGAAGAGGAGGGGGGAGTTTGTATAAAGTAATTATTGTTTGCCATCTCTTAGAGGGGAAAAGAATGTTTTTAAAGAGTAAAGAATGGAAGGAATTTTTGATGGCAATTTTTGTGTTATATTTAGTATGGTGTGAATTAAAAAATAGATAAAGAAAATCTGAAAGATAAACATTAGATAGAGGGTCTGACCTCATTTTAAGATACCCCCCCCCCCCTTCCCCCATTAAGTCTTAAAAATAGTCTCTTATAATGAGGTGTATCTTAAATAGAGGGTATAACCTGAGAAACACCCTGTGGTCAATTTAATTTTAAAGAGCGTACCTTAAATAGAGGTGTATATTGTGGTGGGGGTATCTTGTAGGTCGTACCTCACTATAAGATACCCTCAATATTAGATACACCTCTATTTAAGGAACACCTTTGAAAATGATACCCGCATTAAGTTTTAAAAATAGTCTCTTATAATGAGGTGTATATTAAAAAGAGGGCATCGCTTGGGAAACTAAACCCTTTGGTCAACCTAATTTAAAAAGCGTACCTTAAATAGAGGTGATGTTCGTGAGTTAAAAAAAGCCGAGAGTCGAGACCAAGAATAAACCCCGAGACCGAGACTCAGACCGAGAGTCGAGATAAGAGGGATATCACTTACAAATTAATGCCCTCCTAATCCCCCAAAATCCTTTGAATCCCCAAATCCAGTATTGGGAATCTCATTATAAGAGACACTCAGCATAAGATACCCTTAATATTAGATACACCTCTATCTAATCAACACCCCTTCTAAAATTTGGTTAGCTGCTTGGTGGAGGAGCTTCGAAACGATATTCTCTATTTAAGATACACCTCAATATAAGGTAGGATTTTTTCCAACCTCAAGGGGGTATTTAAAATGAGGTTAGATTGTATGGGGATTATTAAAATAAATATATAAAGGTATATTATTTTACCAATTTTTACAAAAAATCCAGCAGTTAAAAGCCTCTAAAAAAAGAGAAAAGCTTTTTTCTGCCTGAAATTTGAGTAAAAAATATATATAAATCCTTTATTTTAAAATCGGTAGAGGATTTGTAGGGAAAGAAGGAAATTTGATCTTTATTTTGGACTTTTAAGGGGTATTATTAGTTAAAAAAAGTTTTTTTAATTTTTAAATAGCCCTAAAATTTAAAAAAAAATAAAAAAAATTTTTTTGAATATTTTACCCAAAAAATTTTTTATTTTGTAATAAAAAATTTTATATTGGATGGTGAAAAAAAATAAAAATGCTAACGAGAAAAAGTTGGTTAGTTTTTAAAGCCAATTGTTCATTTTATTTTTAAAATTAATTATACATATAATATTATTTATAGAGTATATATTGAGTAATAAATAAATAAAAAATAAACTTGGAAATAAAATAGAACAAATAAAATTAAAAAGAAAATAAACTTAGAAAACAAATAAACTTTAAAATAAACCTTAAAAATAATAAACCTTAAAATAAACTTAAAAAATAAAACTTGAAATAAAACCTAACAATAAGAAATAAAATAAACTTGAAATTAAAATAAACTTGTAAAAATAAACCTTAAAATAAACTTAGAAAACAAATAAACTTAAAAATAAAAACTTAAAATAGGTAAAACCTTAAAATAAAAAATAAACTTGGAATGAGAGAAAAAAATGAACCTAAAATTAATTAATAAAAAAGCTTAAACTTTAAAAATAAACTTGATATATTAAAATACAAAGTTTTAAATAAAATAACTCTAAAACTTTTTTATTTTTAGTGTATTAATGTTTGCACTAAAAAATTAAACTTATATACGTACTAGATACTAATTGAAAATGACATGTACTACCAAATATAAGAGAGTTTTTCAAGGACTTTAATAAAAAAAGGTTATATATTTTTTTCAATTAAATATATAATATTTTATGGATGATTGAACAAAAAAATATTTTTTTCCTTAATAATAATTAATTTTTATTAATTAAAAAAAAAATCAAAATTCCATTTTTTATTTAAATAAAGCTCAAAAATAAATATAACAATAAAATGGATATGTTGTACTTTTTTTTGTTTATTGAGCACTCGGTTGGAGAGAAAAAAAAGAAAAAAATTGGGCAAGCTAATTATATTAAAATTAAGTGATTTAATTAGGATATATTTATAGAGTTGTTCTTTCTATTTTTATAAAAAAATTCTTTTAAAAAATTTTTTTAAACCCAAAAATTAAAGAAATTATTTTGATACCCAAAAATTAAAGAAGAAACAACTCTAAATTTAAGTAAAATATTTTTGGGGGAAAAAGAAGAAAAAATTTTTTTAATTAATTAAAGGATGAATGCGACACTTGAGGGACACGACAAAATTTTGTAAAAAGTTTTACTATTAGAAAGTATTTAAAAAATTTTCTTTGGATTTTTGGTTTTTAAAAACAAAACAAAATTTTCGACAACAAAAATTAAAAAAAAATTAAAAAAATTATTTTCCAAATCAAAAAATTCAAAAAAAAAATTTTAAATTTTTTATCTTTTTTCTGATTTTTCTAGCAAAATTTTTCCGAAAAATTTTTAAAAATTCAAAAATTTTTTTGAATTTTCCAAACACGAAAATTCAGAGAAAATTTTTTTGTAATATTTTAATTTTCAACCTTTTGTCCCCAAATATCGTGTCTCACTCCGAATTAAGGCATATTTCAAGTACTAAACCCGAGTATTTTCAGAAATAATATTAACTTCCACAACACTATTACTACTCTTCTTACCAACATCCTTCTTCTTCATTTCTCTAGCAGAAAAAAAGAAATTTCTATGAAAAAATACAGATAAAATAGCGATAGCTGCACCAACACAAAAACCAACAGCAACGTCGGATGCTGAAAAAAAAATTTTCAAAAAATTTTCAGAAAATTTAAAAATTATCATACGATGATGTTTATGATCAAAAACTCGGGAAACAGCAACAAAACTTCCAAGCGAAATAATTATTGAATATAAAACAATTAAAAGAGGAAGAATTGGAGCAGCAAAAGAACCAAAACTTTTTGAGAAAACACGAATGTGTGTATACAACTAAAAAATTTTAAAAATATTAAAATAAGAATGAGAACATTTTCTGATCCTGTATCGAAGAGCCCCTTTATTTGGAGAAAATTTTTTGAAAAGCAGGATTCACTTCATTCATTTACAAGGCAGAACGGTACGTCACCCCTCGGAAGGGCCGAATTTCGCCTATGCAAGAGGGGAAGTGGCATAGGATAAGACGACGTTATGAAAATGGGAAGAGGAGGAGGAGGTGCTAGAGTGAAATCTCTTTTACGTCACCCCCTGAATTAGCCTAATTTTGCCTATGTAAAAGGAGAGGTGAGGTAGGATGGGAAGATGCTAAGGATGACCATTGTACCCACTCCCAAATATCACAACTAGAAACCCAAACCACTCAAAACCCCAAAAAAAACTCTAAAAACAAACGATAATAAACACAGCAAAATAAATAGAAAGAGCAGAATGTCCAGAATAAAAACTACATCTCCCATCCACAATTCTTGGATTATTCATATCATTTGTTTTGTTACATTTAAATAAATCGCCAGGAAAAAAATAATTTGAATTATTAATTAAGCAATCCTTTGCATTGGTCACGTTGGTATATGGCTGACACATTGCAATAAAATTTGGACGGAGACGGCCAACAGAAATTTTAATAACATTGAATAACAAAAAATTGATTCCGGCGCCTAACATCCAAACAGCTAAAAAAATTAAATTCAGATCAGGGATGCCACGGGAAGTTAAAAAGTCGGGAAGATTTTCCTCGGATCGAGTTCCGATTCGAAAAAAGTCAGGGGGTAGAATTTCAGGTAACCCGTGACATCAATGATTATACTCCATTATAAGGTGCACCACTTAGACAGGAAATCATAATATCCTACAATGTGTATCTTGAATAGAGGATATCAGCTAGATAGTTATCCTCCACTTATATGCCCCAAATTTTATGAGTACCCTAAATTGAGGTTCTAGGCATCTTATCAACCTCAAATCATGAGGTAACACCCCAACTTAAGAAACGCTTTTAAAAATTTGGTTGGAAAGGGAGGGGAAGTTTCCTAATTCTTCTTTTGAACTGACCACCCTATTTAAGATAACCCTCCTTTTTTCACTCCCACGGGATATCCTACAACGGGGTTCGATTATAAAAATAATTTTAATTAAAAAAATCAAACTTGTAAATCCTCCAAATTGTAACAATTTCCACAATAAAACGTCCAAATTCCAAAATTCAGGATTGGTCGGATCCCTCGGCTTATTAATAAAAAATTCGCCAACAAATACCTTTAAAGGATTTAAATTTAATTTAAAAAATTCAAAAAAAACCAAAACAGCCAGAATTGCAATAGAAACATAAAAAATAGTATTTGTCTCAACAGTTGAATCGCGATAAGGAAATCGAATAGAAAAATCCTGGCAAAAGAATCCACGAAGAGTTATTGGAAAAAATCGTCTCAAGTGATAGCCAACAATACCTAAAGGACAAAATATAAATGTTTAAAACGGTGAGGGGGCCGGCTAATCTGAAAGGTCACCTACCGGCATCAGGGGTTTTTCTTCTTTTGAACTGGCCGGCCGGGTTTTACATGCTAACAGAAAACCGCCGACAGATTAGATTTTATCGAAATACTCGAGTTCCAAGCTGCAGAGACCGAATGACCAGGTCACGGCCCTGGTTTGGACTTTACACAGCAAGGATGAAAAAAATCGAATTAGGATTTAGGGTCAGGTTTTCAAAATTTTTCTACGGATCGGGTTTAGAGTTAAGAAAAAGCGTGGTGAAGTCTTGGTTAAAATAAGGGAAGTTGGAGGGAAGAAAACAAGGAAAGAAAACAAGGGAATAGAGAAGAGATAGGGAAAAGGGGCCCATAAATGTTAGCAATTAAAAAATAAATTTAAAAAAATTTTAATTTCAGAGTGATTCATAAAAAGGAAAACCTCTCTCTCGTTTCAAAATTTTTTTTTAATGACTCACCCCCTTTTTTCATCAATATTTTAATAAAAAATGCTTACCAACTAGAATAGAAACAATAAGCCTAATTAGAATATCAAACAAAGAAAATTCAGTTGCTGTTGGTTTAGCTACCGCCACATCTTTGTTGTTTTCCATTTTAATTTTTGTAATTCCAGAACTATTTTCTTTTAGAGATATATCCATATTTTGAAGCTTTATGTACAACAATTAAATATCACAATAAAATATACCCTTAAAAATTTAAAAATTTAATTAAGAAAAAGCAAAGTGACAATAAAACGAAAGCACAAAAATCAGAAAAAAAATCTCAATCAAATTAATCAAATAACACCATTATTATAATAAAATGGCTATATGACCTTTTGTCTTTGGACTTTTCGAATATAGGCTTTACGTCACTAAAATTTAAGTCTTTTTGCCAATAGACACTTTGCTAATAGAAACTTCGCCATTAATGACATTTAGACAACGGTCACTTCGCCAATAGAATACTTCATCAACGAACTTTCGATACTCAATTAGCCGATCGGGGCATTAGAGTATAATGCCTTTTTTTCCATTGACGAAAAATCCGCTGTCGTAATGTCGCGACAAATTTGAATGTGACGAAATGTCCCAATTTACTCTAATTGGCAATATGAATATTCTTCCAAGTTGGCGAATCGTTTTAATTTTCGATGAAAATTTTCTCAAAAAATTTTTCGGAGGTTTTCTGGGTGTTTTTAGGGTTAATTTAAATTTTCTTTTTTGAGGAATAATCTGTGTCAAATATACAAAGAACCGTGTTATTTAACAAATTTAAACAACAAAATGAGTAAAACCGAAAGTGTAGCAGTCGCCTTTTCTCCTGAAGACAATGTATTTTTTAAATTAAAAATTCAAATTTTGTTTGTATTTTTTAGAAAACTCAAATAATCCTTCCTCTTAATGCTGCCATAAAAATCTTTACATATTTAACGCGAGACGAAATCGAAATTTGCAAACAAGTCTGCAGTGGCTGGAAACAACTTGTCGAGTTTGCTGATAAACAACTGCCTAAAAGACCGATTGATGCTGTTGTTCTAAGTTCAAATCATGAATATACAATCTCAATTTACTATAAAGACGTCAGACGTGTCTATTGTTTTCGAAAATATTTTTATGACAGGTTTATTTTAGTATTTTACTTTGTTGGTCCTTAGAAGAAATGTGGGACACGCCCGAAATGTCGCGCGGCCATAATGTCGCCGAGCCATAACTTGCTTTAAGATTTCCGAATCTTTCCAAATTTAGCATTAAACGATTCCTCTCATCGAGCTAAAGAGATTGGTACCAAAAATTGATAAGGGCCAGAAATTTTTTTAGCAAGTTATGGCTTGGCGACATTATGACCGCGCGGCATTTTGGGCTGTACTTAAGAAATGAGCAAGAACTACTCGATGCGGAGAGACATACCATAGTAGCCCTATTTCTAACTCTGTTTCGCCTTGGTCGAATTTTAATCCGGGGTAGGAGGCAAATGAATTTGAACTCATTTTCGGACTCGGCACGCTGACTACCCACTAGCAGACCTTAAAATAATAAAAGAGCACTTCTTGCTCTTTTTTAGAGAGCAATAAGGAAGAAGATTACTTTAAATTTTAAAATGTCTAATTTAGAGATATTGATGAAATTGAACTTAAAAGAGTTACTAAACTGCCGCAGTTATTCGATGAACACAACTACAGGTTTCCTTGTGGAGAATCTTTTCCTTGTGTTTATGATCATTTTAACTTTGGACTGTTCGATCATATGCACGATTTGGAGTGTAGAAGTAAGTCATATTTTCAGTAGAATTGGGGGTTTTAGATCCTTTTTTCTCGGTCAAAGAGCTCCAGAAGAAGCATTGTTCAAGAGATCGAAGAAGAATAATGATTCTAGACCGGATTTGAGGGAGTCGTGAAAAAGCCGATCTAGAACCCTTAGTCTTCTTCGACTTCTTAAAGGATGCTTCTTCTAGAGCTCTTTGACCGAGAAAAATGGATCTAGAACACTCATCTCTCTTCTAATTTTTCAATAACCTCTTCTAATTTTTCAATAATCTTCTCGAGCTCTTTCCCCTCTCAAAGCCTATCTAGACCACTCATCTCTCTTCGATTTCTTGAAGAGCTCGGGGAAAGAATTCGAGAAAGAGCTTCAAGAACTCGAAGAAAACGACTTATTCTAGATCCATTTCTCTCGGTCGAAGACCTAGAGAAGATTTAAAAAATTTTTTGGGGAGCTGCTTAGGCGTCATCTTCTATTTTATATACACCTCATTATAAGGATAGGATGAGAATGGAAGGAAAAAATGACTGACCATTTCGTACTTCAACTGCGGGGAAGGGAAGGGAATAAGTACCATAAATATAACCTACCTTATAATGACAAACTATTTTTTTATATTTTTTAGAAAGGATAAATTTCATGATGTACCATCGCAGAAATAATTATTCTCGAAAATTGTTTACTCCTCCTCTTGGCTTTTACGAGCGTCTCAAAGCAATGTTACACAATGGATATGTCAAACGACTTGTTTTTCAATCATTTACTTTTACCGATTTATTCGTTGAAAAATTTTTTGAATATGTAAAAGGGCCTTTTAAACATTTGGATGTTGTCTATCTTCACTGTAATTTTTTCGATTTTTTAATAGTAAAGAGGGGATCATCCCGTCAACACCCAAATGGTCACTCTCTATGACCAAATTAGAGACCGGCGCGGGACGGGATCCCGCGCGGGATTTTGCGGGGTCCCGCTCCCGCAAACACGATTTTGCCGGTCTCTAGATCAAATGACTTAAATGTCAAATTACCCTGAAGATCAACTCCAAATATTTAGACGGATTAAGATGGATTTTTGGATCAAGTTGGACTAACAATAAGTGACATGAGAAAGGAATTCTAAATGGTCAGAAGGCAAAAATATTTTCTCTTGAGTCCCTTTATCCGCCCAAATATTTGGAGTTGACTTTAAGGGTAATTGTCCGTTAGGGTCATTTGATCAAAGGGAGTTGACCATCTTGGTGTAGACTCTCTGTGGTGGACCCTAAAAAATATAAATTTTAGTTTGTAGTTTGCGACGGATAAATTCTGATTCTTTCCACAATCTTTTGGATCAGCTTTCACCAAAAAAATATTTCATTGATAAATTAACAAATTGCCTGCCCGTGCATGTTAGCAAACCACTTTTGGATAAACACTCAATTAAAATGTATTTTTTTTTAATTTTATAATTAACTTTCATATTTTCAGGGCTGAAGTTTTTTCTTTTGGAAGCGCTTTTGCACGTAACCATCAATTGCAAGATAATTTTTTTCTTATTGATGATGATACTTTTTTGAATTTTGTAAATACGTTGTCAGCCTATCCAAATGTGTCGAGAAAGTTTTTTGGTATTTCACAATGTAGAATTACTCAAGAATTTATTCAAAAATATGCAAAGGTTTGTAAATTTTTTTATTAAAGGAGGTCTGACTATTAATTACATATTTGTGACCGAAAAAACATTATGTGGTGAAATCCCACCCAAATATCACTTAATGAAAGACTGTCGGACTTGGCTCACTATTTAACTTATAGTTAGGGGTAAGGTCCGTTCTTGGGAAATCTTCGGATCCCTGGGGTCGAACCGAAAATCGTCTGTTCTTCCAATTGTTAACCAAGCTGTATTGAGTAATAAGGATATATTATAGGATGCTCGACTGTTTTTTTTTCATAAAATATCACATTAAAAATATATTTTCTAATTTTAGCTTGTCGCACAAATCAAAAGAAATAATTTGGTTGATAATCAACATGTACATGATAATAAAAATTTTTGGTTGTTTAAACATGTAGTTTTTGGAAATTTAAATTATAAAGTTGATTTTTAAAATTTTGTTTTCTTTTTTTTTATCAGTTAATCTCGACATATTTATTTTTTAAATTTAATTTTATTTTAATTTTGTTCATAGAAAATTTATTTTGGAAAATGGATGAGTACGGAATTGTAAGTTTTTTTCTAAAATTAAAAGAAAATTTTTTTTTGTTATTTTAAGGAGGAATTGTATAATGGAGTTATAAATGATGTTATCAATCAAGTACGTCCAGCATTTTCTGATGATGGCGTTGATATTGAAATTTTGCGACATTTGAAGAAGGCGTGGGAAGAGAGGCTTCAAACTGCTAATGGTTTTTAAATAAATTTTTTTCGTTATAATAAAATTTTTATAGAATGGTCAGGATGTAGTGCGTCAGAGTCTAAGGTAAAAAAATAAAAATTGGGGATCAAAACGCTGAAATACCAAACTGGAACTTGGACTCGTAAGTTTTTTCCAATAACGGGTAAAGGTGTTCCAAAGGATGAGCAAGGTTAGATGATTAATAGGACGTATTATCCGAAACTCTGACTTTTTCCTTAACTCTTCCCATCCCTGTTGCACACCAGAAAAACCAAGATTGGGGTTTTGCTGGTATTTCGGTGGCTTTATTGAGTTTGGTATTTCGGCGTTTTGGTAGTACGACGGACTACTGATTGACTTTATAATTTTTTTCTTGTGTCAGAGTCATACCGGAACTGAAATTTCACAGTTGGATGGTGGAGGTCCAACTATGGATGACAGGTTTTTTTAAGTACGTCGATCCTATAAATATTTTTCTTAAATTTTTCAGCTCTTCTGAAGAAGAGGAAGTGGTTGAATCAACCGAAACTAAAGAGCATTTGAAAGAAACTGATGCAAACAAAAGTTCTGGCGATGAAGAAGAACCGCCTCTAAATTCGGATGATGATGGAGAAGATGAAAATGCTGAAACAATTTTTGAGACGGACAATGTATTTGCTTGCATTTTTAATGTTAAAATTTAAAAATTTTTTTTAGATTGTCCTTTGTCAATTTGATAAGGTAAAAAATTTTTTTTGTTGTTCCGGTTTTCAAGAATCCAAAGTTTTGGATTTCCGGTTATTCCAATCTGTTGGGGATCCGTTTTTGGACATTTCCAAATTTGGACGTTTTCACTTGTCCGGTTTCTTTCATTCCCAGGATTTTAACGATTTTTCTTAAAAGAGTCTCGAAATTAGGACACCAAGGATGGGACGTATTACCCGAAACCTAGACTTTTTTTCAACTCTCCCCACTTCTGTTGGGCACCAGAAAGAAATTAAAAAATTTTTTTTTATTTTTTTAGATAGTTCGAACTCGAAAGATGTGGAAGTTTCATTTGAAAGAAGGGGTAAAATTTAATTTTTAATTAGTTTTAAATTTAAAAAATCCTTTTAAATTTTAAGATTATGACTATTCGAGGAAAAGAATTTTGCTTTCGACGATGTAATGGAGATGCTGAATGGTAGAGAAAACTGTTGAGAGAATAAATTGTTTAAAAACCGCTTTTAATTTTATGTAAGATCTCTTTTATGTTAAAAAGGTTTGGGATTTCTTTTTTTGATTTATAAATTTTCTCTTTTCCTTTTTTGTTGATTTGACTGTTGATTCGTCATATACCGGACTGCGCCTTAATGCCAAAAGGCTGTAATGCCATCCCCGCAGAGCTGGCGAAATGTCAAAATTTGGTAATGGCTCTGAGCCATCGGTCGAATTATTGTTCCAACAACGGGCTTGGGGGATGTTGTTCCAAATTTGAGCTTTTTGGCATTAAAGGGTCGTACCGTCATATACTTAATAATTTTTTTTTCAAAATCATCTTTATTAAGAGAGTGTTTTAGATGCAAGAATCAAAAGTAATTATTTTGGAAGGTTCTAATTTTTTCAGACAATATTTGGTTTATTCAATTTTAAGTGGAAGAAGGATATCTATAAGAAATATTAGGCCATATGATGATTCTCCTGGAATTAAAGGTTTTTTAAACTTAACTGGAGTAAATTGATAACAAAATTTAGATTTTGAATATAAATTGTTGTCGTTGTTGGATCTAATAACAAATGGTTCAGAAATTGATATAAACAAAACAGGCAAGTATTTGGAAATAAATTTACCTTCGATCTGGTTCTTACATGTCAAAAGGATTGTTAAGGGTTTACTTATGTTTTTTAATTCTTAAGTTAAGATATCGGTCTGTGAGGGTAGTAAAAGTATCGAGATCAAGAAATCAAAAAAATCGAGGATCTTGATTTGTTTGAGATTTCGACTTGGTACGATCAAGTCGATAATTTGGCCTCCAGGATTCACAAGTAAGCCAGGAAACTTGTTTGACCTGTGGACATGTAAACTTGATAAGTGTGGAGGCTTTAAGAAAAATGGACCAGGCTTTAAGAATTGTAATACTTTGCAATTTTAGGCACACAAGTTGACTTCTCGCCTGGAACTTTGCAAGGAGGGAGTTTTGAATTTCAATGTGGAACTGAACGTTGTATCAGTTATTTTCTTGAGCCCCTCATTTTTCTTGCGCCGTTTTGTAAAATTGCAATAAATGGAAACCTTAAAGGATTGACAAATGTGCCTGACGAGCTAAGCGTAGATGCTATTAATAATACATGGTTACCAGTTTTTTCGCGTTTTGTACCAACAGATGATGATTTATACTTAAAGGTTTTTTTTGATTTCTAGACTAAAATTTGTTAGGATAAATGCCAAGTCCACAAAAATCGTTGAAATGCCAAACGGGGTGGATTTTCGAATAATAACGGCTTTTGGAGGTTTGACATTTTGACACGTTATGAAAATTTTTTAGAAAATTTTTAATTTTAAGATTAATGCCAGAGGTTTTTTGCCAGATGCAGGTGGATCTGTAACATTTTGCAGTCCAATAAAAAAGAATTTGAGACCTGTCCAATTTGTAAAACCTGGAAAAATATGCAAAATTCGAGGTCTTGCTTATGTTTGTAAAGTTTCCCCTTCAATTGCTTCGAGAATGGTATTCAAAATTTTCTGGAAATTTTTTTTTTGAAAAAAAATTTTTTATTAAAATAATTTTTTGTAGATTGAAGCAGCAAAGAAGATGTTGCATGGATATATTTCTGATGTTTACATAACTATTGACCAACGAAAAGGTCCCCAAGGAGGATTGTAACGTTTTTGTGTTTTACTAAAATTAAAAGAAAATTTAAACTTTTAGGTCCCCAGGTTTTGGAATTTTTATAACCGCTTCGACTACAGAAGGTGTCAGTTATTTTGGTGAAGCAATGTCTAATCCAAAAGATTCTCAAAAAGTTCAATTGATTCCTGAAGAAATTGGAGCAGAAGCGGCAAAGCGTTTATTAAACGAAATTTATAAGGTTTTTTTGAAGATTTTATTATAGTTGGACCCTTTGAACTGAAAAATTTTATTTTTAATGGTGTGTGTTAATAGGGGTTGTTAATAGGGGTGAGGGATCGTTTTCGGCCCCCTCCGCCACAGGAATGTGACATTTTTGCCTTTCACTGATTTTTGTTTTTTTTTGAAACTTTTAAATTGACTTTCTGCACATCTCTGCTCATTCACTTAGTGGCTAACCAAATTTAAGAACTCTTAAGTTATCCAGTATTATGGAGTACTACCAAAACGCCGTAATGTCAAACATTTCCACAGTTTGGCATTTCGACGGTTTTTAGCTGATTTGTTATTATTTATAATAAATAAAAATATATTTTTAAGGGTGGATGTACTGATTCTTCAGCCCAAGCTTTAGCTACAACATTTATGACGCTTTGTGATAAAGATGTTTCAAAATTTTTGTTTGGTCCTTTGTCATTTTATTGGTTTTTTTATTTTTTAGACTTTTTTTTAAATTAAAAAAATTTTTTCTAAGTGTCCACACAATGAGAAATTTACGTTTATTTTTTAATCACACATTTAAATTGGATGAATTATGGAAATTAGAAAAAAAGGAATTTGATGAAGAAAAGAAGAGGAGATGTACTGGAAGTGAAGATAAATGTTTGTTAACTTGTGTTGGTATTGGTTATTATAATATAAACAAAATATTAATTTAAAAAAGGTTTTTTATAGAATTATTTTTGTTTGAATTTGTTATGTTTTGCTTTTAAAAATATTTATTAAAAATAAAGTAGAACATTATAGGATACCCCCAGTGCAAGATAAACCTTTATTTAAGAGATGCTTTTTTAGAATTTGTTTGGCCTTTGGGTGAGGGAGGGCTGCCTAAGATACGCTCCATTTAAGAGACACCTCGTAATAAGAGGCGATACTCTCTATTTAAAGTACACCTCATTATAAGAGACAAATTTTTCAGCTGGGAAGGGTGGGGGGTATCCTATAGTGAGGTTCTTGTCTAATATTTGTTATTATATTCCAAGAAATATTTTTAAATATTTTCTTATATTTTTTTCAATTAAGGTTTATAAGTCGTAAACAAATATTTTTTTAAAATATTTTAGAAAAATGGAAAACAAAAAATTAACAGATTCATTATATGCAACAATTTCCAACACAGAATTAACAATTTCAAATGAATTAAAAAAAGAAGGAACTTCGCAAAATTGTTTCGAAGAAGAAAATTTGCTTCATTCACTTCCCTGTCAAATTGAATTTACTGGACCTGCCCCAGTTTCTGTTTACTTCAACAAAGAAAATTTACATCATGAAAATGTGAGGGCAGCTTCATTTCGAGGGCATATGCTTTTGAATAAACTTGTGAAGGTTCCGGAAGGTTATGAAATTTATACAATGAGTGAGTCGGTTGCAGAAACTAAAGGTTTTTTTTATTTATTTTTTAAGTAAGAGAGAAGTAAAAAAAGGTTGGACCTGGGCGGACATCGAACCTTGGACCCCCCCCCCCCCCCCCCCGGCTGTTATTGCTACTAGGAAATTTTTGCTTAGAATTAGGATGAGTCGTGTTGAGGAAAAACTAAAAAAATCAGGGTATTGGGTAATCCGATTTGTCATTGATACAGGTGAATTACTGCTGAATGAGCTACCGGCCTTTCTCTTCTGCCTTAGCTAATAGATCTTAAATCCCTGCCTATTGAGAGTTTCGAAGTCTAGCTAGTTGGGTTTTCCTTATATTTGCAATTGATTTTTTAAGATCGACGTGTTAATTGATTATGTCGAATAGGGTCGGACTCTAATTGTTAAATAAGATTGTTAGATGAAAATAAAAATATTTTTTAGATGATTATGAAATTAAAACGTTTCAACTAAAAGGGTCTTGCAAATCAATGAATTTTTGGGAGAAGGATGAAATGCCTGAAGGTCCAAATAAAATTGAAGATGCTCTAACTTGTATTTTTATTGCTGAAAATCTTTCAAATTAATTTTTTTTAATTTTATAAATTTTTTCAGTTAATTTTCTTTAATTTAAAGATGGGTATCATTTGCTGTTATATCAGACGCCGAAATGCCAACCTCCTAAAAAGACGCTAAAATACCAAAATGTTGTTTGTTAACTATCTTCCACGTTTGTAGCGCCTTCAGCTTAGGTTTGCGTATTTTCTAGAGAGCGAGCTGGATTTGGATCCAGACCTTGATTTTTCCTGGATCCAGGTTCAGATCAAAACATTATTCAGATTCTTGGATTTTTCTTTGACTCAAGTTCCAGAATCTGGTCAAGATTTTTCGATAATCTCGCTCTCTAGTATTTTTCCACATTTTGGTATTTTGACAGTTTTGTGGGTGGATATTTCGGTGTTTGGTATTACGACGCGCTCCCACGATGAAAATATTTTTTGATCTTATTTTTTTAAATATTTTATTAAATTTTATTTATTTTTTAGAAATGTCAAGAAGACGCACAGCTTTATTTTTAATTTTATTTTTATATACTGCTCAACTAATTTTTGTTTTTGGAGAAGTTGTAACGCTAGCAGTTGGTGCTGGGGCAGTGAGTGCTCTTGGAATGTTTATTGGAGATTTTGCTGGAATTTATTCTTTTGCTAAATGCAAATGTATTTTGTTTAATTTGTATAATCTTTAAAATTATTTTTTTTAATTCTCAGTTTTTGAATGTTGCAATTCTCCATGGATTAATAAAGATGTTGCTCGAAGTAAGTAAATTTTGGATATTACTATAAAACCTAAAAATGTTGGATACCTCTTAGAGATTTAGGATACGTTTTTGGAGATGCCCTCTATTTAAGATACCTTATGAAATATTCCCAATACTAGATACACTTCTATTTATGAGATGCTTTAGTCAAAAATAAGTTAAAAATTGGTGGGGAGCTGTATAACAATTAACGATACTTTCTGCGTATTTAAGATACATTTCTTTGTAAGAGACCCTCGATACCAGATACACCTCTAATAAGGGGACGTTTTTTAAAAGTTTAGTTGATCACTGATGTGATCGGGAGGAGCTGCCTCGGATATTATTTAAGATACCTTCTATTTATTATTATTATAAATAATAATTTTATTAGTGAAATCTTTATTAGTGAAATTATTATTATTATAAATTAAAAATTATTATAAATTAAATTATTATAAAAAAAAAAAATTATTATAAAAAAAATTATTATAAATTAAATCTTTATTAGTGAAATCTAGCTATTACTTTGAGAAAATAATTGTTTTTTATTATTAAAGGATTGCAAGAAGAAGTTGAAGAAAGGCTTTATGGTCAACACATTGCGCAAAAAATTGTAATTAATGCTGTTCGTGCACATATTTCTAAACAGTTTGAAAATTTTTTAATTTGAAATTTTTTAAAAATTTTTTCAGAAACCCAAACAAAGCATTAGTTTTATCATTTCATGGTTGGACAGGCTCAGGAAAAAATTATTTGACACAAATGATTGCAAAAGCTGTTTATAAAAAAGGATTTAAAAGTCAATTTGTACATTTTTCTGTGGCAACTTTACATTTTCCGTATCCTGAAGAAATTAATAATTACAAGGTTTTGTTTGATTTTTTAAATTTAAAGATTCTTTTGGGGGTCTCCGTTACTTACTCCATTATTTTTCTTTTTCTAAAAAATACGAATGGTCAAAGGTTTATAATTGTCAACCAAATTAAAGCTAATTCTTTACCATTATATACCCTGACAATTTATAATTTTTTGAGAACGCCTTGTAATACCAAGAACTTGCAATACCAAGCCCTATTTGTTTTTGGGGGCTTGGTATTTCAAGTCTTGGTGTTTCAAGATCCTACCTAATTTTTGGAGAAAGCTCTAACAATAAGAACAGGGAAGGGTTATAACAGGCCTTTGGCTTTGCTTCGTTTCGACGTTGATTGTATAAACAAAAAACTAAAAATTTGCTAATTGAAATTTTTACGCCATTTTCAATTTGGCATTTTGGGTGTACGTTATTATACCGAGAAAAGAAATTTTTAAAAAAATTTTTTCAGAGGCAATTGAGAAGTTGGATTTCCGGAAATTTAACACAATGTGAACGGTCGCTATTCATATTTGACGAAGCAGATAAATTGCCTTTACAGTTACTTGATGCTATTGTCCCTTTTGTTGATTTTTATGATAATGTTAATGGTATTGATGCAAGAAAAAGTATTTTTATATTTTTGAGGTTTTCTTTTTGAATTTTTTCTAAAATTAAAAAAAAATTTTTTTCAAGTAATGGAGGTTCTAATTTAATTGCTCAACATGCACTAGAATATTACAAGAGGGGACTGCCTAGAGAACAAATGACGTTTAAAGAATTGGAAGAATTAATGCAATTAAGTGCTTATAATGAAGGTTTTTATGAGAAATTTTTTTTTAAAATGATTAAGGGGCTCAAACGATGACCAGACTAATCACACTCTTGAGGAGTTAAAATTTCCAAGTTTTGGTTCTAGCTTTGAAAATTAAGGAGAAATAGCTCCCCCTTTTTCGGATGAATTTTTCTGTTGTACGAAAAATCGGTTGATAAATTTCGAAATCAAAAAATTCCCAAAAAGACGAAATCGATTTCGACTTTTTTGATGATTTGTTCGTTTTCGAAAATTTTCAAAAAAAATTTTTTTGATCTACCTCGCTTCCAAGGGCGTAGCCGGGGGGGGGGCTTCTGGATCTATAGCCCCTCCCTGAAATCGACCCTTGCTACGCCTTTAATCCCTTCAATTAATTTGATATTTCTATCTGGTTTATTTGTTTTATCCGGCTGGTATTTCAATTTTGACTCTTATTAATTAATTTAATTTTCAAAAAAAAATTAAATTTTTTCAGGAGAAGGTGGATTAAAAATGAGTAGAATAATAAGTAAACATTTAATTGATTATTTTGTACCATTTCTTCCATTGGAAAGAAGGCATATCATTATGTGTTTTAGAGATTATTTACATTCAAAAAATATTGTTTATACACAAGAACAATTGGAAAATTTGGCTGATCAAATTTCGGTTTTTTGAAAAATTTTTTTGCAAATTTTTTTTGAATTTTTTGAAAATCTCTTTGAAAATTTTTCTGAAATTTTTCTAATTAAAAATTTTTTGGTTTTTTGAAAATTTTTTCGAATTAAAAAAAAATTTCCTTTTCAAGTATTTCCCAAAAGACACCCCAATATTTTCAACTTCTGGATGTAAACAAATTGAAAGAAGAGCAGATTTTATGTATGCTGAAGTTATTAGAGAACAACATTTTTTAGCGAGTCAATATAATGATGAAATTTGAAGAAATTTTTTTGGAGGTTTCGAATTTGTAAAAAATTTTTGAGGTTATTTTTTGTAAAAGATTCGAGACTAATCCCACACACAAACTCATTTTCACGGGTTTTATTTTATATTTTTTAAAAGATATTTTTGATAGCCTTGAGAGTATGATTAGACTTAAATTAACTTTGTTTCACGGTTTTTGTTTCACGCTGGGTCCAAAATTTTTGAGAATTTTCTGGAAACCAGAGCTTTTTGAAATTTCAATTTTCGTGAGTTTTTCGACTTCTTGGTATTTTTTTTTATTTTCGAATTTTTTTCCGAAACATTTCTTTGCCTGAAAACACTGACAAATTCATTATTTTAAAAACTTCTCTTATCTCAAAGTCTCAAGGGATTTTAAAATTACTGATTTTTTACTTTGTGTATATTTTTCAATGTTTTTTTTAATTTTTACTGTTTTATAATTTAAAAATCGAAACATTTTTAAAATATTTTCTTTCAAAAAATTTCGACAAAGTTGATGACTTTGGATAATATTTTAATTTTGTTTTAATTTAATTTTTAGTCAATTTTAATAATTTTTTTTGTCTGTCAATGTCAACAACATTTACTTTAATTGGTTTACTTTAAAAAATTTTTTTAAATTTATTTTTAATTTTTAAAGGTATCTCAGCAATAGCAGTTTCCTTGCTTGGTTATTATTTTCAAAAGTATGGCCCTCCTCCACCGCCAAAAATTGCTGGAATTGATTTGGGTACAACTTATTCTTCTATAGCTGTTTTTCTGCCGGCTAGTGGTCAAACTATTGTTATTGAAGATAAATTGGGGAAGAAGTCTATTCCGAGCGTTGTTGGATTTTTGTAAGGTTTTTTAAAAATTTTATACCTCGTTATAAGATACCCTCAATGGTTTGACCTTATTATAGGATGTTTCTAATATAACATACACCTCGATTTAAGAGACGATTCTCAAAATTATTGTCTATTTCTTGACTGGGAGAGCTGCTTAAGCTATACTCTCTATTTAAGAGACGTTTCATTATAAGGAACCTCACTATAAGACACCCCACTATTAGGTACACCTCGATTTAAGAGACGCTCTCTTAAAATCTGGTTAGCTATGAGACTGGGGGAGCAACCTAAGCAATACCTTCTATTTAGGATCATCTCAATAAGAGACTATTTTTTCAAACTCAAAAATACCTTATAGTGAGTTTTATTTTTAAAAATTCAAAAAAAAAATTTCAGAGGCAATGGCGAAATTGTAGTTGGAACAAAAGCTGTAGAACAACAAGAAACGAATCCTTCAAATACCATTTATGATGCCAAAAGATTTATTGGAAAACGTTTTGAGGAAAATGACCCACAATTTCAGGTTAATTTTAAAAATAAATTTTTATAAAATTAATTTTATTTTAAATTAGCTATAGATGGATCGTAATCGTTACCCATTTACTATAAAATTGGATAATGATGGATTTGCATTGTTTGAAATTGAAGAGAAGGGCGTTAAACGGTTTGAAATTTTTTCTAGTTTCTTTAATGAGCAATAGGGAATAGGTAGGGTTAACCGAAATCTATTACTCTCGACCAGGATTTTTTGTCTTGAAGCCAGATCCGGAAAAAAGTTTTGTAAAGGCCGACCCGAAGCCCTTTTTTCAATTCAACCTGACCCATCCTGATGAAAATTAGGGAATCTTAGAGAGAGAGAGACAACAGGAGTTGAACCCGACATGACTTTTTTGTCTTAACAGCGGCTCATCCTTAATTATGTAACAGTAAAGAAGATGGGAAATGTGGGGGAGAGATACGGGGAAAAAAGTGGAAGGAGAGATGGGGGGTAAACTACACTGGACCAAAAAATTTTTAATTAAAATTTTTTAAAGTTTAATCCGGCCAGAAGAAATTGGTTCAATTATAATTTCTTATCTTCAAAAAATGGTACTAGAATTTTATGGTGCAAATATTAAAGAAGTTGTAATTTCTGTGCCTACAGAATTTGATCAAATGCAACGAACATATACAAACAAAACTGTCGATTTAGCTGGAATGAATGTTAGAAGAATTATAAGTGAACCAACAGCCGCAGCATTAGCTTATGGATTACATGAAAAAAAGGGTGTGGAATATATTGTTGTTGTTGATATCGGTATTATTTTTTTGTTTAATTTTTTAAGTCATTTTGTGGTTAAGTGGGTTAAGTTTGATTAATTTTGTAAGGATGATTTATCTGACACCGTTTAAAAAGTTTTATGGCGTGAGTTGAGTAAATGTAAGAGGAAAGGAGAATGAATTTAGACAGAGATTCGGTAGTTAAGTGGTAGAGCAGTTACATAGTTTTCAGAATGGTCGCAGGTTCGAATCCTGCCGGAGGCTTCTTACTATAAATTTCCACTGATCTGAGCCTAAAGTTTTCTGATTTTATATTCTTTGGGTTTAATAATGTGGATAAATTAAAAAGTTTATCTAATTTTACTAAATTCATTGAATAACGATGAATTTAGATCGCTAGATAATACATTAATGAAAATTTTTTCGGATCTTGCTTTTCAAGTTGCACCTTTGGGTCAAAAAATCTTTTATTTTATATTGAGGACAGGCACACCCCCTACCAATTTTTTAAGAGTTCCCTTTATTTTGATGGTATCTTATTTAATAAATAGTGTGTAAGTTGTTAGGCTTCGATAAGCATTCTATTAACAGAATTAAATTTTAGTTAAGTGGGTTATGTTTGAGTTTCCACTGTCCAAACCTAAAGTTTTCTGTTTATATTCTTTGGGTATTTATTGTGGATAAAATTAAAAAGTTTATCTATTTAATCAAGTAAATTCATTGTAGAAGGATGGATTTATTAATATTAGATAAAACATTCTTTTTTGTTGACACATCGAAACCTCATTATAAGGTACACCTTTGGGTCTGGAAAATAGTATTTTATAATGAGGTGTCTTTTAAATAGAAGGTATCGCTCGGGCGGCTCTCCAACCCAATGACCTATCAAATTCTAAAGAGCGTCGCTTAAATAGAGGTGTATCTAATATTAGGAGTATCTAAGAAAGAGGTTTTATTTATTTTTTATTTTAGGTGGTGGAACCATGGATGTTTCTGTTCTTTGGTTAAATAATGCGGTTTATTTTTAAATTTCTAAATTAAAATAATTATTTCTTTTTAAGGTATTTGTTACTCAAGCAATGGCCGGAAATAACCGTTTGGGAGGTCAAGATTTTAATGAACGAATTTATAGATTACTTTTAAAGGTTTTTTTATTTTTTATAATTATTAAAAAAATTTTTTTTTAATATTTTTAAGAAAATAAAAGAACAGACAAAAAAAGATTTAAGCAACAGAGAAGATTTACAACAATTGAGGTTATATTTTTTGAAGATATTGACCGGAGGGGGATGATAGCTTACTAGGGATGACTAGATTTGTCTCGGATACTGGGAAATTTGTGGGTATCCTTCCTGTACATCTCAGATTTTTTGGTTTTTGTGATCCCTACCTCTAGTCAATGGTTGAAAAATTTATTGAGATTTGGTTGGTTCCACATGGGATAGTTGTAATATTAAAGCCGCAAATGGGTGGTTTTTTCCCGAACCCCGACTCAAAAAATTTTTTTGAGAACCCGATCCGAACGGATATTTTAAATATTTCAAAAAAAAATTCTTTTTCCCCAAGGCTTGCCGTTGAAGAAGCAAAATTGCAACTTACAAATTTGCCTGAAACTTTAATTAATTTAAATTTTCGATCAATTGGAAAATTTGAATATTTGGTTTTCTAAATTTTTAAATTAAGTTCAAAAAATTTTCTTTTTAAAGTTAACTCGCCAAGAATTTGAACAAGTCAACAAAGATTTATTTTCGAGTATTGTTGAGCCTATTAAAGCTGCTTTGGCAGATTGTCAACTTGGACCAAATGATATTGATGAAATTGTTTTGGTTGGGGGTTCTACTAGAATTCCTAAAATTAGAAATATTGTTGGACAGTTTTTTAGGTTTATTTTCTTCAATTTTTAATATTTTAATTGTTAGATACACTCATAAGTACATCCTTAGGATTGAAAAATTGTCTATTAAATGTTTCTTAACTAGAGGTTATCGCTTAGAGAGCCCCTCACTCATTTGTCAATGGTCAACCAAATTTTAAAAGAGCGTCTTTTAAATAAAGTATCAAACATGAGGGTAATAGAATATTTGATAAAGAGGTCTGACTTGTTAAGATATCCACAAGACTAGATACCCACAAGACTCTTTTCAAGAGGCGTTTTATAAAGTTTGCTTGGCCACTGTGTAGGGAACTGTCTTAGCGATACCTTCTATTTAAGATACCCCCATTATAAGAGAATATTTTTTTTAATTAAGGATGCATCTTAAAGTGAGGCTGTTTTATAATTTAAAATTTTTTTCAATTTAAGCAAAGTTCCAAATTATGGTGTATTTCCTGAATTGGCCGTCGTTATTGGTGTTGCAATCCAAGCTGGTGTTGTAATTAATGGTTGGCCTTTACAGGTTTATTTTATAATATTTTTTTGAATAAAATTTTTATTTTTTTTTTAGGTTGCTGCAATGGAACTTCCATTTGCCAAACAAAAGAGGCATGTTTATAGACCTATTGAAGAAGAACAACAACCAAAAATTTAAATTTAAATTTATTTTTCTTTTTTTTTAATTTTATTATCTATTGGAAATCGGGGTTTGTTTTTTTTTTAAAAAAAATTTTTTATTGTTGAATTTCATGGGTATGGAAATTTTTCAAAATTTATTTTTCGATGGAAAATCAATTTTTATCAGAAATTCAAAAAATTTCCTTTTTCTAAATTCCTTTTCCTTAGAATTTTTTTTCTATCGTGCTCTCACTTACAAAAACATGGTTTTGGATTTTTTAAGAATTCCTGCTAAATTTTTTCCCCATTCGTCCGCTTTCTAATTTTGTTTTCTGCTTTCTTTTTTATATTTTCTCTTTCCTTTAATTTATTGTCTTCTTTAACTATGGGTTGGACCCTTGGCGAAGTCAAAAAGTTCGGAATCGAAGTTTTAGCCAAAAGAAAAAGTTCGTGGTGTTTTCAGTGTCTGGGTTCAACCCTCCATTTTAAAATTGGATTTTAACTTTTTTTAAATCTTTTTCTTTCTGATTCTGACTTGAATTTTTTTTTAATTTTTATTAAAGGAAGTAAAAATATTTATTGTTGAATTTTAAATAATTTCTTAGTAATTTTTAAGGATTGGAGGGAGTTTCTGATTGATTCTGAGTCATTTTTTCTGTTCCCTCTAAGGGTGTTTTTTTTAGTTTTTTAAATAAGTTTAGTTGTTAGTCTTTCTTTTCTCTCTCCTCAAAAAATGTTTAAAATTTTTATTAAATTAATTTTATTATTTAAACTGTTTGAATGGACATTGGTAAAAATTAAAAAAAAATTTTTTTTAACGAAAAATTTTTTTCTCTTTTAGGGTTATCAACAAAATATTGCTTTGTATTATAAATTATTAAATGTACATTATGATACGTTCAAAACTATGGTTCTATTAAAATAAAAATTTAAAATAAGAATTTATTTAAAAGCAAGATGTTGATAATTATGTTCAAGGAATGAATGAATTGTGTTCTATTCACAGAAAAATTATGGCTTATAAACGTGATGATGTAAAGGATTTTATTTTTGTTTAATAGACCCTCATTATAAGACACATCCTTGGGGCTAAAAATGGTTTCATATAACGGAATCTTTTTACCGTGGCGTATCTTAGAGGGGAATCTCAATATAAGATACACCATTGCGATTTGTATCTTGTATTGGGATTACCTTAAATAGGATGGTGTGTAATATTGAGACTTCCAAGACTCTCGGTCTTCAGTCTTGACTCAAGACTTTTCTTGGGTTTTTTTCGGTCTTGGGGTCTAGTCTTGGTCTTGGAAAAGTTTCGGTCTTGGAAGTCTCTAGTTGTAATATTGAGATGATCAAATTGAGGTGTATCTTAGATAGGGGGTATTACTTGAATAGCTCACCCAACCCAAGACCTCTTTTTTAGGCCTTATTAATCATTAGGCCTTAGGGCTTATACTCATTCCTTATAATGGAGGGTATCTTAAACTGAGGTTTTATTGGGGAGTATCTTATAAAGAGGTTCGGGAATTAATTTTTTTCAGTTGCCCAGTGAGGATAGTTTAAATGATTGGCAATTTTCTACATCCATTGGAAACCCAGAACATTTGCCCTACCTTCTTGAAGGAGACATGGTAGTGAGTGCCGAACAAATTCAATTACTTGTCGCTGACTTTCGTTCACAATTATCCAAAATAGAGTATTGTCAAGCCAATAATTGTAATCAAAGAAAGAAGCGAATTTTAACGTCAGATTTAAGCCGTCGCTGGAAGGAGTTCCCAATTCCTTTTATTATCCAATCAGACGTTAATCGCCAAGCTATACTCGAAGGAATTGCAAATTGGGAAAGAACTACTTGCATTACTTTTGAAGAAAAAGAAGAATTGCCTTCTGATTCGTCTGGTTTAAATTTTGTTTTTGGAGAGGGGTAATTTGTGGGTTATTTAAGGATATTTTTATTTTTCTTATAGTTGTTTTTCAAATGTTGGAATGGTTAAAGGACGTAATCAAAGAATTGGGATTGGAAAGAATTGTGATAATCCGTTTGTGGTTAGCCATGAAATAGGTGATGAGAAAAATTATATATACAGACGGGCTTGTTATATAATACCTCTTGGTTGGGGTTTTCGGAGCGGGCCTTATTTTTCGAGTCATTTTTTCGTACTTTATTTTTACAGGGCCGGCCCGACCAAGTCTTTTTCGGGCAAAAATTCAATGCCGACTCGATCTTTACCGGGCCCCCAACCTAGCAGCATATAATTGGGCTACCTTTTATTTTCAACTGACTGAGTATTAGTGTAAAAATGAGAGGAATCTTATAACGGGATGTTTTGTTCAGAAAATAGTCTTTTATACTAAGGTGTCTCTTAGATAGAGGGTATTACTTAGGTATCCTCCCATCCACTATCTAAATAATATAGAGTATCATAATGAGGTCTGGCCTATTAAATTTAAAAATTTAATTTTCAGCACACGCTCTCGGCTTCTTCCACGAACAATCTAGGTGGGATCGAGATGATTTTGTTGAAATTCAATTTGCCAACATACTCCCCGGCTTTTTAAACCAATTCCTCAAATTTTCTTCTTCCTTAACCACAACATTTGGAATTAAATATGATTTGGGTTCTGTGATGCATTACGATGCTTTTGTAAGGAGGAAAAATTTTTTTAATTTTTAAAAATTAATTTTTGAGGGATATGCTAAACAAGGAATGGCTACTATACTTACTAAGGATGTAAATTATCAGGAGACTATAGGCCAACGTTTTCGTTTGTCATTTGATGATGTTAAGAAGATGAATTTTGCTTATTGCAATGGTTAGAGAATTTAATGAAAAAATTGAATTTTTTAGCTAGTTGCCCCTTTCAACTTCCTTGTCTCCATTCTGGTTATACAGACCCCAAAAATTGCTCAAAATGTCGATGCCCTGACGGCCTAACTGGTCTTTTATGCAGCAAAGTTGCACGGACAAAAACTTTATGTGGAGATCAACTAATTTTTAAAAGCGGAGAAGAATATAGAAAATTACAGTTTAAAGGTGTTGGGGAATGCAATTATTTAATTAAGGTAAAGATACAATATTCACTGTAATAGGACTCCTGAAAATTATTGATAGGAGCTTTCGCTCACTGAGTACAAGGTTGATCTTCCGGCTGCGCTATTGGGGCCCTGCTTTCACCCTATCTTTTGATAGATATTAAGCTCCCGCCTAGTACGCGATTTAGATGATATCCAGCTGGGTCTCTCTTCCTTACAGATCTAATACAGACGTCGGAGATTCTATTTTTAAAGTCTAAGGATGGGGCGGGCTCCATCCTAGGGGGCTAGTAAGCTAAGGATGGAGGGGGCTCTAATACAGAAATACGCTAAATAAAAATTATTTTAAAAATTCGCTTAAAAATTTTTAAAGGCACCTAGTGATTCGCGTATTTGTCTTTCAATGGATATTATTCATTTTAGAGACCATTGCCAACAAAATTCTTTCGTAAATTTTTTTAATTTTTAATTAGAAGTATTTATATTTTTAGTTAGAAATTCACTACCAAACTTCTTTGGGGAGAACTGGAGCATTGTAAGTTTCATTAAAGTTGGGACCTCATTATAAGAGATCCTCTTACATAGAGGGGACAGCTCCCCAACTCGATTTGTACCCTTAAACCTTATTATAGCCGTTAACTTTTTCTTTTCCGGTTCTGCATGGATACTCAACGGAGAACTTTTACAAGCGAAGGAAGCCAAGTACTTATTCTCTATCGTTCTGATTTTTCTAAAAATCAGTTTTCATTGCGTTACAAAACTTGTTAGTACATACTTTTCTTATTAAATGAATGTCATTTATTTAAATTTAAATAAAAAAATAAAAATAAATAATTTTTACTTTTAAAGTAAAATATTTTTATTGTCCTAAAGAGATTGTTGTTGTTGATTTTCTTCAAAATTTGTAGGATGAAAAATGTAAAGCCCATTTTGGCACTTTGAGAAATTTTGGGAAAATTTTTGCAAGTGTAACCCATCCCAGAAATTCAAGTGCTGAACGAACACTGCGAAAATTGGATGGAGTAACGCCTAAAAGAAATTTAATGGTTCAAGTTTAATCGGACCTAGATATAAGATATCCCCTTGAGATTGGAAGATAGTCCCTTATAATGAGGGGTATATTAAATAGAGGGTATTGCTTTAGGCAGCCCCCACGCTTTGACCAACCAATTTTGAAAAAGTCTCTTAAATAGAGGTGTCTTATACTGGGTAATACCCTCTATTTAAGGTACATCTAATTATTAGATACCTCCAAGTGTAAATTACATAGAGGGTATCGCTTGGGCAGCTACCCCCTGCCTTTGGCCAACCACATTTTAAAGAGCGTATCTTAAACAGAGGTGTATCTAGTATTGGAGGGTATCTTATAGCGAGGTTCTACAAATCTTTAAGTTCACCATTTTTGTCAGTAAATCCATATTCTGTCGCCAAATCTTCAGTAATGTGTATTCTTCCCGTCTTTTTAATCTTCTTTGGATCACTTGCCAATCCCACAACTGCTTTGCCAACAAATTCTGTTGTTTCTGCGGTTGCTAAGGAATTTTTAAATGCTTCCTTAAAATTGAAATTTTATAAAAATTTAAAAAAAACAAAACTGTGGTCATTCCAGCTGCTTTAGAAAATTGCACTTCATTAGCCTCCAATGTCGCCAATTCGGTTCTGACAAAACTTGGCCATAGCGATACACAAGTAACACCAAATGGTTTAAGCTCTGAAATTTTTATTTTAAAAAATTTGTTTAAGTTAAAAAACATCCTCACTGGGTAAGACTATTCAAGAGGACTAAAAAGACTACAGATCCCATTTCCAACCGAAATAGAAAAAAGGGTAGGGGGGGGGGCAATAAAAAGGAGAAATCCTATTTTGTCATTAGGAACTAAACTAAAAAAATACCACGAAGCGACATTTACTCACGAATGTCGCACATTTATTTTTCTCACCCATGCCCCAGGAACACAATCCTATGTCACTGTCGCGATTGACATTGTGATTTTGATATTTTGAAGTCTAAGGAAAGCTAAAAATCACCCGAATATATTTAAAAATAAAAAATACCAAATCCCATGTCTGCCGTCATTCTATCTATTGCAGTCTTTCCAACTCCATATGGCACAGAAAATAAATATTGTAAACTTCCAGCTGAACTTATATTTACTATTAAACCATCTCCTTAAAAGAGAATTTAAACATTTTTTTAAATTTTGTTTAAAATAAAAACCTTTTGGAACCATTAAACGTGCTGCAAATGTAGAGCAAAAATAAGCATTTCTAAGGCCTACTTCATTTATATCATCCCAAAATTCAGGCTCGCATTCCCAAAACTTTTTGCCGGCATTTTTCATTAAACTCTAAAAAATGGAAAAATTTATAAAATAAAATGCGGGTTCAACATTCGTCCTCAAGGATGGTAATTCACTTGAAACGGCAGGAGATTCCCACCCAGACGGCTTCATAGAAAAAATAACCCGTTAAACCGCCACCCATCCTTAAATGTTGAGCCCAAATTAAAATACAGCCGGATTTTACTCATGTCTACTTCCCTCCCTTTGGAGCAGAAAAAGATGTATAAATGGAAGCACGTCTCTCCTCCTAAACGAGAGGAGCACTCTAATTTAAAAAAATAAAATTTACTGGAGCTCCAGAATAAGCATTATTGACGAGAATATTTAAACGTCCGCCTTGTTCCTGTTCAATACGTTTAAAGAGTGAACGAACTTCTTCAGTTTTTGAATGGTCACAATATATTGAATGTGAATTGCCTCCATTGTCTTTAATTTCTGAAAATGGGGAATTTTGAAGTTTAAAGACCCGATAGACGCCACATGGAAAACTTAACCGGTCGTCAACAATCCTAGACCCCATCTTCATTTCTTTACTTTCGAGGGGCTACATGAAAAATGAATTCTTCCATCGATATGGAAACTATACAAATATGGCCGTGGCAGAGAGAAATAAATGGGAAATAAATAAAAACAATGTCCCGAAAATTCCCTGAAAAATTATAAACAAAAAAACCTTTTGCAGTCTGTTCAAGAGAAGGCAATTCATTTTGTGAAAAAGAATTTGAAGGGGCTCTTCCAGTCAAATAAACAATTGCCCCAGCTTGTCCCAATTGCAAGGCTATTCCTCTACCAATTCCACGAGATGCCCCAGTCACCAACGCAACTTTATTTTCCAACGGACGGATAATGTTTTTTGATGCCATTAATTAATTAAAAAAAAATAAAATTGTTAAAATAATAAAGAAAATTAAAAAAGATAAAAGATGGATTTAAAACAATTTTTCAATAGACATTTTAACGTTCTTTATATATTTTATACAGAAAATAAAAGTGCACATTTAAGGGATAATTTAAAATTAGAAAGTAGAGGGCACGAAGGAAAAAATTAAAAATAATTATGCCTTTGATTTAAGATTTGGACCGCAATGTTATTTAATAAGAGAGATCGAGCTTGGACTTGGACTAAATATTTTGATCGTTGTTTGGGCACGTGGTCCAAGAAAAATTCAAAAAACCCCAAAAAACCTCCAGAATGTTTAAAAAACCCATGAAACTCCTGGGGCTTGCTTCTCCAGGGCCCAGAAACCCAGAAAGTCTAAAAAAAGCACAAGCATGGAAAAGGCACTGAAAATCCCCTAGGAAGCTCAAAAAAGCCTGGGTCGGACTTCCCCCCAATCATAGACCTTGTCCCAGACCCAGCTCGATCCCTTATCTCACAAAAAAATTTACAAAATCACCATGTTTTTCCATTTAAATATAAGGAGCAGTATTGTTCGGACCTCCCGGTCCTGGCAAATTTCTCGATATCACTTGATTCCCTTCAATAATCATCGAAAAAAGATATCGGTATTGTCCATTTGGAATTGCACGGTAAATTAGAATAACGAAGTAAGCAAAAGCGAAGAATGCCAACAAACAGAGAGCCTAGAAAAAATTTTTTCTATTTTAAATTTAAAAAATTAAAAATTAACCGTAGCAGAAATATAAGCAAAAATCACACCGCCACTATAACGAAATGAACTTAAGACAGCTATAGCGCCTATAATTGAACCAATTCCGTAGGCTACAGTTCCAATGCATGCGACGATAGTATCCTGAAATTTTTTAATTGTTAGAAAATTTTTAAACAAAAAATTTGGCAGATGAAAGGAGTGGAGTGTTGCTTTATTGGGCTTTCTGCAGGTAACTTTATTTTTTTGGTTCACTTTGACAGTCAATAAGGCTTCTTTAGAGCAAAAAGGTAAAAAAACAAAAAAATGTCCGCAAAAGAGAATCCGCAAGAAAAGTCCGCAAAAGGGGAATCCGCAAGAAAAGTCCGCAAAAGGGGAATCCGCAAGAAAAGTACGCAAAAGGGGAATCCGCAAGAAAAGTCCGCAAAAGAGAATCCGCAAGAAAAGTCCGCAAAAGGGGAATCCGCAAGAAAAGTCCGCAAAAGGGGAATCCGCAAGAAAAGTCCGCAAAAGGGGAATCCGCAAGAAAAGTACGCAAAAGGGGAATCCGCAAGAAAAGTCCGCAAAAGAGAATCCGCAAGAAAAGTCCGCAAAAGGGGAATCCGCAAGAAAAGTTCGCAAAAGGGGAATCCGCAAAGAAAGTCCGCAAAAGAGAATCCGCAAAAAAAGGTCCTCAACAACTCTCAACTCCTTTCCAAATACCCACAGAAACTCACAATAAGAGCAAAAGGAATAAATGCAAATCCACCCCCAAAGTGCACATCGATCTTTTGAAGGCCAAAAAGATAACAAAACCAACTTATGAGACAAATAGGAAGCAAATTCCAGCTTATGTAAATAATAAATGCAATTGTGTTGTAGAAATAATCCGCATAGAAAGTAAATATCACAATGATTAAAGGAATCAACTTAAAAATTGAAAATATTAAAATTAACCAGTGAAATGATCCCAAGGTTTAGGAAACGTTGAAAAACAAAAATCAAGAAACAATCGATTTTCCTGAGGACCTATATGATTTAATCAAAACGGAAAAACACTAAGGCAATGATTTATGGTTCCAGCAAAATCCCAAATATTCGAACCTTAAAAACTATTTAAATGAAGAAAATGCTACAAAAAGATTATTCTAATGGCTCCAGCAGGACACCACAACATCTACCTAACCCCAACTTATTCTACAAAAAATTTTGCAAAATTACCAAGCGGTTTTACAATTTAGGGATTATGAAACCCCAGGAGAGAACACATTCACCCCCAACAAATTCCAAAAATAAATTTAAAAACTCAAACCCAATGCATTGTTTTCAAAATACCAAAAGGCCAAGCACAGACAAAACTCTTGTCAATTGAGACCATCCTTGCAAAATAAAATTTGAATCGAATGTTTGCTTAAAAATTTTTTTAGTAAAAATAAATTAATCAACAAAAAATATATTAAGCATTTAAAAAGCTTAAAATAAATAAATCAGTCAACATCTAATAAATATTTTTCTTTAATAAATTAAATTTTTTTTGAATAAATTAGAGATCGAGAGAAGAAAATATACACAAAACACAAAAATAAATTAAAATTCTAATCTTGTTGTTGACCAGCAATATAAAGTGTTAAATGACATTCAAGTTCAGTAGCTGAAAATATTGCTCCTTTTCCATTTACAATTTCTAACAAAAAAAAATTTTTTATTTATAAATTAAATTTAAAAAAAAACAAAACTAATTCCAAGCCTAGCAATATATGGCGATAAGCTGCTCACAAAAGGATATAATGCTCTTATATCCAAAATAGCTGAAGAAAATTCATCGATAGACCTTCTTGGGGTTACTAGAAATGTAAATTTTTAAGACTAAAAAAATTAAAAATAAACCAGGAGTTGTAGTTGATGAACCAGTTAATGACAAATTTGTCAAATCGCCAGCATAAATATCAACTTTTGCCATATCTGTTATAGCACAAACACTAAATTCTCCAGAATTGTTTACTCTAAAGGCCTGAAATAAAATAAGCTAAATTTCGACCCATGTGGTGTAGTGGTCAACAGCCCTGACTTGGAGTAAAAGGGGTCGAAGGTTCGATGGCTAATGGGGGATGATTTATTTTATTTCTGTATGCCTGTTAGACAGCTAGCAGGGTTCATGAGGAAGAATCATCTCCTCCCATATGGGTAAGCTTCGACCTCTTATTAACTATGAAAATTGGGACTGAAGACCACTACAAATGGCGTTACCATTACGCTGCCGTGGTGTAATGGTTAAAAGCCTTAACTCTGATTAAAAGGAAAGGCCTAGGTTCTGGAAGATAATGGTGGAAGATAGTGGCATGACCTAATATGGGGAAATAAACAGGTCTCTAGCTCATGCCGTCAAAACCCTTAAGACAAGATCAAGTCACTGACCTAGCTAATAAGCGAAGAAAAATCCTTAAAAATCCCCCTTCTAAAAGTGCCTAAAAACCCTACATAATTAAATTAAATAAAAAATTTAAAAAAATTCCAAACCCTTACAGCATTCTTTGCTCCAATATTTTTAACAGCAGACAAAATTTTCGACAAATTTTTGACTGGAGGCAAAGTAACAGCAACAGAAGGAGTTCCCATATTTGGAGGATTATAATCATTCCAATTTCTGACCAGAATAAAATTTATTGGAATTTCATTGACCAATCCATTTGCACTCAATTCAATTCTCAAATGTGGAATATTATCTTTCTTTACCAATTTAAATTTTGCTTGATTTTCACGTGATTGTATTGAACCAATTAAATCATCAGTAGAAAGTTCAAAGAATATTGCGTTGTTTTCCACAGAAATTCCTTCAAATACCCAAGAACAGAAAAGTTGGTCCTATTTAAATTTTTAAAATTTTATTAGAGACAGACTTCATTATAAAATACACTTTAGACTAGATATAAGGGAAACTGCCAAAAATTTAAAATCTCGAGATTCCATACCTAAAAAATGCATTAATTCATGATAGGATCTCTGCCTTGATACACATCTAAAAAGCCTTTCTTAAATAAGGGTGGCCACTGGGTGTGGGAGCTTGTGTTCCCCTTCCAGATACAACTCAATATAAAATCTCTCTATAAGATACCCACACCTCTCTATATGACACTCCCAATACTGGATACACCTCTAGTTAAAAGACGCTCTTAAAAATTAGGTTGGCTACTGGATGGAGCTTCCAAAGCGATACTCTCTATTTAAACTAACCTTATTAAAACGTCAAGTTACGACTCCAAAGGTAAATCACACATTGAGGTCTGGTTATATTAAAATTAAAAAAATAAGAACCTTTAACAAACGAAAATCCAAACAAATTCCTTCTCTGATGCTGTAAACATTAACAAAACTAAATTCATTTGGTGTAATCCTCACAACAATTCTTTTTCTACATATTTTTGAAGCAATTCCTAATACTTCTAAAAATGATAAAAATTTAATTTAAAACGAAAAAACAAACTTGAAAAAATTTCAACTGATTTAGAATCTCCAAGTACAGCAGTAAAACGCATCTATATAGACTTGAAAAAAATAATTTAAGATTAAAAAAACAGTTAAAGGTACATTGGGTAATTAAAATACACACACAAATATTTTATTGTTAGAACAACAAACTTTATTTTAATATATTCTACGTCAGAAATGACGCGAAAAGTCAGGATAAATTTTTTTTAATATTTTGTAAGATATAAGATAAAATCTGGAATTTTGGTAACCGACAAGGGAACATCGTCTACTGAAAATGCAAATTCGGTATGTTTCCGTTTAAAAAGATGACTTTGGGCCTGAAAAGACCAAAGATGACTGAAAGATGAAAAAGATGACTTTGGGCAAGATGACCAAAGATGACTTTGACCCATAGATGACTTTGGGCCGAGTTATAGACAATGAAAGTTGGATAGCTAGGATCAGAATTAAAAAATTATAACTTTTATCCGAATGGACTCACAGAGGAGCCTCTTAAATCAGAAACAATTAATAATGAAGTCAATAAGTAAAAAACAAAATTTAAAAACCATGGGAATGTAATTGAATTTGTATTTGCTTCAGAAGCGGTTCTCTTATTTTTTGGTGTTTTGGATGGAATAGGAACATTGACCATGGTTTAGTAATCCAGGTGTTAAAAACTTAACACTGTCTTGTGTGTCGCTTCATGCCAGAATATAAACTCACAATCAACTATTAACCTCGAAAAAAAACCAAAATTCCAGATATTCCAAAATAAGTTATATTTTTATCACAATTTAAACTTTTTAAGAGGCACGCTTCTGTATAATCAAAGGTCCAAGATTGTCACCGGTCTCTTTATTATGTGCCATGTGACTTCCATCGCAAAAAGGAAACTAAAAAATAAAATGGAATCGAACTCTAAATTAAAAAAACCTTTTTTGATTGCCAACAACGACAAAAAACTTTTTTGTCCCCAATATCCTCCAAATCCACTTTATCAGCAATTTTGTCTTTTTCCAACGAAATACGCTTGTTATGACGAACAGCAAAAGCAAGTCCCGTACGACGTCCAATAAGATAACCAATAGTTAAGCCACCAGCGAGGAATGTTATAGCAAGAGCGATTTGTGCTTTACCTTTAAAGAAAGTTTTTGACTGTTTAAAATGAAAACTGTTTAAAATGAATTAGACGATCGGGATTCTCCGTCGTATGGTCCATGACTATGTACTCCCGATTTCAATCACGCGGACATTTATTACAAGAAAACCCACGGAACAGCAAGGCCAAAGGAAAACAATAGGCCTCGCCCACACCCAGCCCGATGGCTTTCAAAAACTTAAAGAAAAAATTTAAAATACCTAATGCATCAGTTGAAAAAGTTGATTGTGAGTTCGTCATCTTCTTCCAAATGTAACTTAAAAGCTTTCTAGTCTTAAGATTAAAAATCTTTAAAATTAAAAAAAATTAAGAGAAAAGAAAACTCATAAAAAATACAACAAAAACGTAAAAAATATATGTATTTTTGTATTTTTAAAATATCAACACAAAGAACAACCTAAAATTATTAAAAAAAACAAATGAAAGTTAATTCCGAGATGTTCCACAAACAAAAAATAAAAAGCAAATTTCGTTTGATCTCAAATATTTTATGGAGGTAAAATATAATAAAAATATGCACATTTACTATGCTCTTTTAAATGTCAACAACTATTTGAGGACAACAATCCATTTTTGCTATAAATATCAACACAAGTCCTTTCTCCAAGCAAATATTTGAATAATTCATAAGCACTCCAACTTAGAGCTGTTGCCGGCATTTGATATAAAACTCTTGCTTGAATACCAGAAAAGAAACCGAAAAATCCGCGATTTGAATAAATTGACCAAATGGCATCGAAAACACCTTTAAATTTTTAAAATTAAAATTCCTCGAAAATCTATAAAAAACCTCTATAAGAACCTCCAAAATATAGAATAGACCCTCTTTGGTCTAACAATGGTTGTGGAGACTGTTGGGTGTTTAGCACCTTAAAGGTTACTTTTTAACAAAAAGTAAAGATTTTTAAAGAAATACCGTTTTAATGCAATCTAGAGGAGTTGTTAACGCTGCTGCGAGACCTCCAGAAAGTCCACCGGAAAGTAAATGACTTTTTGGATCATAACGATGGCTTGGATTTATTAACTAAAATATTTTTATTTTTTTTATCAATGCCGTAATGCCAAAGCGCCACTCCGAAATACCAACTATAAGATGACGAAATACTTAAGCGCCCGGAACAGGGTTGGGGTTTTCGAATTGGGCCCAGGTTCGAGACATTTTTGGGCCTCATTTTTATCGAATTGGACCGTCCGAGCCAAAATTCAATGCCCTATTAGATGTTACAAACAGAACCGGGCCCCGATACTAGTCCAGTACTACGGTGTGTAAGCAAATTTAAAATTCAAAAAAACCTGTTGCCAAAATTCATAGCTCATAAAATGGACTGCTTGGAAAGGTATGTTCATCAAAAGTTGTGTTGAATATGACCGGTAAAATGCAGAAATACCCTCAGTTTTGTAAATACAACGCACACATTCCAACGACCCTCCATAGGGACTATAATGCATTTGCATTCGTTGTTTGATAACTTCGGCTGGATTCATTATTAAATCGTGTACAACTGTTGCAGCAACTCCAGCCATAGCATACGACACCGTATTAGAATGGCCATAAGTATTTCCAGTTAACATGCCCTTTAACAAAAATAATTAGTCGGAACTCGGTATAAGCTTTGGGGATTAAAATCTTCTTGGAGGTGGGGTATCTTAATTGAGGCAGGCCCAATGGAGGCACGAGTTGAGAAAAAGTCCGCGCTCAAATCCAATCTCCAAGTTTCTTCTGAACGGATTGAAAAAATTGAGATTTACCAGTGGCAAGCCAGTGTCCCCATATTCTGCTAATTATGCTAAACCCCACGGTTCACTATAAAGTTTGGTTGACAGAATGTGGATTTTTGGGCTGAATGTGGATTTTTGACTCAAAATTAATACAAACCTTGACTTTTTCATAAAATGTAAAATACAAGGCATGTGCTGGAATTGATCCAAAAGCAACGGCATTAATTCCACGAAGCGTCCTTCTAAACCCTTCTCTTTTCGCAATTGAAGCAACTCCATGAAAAGGTGTTGGACATTCCCACTCAGGACACGGACAAAGAGATTGAATCCGCGTCTTCACACTATCCAAAGGGAACATAACACAATGCTCTGCCATACCAGCTACGGCACCAGCAGCCATGTGAACAGGCACAGAATAAGAAAGACCTAAAGATTCGTAATCCCACTCAACGTTTCCGCTGCTTTGCTCTGACATAATTAACTTAAAAAAATTTTAGAAAATTAAACGGAGAGCAAAAAAACAAGTAGTAATGTAATAAAAACAATCAAACTTGAACAAAAAATTTTAACAATCAATTTATTAAAAAAAAAAAATCTAAAAAAAGATACTTTTTGGTATCCCGTCCCTCCCTCTTATATTACCTTTTCCAGACAACGGTGAATCCTAAAGATATCCAAAATTAAAGTCAAAGAAAATTTTATTACTTCTTCTAAAGGTTTTAATTTTTACATTTTCCAGACAACGTTGGATCAACCTGAAGAAATGGATCCTAACACTGAAGAAATACTTATCAACGCGGCCTGTTGTTATATCATTCGTCTGCATCTATACTACAAACTTGGCCATAGCAAAATTCCACTCCATGGTATCCTTTTTGTACTAAAAAGTTAAAAATAAATTTAAAAATCATTTTTAGAAACAAAACCTTTTTTTAAGGCTAGCAAGCGCTTTTTTATAACTGGCCCCACAAATCAGTTCTTAATTTTGTTTCACAAAGACGGTTGAGAAGCTGTTTAAGAAACCAATTAGGTGAAGAGGTATGAGAATGGTACCAAAATTGTTAGGGGCCAGATATTTTCCAGCAAGCTATGGCTTTGCGCCGTTATGGCCGTGCGCCGTTTTGGGCTGTACCCCCCTCTCTAGGCATAAAAAGTCCTTTAAAGTTTCATCCTTACTTAATTGCCAAAGCGTCTCCAGTCTTGTTATTACGAATAGAATTAACGGCCGCCGCGTAAGCGTTTTTCAGAATAATTTTACGATCCTTGTTCACGTTTAAGGCCTGAGCCAGATATGTCTTTGCGACTACTCATTTTGAATGAAATAGTTTTAAAGATAAATAATAATAAATATATTTGTAATCTAAATATCTGAAACAAAAAAGAAGAGGCAGCAGAGCTTCTTCCGGAAGAGGCAGCAGAGCTTCTTCGCTCTCGAATTGAGGAATCCTCTGTAGAGATGGCAGAACTTCAAACGGAGCTCGCAAAGACATATCTGGCTCAGGCCTTAAACGTGAACAAGGATCGTAAAATTATTCTGAAAAACGCTTACGCGGCGGCCGTTAATTCTATTCGTAATAACAAGACTGGAGACGCTTTGGCAATTAAGTAAGGATGAAACTTTAAAGGACTTTTTATGCCTAGAGAGGGGGGTACAGCCCAAAACGGCGCACGGCCATAACGGCGCAAAGCCATAGCTTGCTGGAAAATATCTGGCCCCTAACAATTTTGGTACCATTCTCCTTAGCTCGATGAGAAGATTTGCTTGATACTAAATTTGGTAAGATTCGGAAATCTTGAAGCAAGAAGAAGTAACAAGCTGGAAGAATTAAATTAACACGAGGAGCTGCCTCTTATTAAAGGACTTCTATATTACCATACCTCTTCACCTAATTGGTTTCTTAAACAGCTTCTCAACCGTCTTTGTGAAACAAAATTAAGAACTGATTTGTGGGGCCAGTTATAAAAAAGCGCTTGCTAGCCTTAAAAAAAGGTTTTGTTTCTAAAAATGATTTTTAAATTTATTTTTAACTTTTTAGTACAAAAAGGATACCATGGAGTGGAATTTTGCTATGGCCAAGTTTGTAGTATAGATGCAGACGAATGATATAACAACAGGCCGCGTTGATAAGTATTTCTTCAGTGTTAGGATCCATTTCTTCAGGTTGATCCAACGTTGTCTGGAAAATGTAAAAATTAAAACCTTTAGAAGAAGTAATAAAATTTTCTTTGACTTTAATTTTGGATATCTTTAGGACATTTTTTAAATGACCACCCCCCCCCTCCCCGAAAATTTTTCCTGAATACGTGTCCAGGAAAGGGGATATCCAAAAAGTACTCTAAAAAACAAAAAAAAACTATGGATTTTCAACTCGCCGAAACAACGCCAACCACTTTTGACCTGAATTTCTAGTAACTTTTTGTCCTTCTTCAGTGCTATCATAAAGTAAAGGCACAATCTCATCTTTTTCTTCTTCTTCCTTCTCCAAAAGTTTAAAAAGTAAGTGTTGTCCAATTTGATCAACCATCCATTTATGTACTTCTTCTACGTCAGTTATTGTATAGATTCTACCTGAATAGAATAGATAAAGTCGGATAACAAAATCAAAACTAGCTATAGCCTTATTGCAGAAAACCCAATTCCAAACTGTGGAAATGATGTCGAAATACAAACCCAATACACCAGACTGATAAAAAATGTCAAAATACCAAATCCCCTAACTAACTATAAAGCTTTTAAAGAGCGAGTGTTGCTTCAAGTAATTAGGATTATAAGGACACACCTTATCAACAAAGGTATATCTTATAGTGAGGATATTATCTTTCAATCAATTCTAAACAAAAGACAAACCTCCAGGTTTCAAAACAAAAGCATATTCAGACAGCAAATTTGTTGAAATTATTCTCCACTTGTGCTTTGTCTTCTTAAAATGAGGGTCTGGGAAGAGAAAAAACATTTTGTCAAGTTGTCCTTTAAAGAAAAAGTTTGTAATGTTCTTCATTGCATTGCTTCTAACACAACAAATGTTTCCATATTTTGAGGGGTTTTGCTCCCGTAAGGCTTTAATTCTGTCTTGAACAAAATCTGAGACCTAAATTTTTTTATTAAATTGATAGTCTGTCTGACCTCATTATAGGAAGCACCATTGGGTTAAGAAAAACGTCACTTATAATGAGGTCCTTTATGAAGGGATGTCTCATAAATGGAGGAAATCGTTTAGGCAGAGGATATTGACCTCTCCCTGCTATATTGTCCTCTGCTGGACAATATCCTCTGCTATCGTCCCCCATCCCGTAGCCAACCATATTTTTATGAGCGTCCCTTAATTAGAGGTTTATCTAATATTAGGAGTATCTATAGAGAGGCCCGTCAAACTAGTTTCAACATTACTTTGACTCTAATCTCCATTCCAACCATCATAATGTCAGGTAACATGGGCGAAAGTCTAGCCAATAGACCGCCGTATCCACAACCAATATCAGCAAATTTAGGCAGACAATTACTTGAAGGAGAAGAAAAAAGTTGAGACCAATCCATTCTTAAAAAGAATTTTTTAAAAATTTTCTTTAATCGAAAAAAATACTTTTCTGGAGAAAGAGGGTAGACTAGATCGTGATCAGACATTGGATTGCTATGTGCTCTTTGGCGATAGAAACGTTTTTGAGGGTAGTGGATCGACTGATTCTTACTTTCATTGTTGAGTTGGGAACAATTTGGAATGTTTTCAAACATTGAACTAAAAATTTTTTAATTAAAAAAATTCACAACAAAAAAACAGAATTGCCAATTCTTTCCTATTTTCTTATTGTCCAATTGTCGTACCACAAAATGACATTTACTGAAAATGGCCGTTTAATCGCCAATGTAATTACGACGTTTCATCGCCATAAAACCGTATTAACGGAATATACAGTCGGGCCCTGATTCTGAATCCCCCTAATTTTACCTCGCTTTTAGATACTTTCTAGAGATTTTGAGATACTTTCTAGAGATCTTTTTTCTAGATACTTTCTAGAGATCTTTTGGCACACTTTGTGGCGTTCTTACCATTTTTCGTAGCTATTCTCATCATTATCTCTCCCATCTCACTACGATAGTGCTAAAGTGATACTCAAATTTAGAGTGGGACTTGTACGTAATTTGAGCTATAAAAGCCGAAAATCTTTAGTAATAATTAATAATCTACCAAATCCACAACCCGTATTCTCTTCAAATAATTTATTTTGTACACGTCCGTTGTTGAAATGCGTAGTACACGAATCATTCAAATCGTTAGTGACTTTCTTTATTTCTTTATGCATTTTTATCATTTCAGTTGAACCAGGTCCGCGGATTGACTTCTGATGAAGCAGAGGAAGTTTTAATTAGAACAATTGAGGAAAACAGCCGAGAAGTAGCGGAGTTACAAACCCAACTTGCAAAAGTTTACCTGGATAAAGCATTGAATAGCAAAAAGGAAAGGAGGATGTATTTGAATAAAGCTCTTGAAGCGGTGAACAATTCGCTCCGGATTGATAAAACGACAGAGGCGTTGGCTATTAAGTAAGGCTTGAAATCTTAAAGACCTCTTTTGTGACCTTAAAAATTAGGGTAGAAAACAGAAAATATTCTATTAGGAATATTAATTCGTAATACCGTTGATAAGGTAAGAGTAAGGAAAATGGTCGTTGAAGGGAAGTCTCTCTCCCACCCCCCCCCCCCCCCCCCCGAGTACCGATTTCCAAGCTACAATTCTTTAAAACATTGTAAAAAATTTATTTAAGATGCCGAGTGTTGGGACACATTATAATGTGTAATGGTATCAGTTATGACAGTGTGCAGAAGGCGATTGAAGTGAAGGTAATTTTATTGTTTTTTAAAGAATTAAATTTTTAACTTACAGCAAACGATGGACAAGCTGGAGGAGATGGACTCTCAAAACGTGGAGCTGCCGCTTATTCGCGGACTTCTATATTATCATGTTTCTGCTCCAAATTGGTTCCTCAAACAGCTTCTTAAACGCTTATGTGGAACAAAATTGAAGGAACTGATAAGCGGTGCAAGTTATAAGAAATCACTTGCTAACCTTACCAAGGTTTTGTTTCTAAAAAGGATTTCTAAATTCATTTTTAACTTTTAAGTACACAAAGGACACTATTGAGTGGAGTTACGCTATGGCCAAGTCTCATTTAAAATTTATACCTTAAAAAATTAATACCTTTTAGTTGCCAACGAAAACTGAAAAACTTCGATAGGGCTGCTTTTTTTTATGAAAAGATGCTACAAATGGCAGTAAAGAATGTATTTGAGGAGGTTTATTTTTGTTAAAATAAAATAAAGTTTTGTTGCTTTTTCCTTTGCGGAGAAAAAAGACGAGAATATTTATTCTCCTCGAGCATTTCTGGTATAGAAACATGTAACGGAGTATTACTTTTTTTCTGGGGCGGGGGCCAAAAATTGATCGATCACAATAGATTAATTTTTTATTTTTAAATTCAAAATTTTAGGAACTTGTGGTCAAGGCTCGAGAGAAGTTGTCTGGTCGAAAGAAGTGGTAAAGGTTAATATAATATATTCGTATTGCGATTGTGTTATATGTTCGTAATGAATTTGTGTGTTCATATTAATTTCATAATAATAATTTCGTAAAAACTTTCGTAAAAAAATTCTTATCTTAAAACTTTCTTACTTAGACTTTTCTTAAAACTTTTTTTATTTTTTCTTAAAGATTTTCCTTATTATTAAAATTAGTCTTTTTATAAAACCCTAGTAGCCCCCCTAACTCACTAGTCCATAAAAATCAAAGGAACACAATAAAAATTCACAAGCACAAAAAGGAAAACTGGCATGTTGGCTAAAATTAACAAGTGGTAAACTCGGCCTGAAATAAATTGTGGTAACGGTTAATTAAGTAGTAGTATTCGTATTGTTCGTCTGTTCTTATTAAAAAGTGTGTTAGTGTTCATATACCTTATTTCTTATAATAAAAAAATTTCTTATTTTTTATTAAAAAACCTCTCCTTAAAAATTTTTTCTTAAAACTTTCTTATTTTTTATTAACGTTTTCTTATTATTAAACATACAATTAGTTTTTTAAATAAAAACCTAGAGCCTTTCCCCTAACCCACTAGTCCATAAAAATCAAAGGAATACAATAGAAGCACGAAAAGGAAAACTTTGGAGAGGAGAAAGAAGAAATGTACTCTACAACAATTTTATCTAAAATTTTATTTCTTAATTTTTCAATTCAAAAAAACCTTCAATTTTAAATCTTTATCTCTTCATTTTCTCAAAAAAATTTTCTTTTTGCTGCCTTATCTACAAATTCATCGGAACGCATGGATAAGTTGGGTTGTCGAAAATATTTGCAACAATTTGAAGAGCTTCTCTTACCCAAACATCACTGACCTAAAAATTTTTTTTCAAAAAAATCTAAAAAATTAAAAAAAACCGGATTAGAGCCTTGATAGACTGGCCGAACATTTGGACTTGACGTAAGTGGAGAACGTTTATTGTAAGGTTTAGCTGTATAGGATTCCAACGCGTGACAAAGAACATCAAAACCAGAACAAATAGCAACATTTATAGGCATTGACATAACATTTAGAGGATCAATTATAGCCAAATTTGGTTTGATACATCGAAGCCTGGTGCCCGTTTTGCATTGTTTTTCGGGTATGTCAATAATTGAAACGCCAGTTGTTTCACTTCCAGTACCAGCAGTTGTTGGGACCTTTGGAAAAAAATTTAAGTTTTTCAATAGTGGGGGCAATTAAGAATTATTGAGAAATTTCCTGTTGAGAAACACCCCGCAACCTTGAGAAACTCCGATGGGCCCTTCAGATATTGTCGAAAACGGAAGGCGGAAGAAAAAAAAATAAAAGTAAACGGAAACTATGCTTCGAAGCATCCTCCCTTAGATAATATTAAGTAACTTCCCTCCCTCAAAAAAATATTAAAAAAATAAATACAACAAACAGCAATCAGTGGAAGCATTGTTTTATCAGGAATAAGCCCAAGGCCAAATGGTTTTTGTACAAAATCAAAAAATTCAGCGTTTGGGTTGTTTGCATACAAAGCTGCTGCCTTAAAGTTTACAAAAATTTTTTTAAAAATAAAAAAAAATACTTTTGCAGTATCAATAACAGAACCACCACCAACAGCCAAAAAACAATCAAAAGGTTTTTTTCGAGCAAAATTGATAGCTGATTGCATACCCAAAAATAACAAAAATATTTTTATAAAATAGCCTTGGTAAATGACACCAAGGATGGACTGGAATGAAAAAGTTGATTGTGCCCTTGATAAGCCTTGCTCGAGGGAAAAGAACAAAAAAGGTCAGAAGAGCTGACGGTTCAAAACCGAAGAGCCGAAGGATTTTTAGGCTCTTCGGCTCGCTTCTGGACGAAGATTTCCCAATAGCAACAATCCTATGATCCATATTTTAAACAAAACCCGAAAATCCTTTAAAACAAACTTTGTTGTGAAGGTTCACATTTAATCTCATCAAGAACTTCAAAAGCAATTCCCAATTTAGTTAACGAATTTGCAACATTTCTTTAATGAAATTTTTTTTTAATTAAAAAAAATTAAAAATACTCAAAAGCAACAGTTTTAACCACATTTCTTTCTCCAAGCAAATATTTGAATAATTCATAAGCACTCCAACTTAGAGCTGTTCATCGAAAACACCTAAAATTATTGGAATGTAATTGTTGAAAAAATAATTTATAAAAAACCTCTATAAGAACCTCCAAAATATAGAATAGACTGGTCTAATAATGGTTGTGGAGACTGTTGGGTGTTTAGCACCTTAAAGGTTACTTTTTAACAAAAAGTAGATTAAAAATAATACCGTTTTAATGCAATCTAGAGGAGTCGTCAATGCTGCTGCAAGACCTCCAGAAAGTCCAACGAAATTAAACAACTCCAGCCATAGCATACGACACCGTATAGAACGTATAGAATGACCACAAGTATTTCCAGATAGCATGCCCTCTAACAAAAATAATCAGTCTGAATCGGTAAAAGATAGTTTTGAGGATTAAAATCTTGCTGGAGGTGGGTCTTTAAAAAAATAACGCCCAGACAAGTACGCGTAAAAAACATTTTAAATTGAGGTAGGAAATCCACCCCTTTTAATAAATGTTTGAAAAATGTCTATTAATGTCCAATTAGCAGAATATCGGGGGTAGCAAGCAAGGACAGCTTGTATTATACTAATAATAAGCATTTTAATATATACACAAACCTTGACTTTTTCATAAAAGGTAAAATACAAGGCATGTGCCGGAATCGATCCAAAAGCAACAGCATTAATTCCTCGAAGCGTCCTTCTAAACCCTTCTCTTTTCGCAATTGAAGCAACTCCATGAAAAGGTGTTGGACATTCCCACTCAGGGCAAGGACAAAGAGATTGAATTCGAGTCTTCACACTATCCAAAGGGAACATAACACAATGCTCTGCCATCCCAGCTACGGCACCAGCAGCCATGTGAACAGGCACAGAATAAGAGAGCCCTAGAGATTCGTAGTCCCAATCAACGGTTCCGCTGCTCTGTTCTGACATGATTAACTTTAAAAAAATTTAATTAAACTAGAGAATAATAAAAAAAGATATCAACTGACAAAAACAGTCAAAACACAAAATTTTTAAGAATAATTTTATTAATAAAAAAATCTAAAAAAATATAAAAAAATTTTTTAAGGATTTTCAAGTCGCCGAAACAACGCCAACCACTTTTGACCTGAATTTCTAGTAACTTTTTGTCCTTCTTCAGTGCTATCATAGAGTAAAGGCACAATCTCATCTTTTTCTTCTTCTTCCTTCTCCAACCGTTTAAAAAGTGGGTGCTGCCCAATTTGATCAACCATCCATTTATGTACTTCTTCTACGTCAGTTATTGTATAGATTCTACCTGAATAGAATAGATAGTCGAAAAACAAAATCAAAACTAGCTATATGATACACCCCAATAAGTAAGGTAGTACGCCGTAATTCAAAACGCCGAATTCCAAACTGTAGAAATGGTGCCGAAATACCAACCCAACACCAGACTGATAGAAAATGTGAAAATACCACATTCCCTAACTAAAGCCTATGAAGAGCGGAGTGTTGTGTCAAGTAATAAGATGACTAAAAACACGCCTCAAGATGACTTAAGAGTGTAATTTATAGTAAGGATTTTATTTTTCAACCAATTCTAAACAAAAACAAACCTCCAGGTTTCAAAACATAAGCATATTCAGAAAGCAAATTTGTTGAAATTATCCTCCATTTGTGCTTTGTCTTCTTAAAATGAGGATCTGGGAAGAGAAAAAACATCTTGTCAAGTTGTCCTTTGAAGAAAAAGTTTGTAATGTTCTTCATTGCATTGCTTCTGACACAGCAGATATTTCCATATTTTGAGGGGTTTTGCTCTATCAAAGCTTTGATTCTGTCTTGAACGAAATCTGAGACCTAAATAAAAAAATTTTTAAACTGATATGACAGTCTGACCTCACTATAGAAGGCACCATCGGCCTTAAACACCGTCCCTTATAATGAAGTTCCTTATAAAAAGGTGTCCCTTAAATATAGGGTATCGTTTAGGCAGAGGATATGTCCCCCGCCCCGCATCCAATCAATTTTTATGAGCATCCGTCCCTTAAATAGAGGTTTATCTAATATTGGGGGTATCTTATAAAGAGGTCCGTCAATATAATCTTCACGTTACCTTGACTCTAATCTCCATTCCAACCATCATAATGTCAGGAAACATGGGCGAAAGTCTAACCAACAGACCTCCATATCCACAACCAATATCAGCAAATTGAGGCAAAGAATTACTTGAAGAAGAAGAAAAAAGTTGAGACCAATCCATTCTTAAAAAGAATTTTTTGAAAATTTTTACTCGAAAAAAATACTTTTCTGGAGAAAGAGGGTAGACTAGATCGTGATCAGACATTGGATTGCTATGTGCTCTTTGGCGATAAAAACGTTTCTGAGGGTAGTGGATTGACTGAATCTTACTTTCATTGTTGAGTTGGGAACAATTTGGAATGTTTTCAAACATTGAACTAAAAATTTTTTAATTAAAAAAATCAGGTTTCACGACAATAAAAAACAGAATTGCCAATTCTGTGCTATTTTCTTATTGTCCAATTGTCGACAACAAAATGACATTTACTGAAAATGGCCGTTTCATCGCCAATGTAATTACGACGTTTCATCGTCATAAAATTATATTAACGGAATATACAGTCGGGCCTCGATTCTAAAGTGGGCACGACTTGTCGTCTTGGCTTCGCCACATGGGGCAAAATTTCAAAGCAAAATTTCAAAAATAGATAACTTTTGGCAAACTTTGTGGCGTTCTCACTATTTTTCTGCCAATCTCATCATATAACATTATCTCTCTCATTTAAGATTTTTCATATGACCAACTGATGTAAATGTCACTACGACAAAGTGACCACGTCAGGTTAACAGAAAATCATGCCATTGAAAAATAGTGTGCTAAAGTGAAGAGAGACGTTATACATTCAACTTTTTCACTTTATTTCCGGTAGTTTCAGTGTCAATTATTAATTACGGGTTGAGTGCCAACTTAATCGCAGAGTTTGAGTGTCAATAAGGAGAAAAATCTCTCTCATTAGGTAAATCTTTATATCTTTTAACACTTTAATTCTATACTTTTCCAATTATCCATTTTTGTATTCCTAAAATAGTTCTTTACACTAGTACCCTCTGTTATTCTATTCGCACTCCTTACTTATCTCGCACTTTATCACTTTAGTACCATCTTTTATTCATCTTCGAACTCCTTATAAATCTCGCACTTCTTTACACTAGTACCCTCTGTTAGTCTATTCGCACTCCTTACTTATATATCACTTTATCACTTTAGTACCATCTTTTATTCATCTTCGAACTCCTTATAAATCTCGCACTTCTTTACACTAGTACCCTCTGTTAGTCTATTCGCACTCCTTACTTATATATCACTTTATCACTTTAGTACCATCTTTTATTCATCTTCGAACTCCTTATAAATCTCGCACTTCTTTACACTAGTACCCTCTGTTAGTCTATTCGCACTCCTTACTTATATATCACTTTATCACTTTAGTACCATCTTTTATTCATCTTCGAACTCCTTATAAATCTCGCACTTCTTTACACTAGTACCCTCTGTTAGTCTATTCGCACTCCTTACTTATATATCACTTTATCACTTTAGTACCATCTTTTATTCATCTTCGAACTCCTTATAAATCTCGCACTTCTTTACACTAGTACCCTCTGTTAGTCTATTCGCACTCCTTACTTATATATCACTTTATCACTTTAGTACCATCTTTTATTCATCTTCGAACTCCTTATAAATCTCGCACTTCTTTACACTAGTACCCTCTGTTAGTCTATTCGCACTCCTTACTTATATATCACTTTATCACTTTAGTACCATCTTTTATTCATCTTCGAACTCCTTATAAATCTCGCACTTCTTTACACTAGTACCCTCTGTTAGTCTATTCGCACTCCTTACTTATATATCACTTTATCACTTTAGTACCATCTTTTATTCATCTTCGAACTCCTTATAAATCTCGCACTTCTTTACACTAGTACCCTCTGTTAGTCTATTCGCACTCCTTACTTATATATCACTTTATCACTTTAGTACCATCTTTTATTCATCTTCGAACTCCTTATAAATCTCGCACTTCTTTACACTAGTACCCTCTGTTAGTCTATTCGCACTCCTTACTTATATATCACTTTATCACTTTAGTACCATCTTTTATTCATCTTCGAACTCCTTATAAATCTCGCACTTCTTTACACTAGTACCCTCTGTTAGTCTATTCGCACTCCTTACTTATATATCACTTTATCACTTTAGTACCATCTTTTATTCATCTTCGAACTCCTTATAAATCTCGCACTTCTTTACACTAGTACCCTCTGTTAGTCTATTCGCACTCCTTACTTATATATCACTTTATCACTTTAGTACCATCTTTTATTCATCTTCGAACTCCTTATAAATCTCGCACTTCTTTACACTAGTACCCTCTGTTAGTCTATTCGCACTCCTTACTTATATATCACTTTATCACTTTAGTACCATCTTTTATTCATCTTCGAACTCCTTATAAATCTCGCACTTCTTTACACTAGTACCCTCTGTTAGTCTATTCGCACTCCTTACTTATATATCACTTTATCACTTTAGTACCATCTTTTATTCATCTTCGAACTCCTTATAAATCTCGCACTTCTTTACACTAGTACCCTCTGTTAGTCTATTCGCACTCCTTACTTATATATCACTTTATCACTTTAGTACCATCTTTTATTCATCTTCGAACTCCTTATAAATCTCGCACTTCTTTACACTAGTACCCTCTGTTAGTCTATTCGCACTCCTTACTTATATATCACTTTATCACTTTAGTACCATCTTTTATTCATCTTCGAACTCCTTATAAATCTCGCACTTCTTTACACTAGTACCCTCTGTTAGTCTATTCGCACTCCTTACTTATATATCACTTTATCACTTTAGTACCATCTTTTATTCATCTTCGAACTCCTTATAAATCTCGCACTTCTTTACACTAGTACCCTCTGTTAGTCTATTCGCACTCCTAACTTATATATCACTTTATCACTTTAGTACCATCTTTTATTCATCTTCGAACTCCTTATAAATCTCGCACTTCTTTACACTAGTACCCTCTGTTAGTCTATTCGCACTCCTTACTTATATATCACTTTATCACTTTAGTACCATCTTTTATTCATCTTCGAACTCCTTATAAATCTCGCACTTCTTTACACTAGTACCCTCTGTTAGTCTATTCGCACTCCTTACTTATATATCACTTTATCACTTTAGTACCATCTTTTATTCATCTTCGAACTCCTTATAAATCTCGCACTTCTTTACACTAGTACCCTCTGTTAGTCTATTCGCACTCCTTACTTATATATCACTTTATCACTTTAGTACCATCTTTTATTCATCTTCGAACTCCTTATAAATCTCGCACTTCTTTACACTAGTACCCTCTGTTAGTCTATTCGCACTCCTTACTTATATATCACTTTATCACTTTAGTACCATCTTTTATTCATCTTCGAACTCCTTATAAATCTCGCACTTCTTTACACTAGTACCCTCTGTTAGTCTATTCGCACTCCTTACTTATATATCACTTTATCACTTTAGTACCATCTTTTATTCATCTTCGAACTCCTTATAAATCTCGCACTTCTTTACACTAGTACCCTCTGTTAGTCTATTCGCACTCCTTACTTATCTCGTACTTTATCACTTTAGTACCATCTTTTATTCATCTTCGAACTCCTTATAAATCTCGCACTTCTTTACACTAGTACCCTCTGTTAGTCTATTCGCACTCCTTACTTATCTCGCACTTTATCACTTTAGTACCATCTTTTATTTATCTTCGAACTCCTTATAAATCTCGCACTTCTTTACACTAGTACCCTCTGTTAGTCTATTCGCACTCCTTACTTATCTCGCACTTTATCACTTTAGTACCATCTTTTATTCATCTTCGAACTCCTTATAAATCTCGCACTTCTTTACACTAGTACCCTCTGTTAGTCTATTCGCACTCCTTACTTATATATCACTTTATCACTTTAGTACCATCTTTTATTTATCTTCGAACTCCTTATAAATCTCGCACTTCTTTACACTAGTACCCTCTGTTAGTCTATTCGCACTCCTTACTTATCTCGCACTTTATCACTTTAGTACCATCTTTTATTTATCTTCGAACTCCTTATAAATCTCGCACTTCTTTACACTAGTACCCTCTGTTAGTCTTAAACAATTTAGTAGACTCATCTGACAAACTTTTTACTACAAAATTGCGCACTTAAAATTTATTTTTTTCCAATGCTTATAAAATTCGTCATTCCCTTTTTTTATTGTTATTAACATTTGCGTGTGAAAACTAAAAAAAATTTTTCTATTAAATCAATTTTAATATTTATATAAATAAAAATGCCATTGCCGCCAACCTATGTATTTAATTCTTAATTGACTAACAGTGTTTCTAGTATATCATTTAGGTATTTTACCCTGAAATTCTTTAGAACTGAAAAGAAAATAAAAATATTTAAATAATTAAAAAAAAATTTTTTAAGGGCCCAATTAGGCGCGCGCCCAAGTAGGCGCAAAGCCATAACTAGCTTGAAAATTTCTGGACCTTAACAATTTTTGTACCATTCTCTTTAGCTTAATGAGAGGAATCGTTTGATACCAAATTTAGAAAAATTTGAAAATCTTGAAGCAAGTTACGACTTTGCGCCTACTTGGCCGTGCGCCTATTTGTACCCTTAAAAAATAAAAAATTTTTTAATTTATGAAGAATATTCTTTTAATTTCTTTTATGCTAATTTTCAAAAGAATTCTTTCTCTTATTCAAAAAAATATTTTTTTCCTCAAATAACTAAAATCCATTTCTAAATTTATTTTCTCTCAATTAATTTTTTAAAATTTAAATAAAATACATATATTAAAATAGCTGACTAATTTAATTAAATAAATAATTCTTTTTGCCGTTTATTTTATATGCCCAATAGAATTGTAGGTGTGTGCCATACTTTTTATTTGTTGGAATTTATTTTTACTCGTTTCCTTTTCATTTAAACAGATTTTCTCATTTTTATTTATTTAATTAAAATACTCCCTCGAGGTTAAAAAATACTCTTATAATGAAGTGTCTATTAAATAGAAGGTATCGGCTTAGTTAGCTCCCCACTCAAAAATCTTAAACTTAAGAAGCGTCTCTTAAATAGAGGTGTATTTATATTAGAAATCGAAATGTCGTTAAGTCGAAATTTTAAGTCGAAATTTCGCGAAATTTCGAATTCATTCAAAATTTCGAAATCAAATTCTGAAGTCGAAATTTCGACATAGCTCTAGTCAATCAATTTTCTAGTCAGGAAATAGAAGGATTTTTAAAATTAAAGTAATGAATACAAGTCGAAATTTCGCAAAGAGATTACACTTTTAAATTGTACACCCCAACTTACCGTGAGCCCAGTTAACAGCAGAGCTATAACTTTGTTCAAAATGGTCGAATCCGGGACGCCCTGGTATGGTTCGATTCAGTTCGTCGAGGCGCATCGAACCATACTAGGGCATCCCAAATTTTACAATTCTGAACGAAGTTATAGGCTCTGCGGTAAGCTTGCGTAAGTTGGCCTGCTCCCTTCTAAATAGGGTGTATTTTTAAGCACTATTTAATAATTAATTTTCTTCTTTTTTTTTCAGTTTATTTAAAATTAATTTTTCTATCAAAAAATTAAATGAATATTATTACTCCAAACAAAATTTTAATTAAAAAAAGAAAAAATGTCTGAAGACCCCTCAACCCAAACAACAACTATTCAAGAAGGACAATTCTCAACTAATGACCACCAACAAGAAAAAATTAGAGATATTATAGTCCTTCCACCCCCAGAAATAATTAATTCAGTAAATGGGGGTAATGACGATATTGATAAAATATTGGGACAAATGGCTGAATTTATGAGTGAAAAAATTATTGAATGTAGACAGGTGGGAATTTAAATAAAAAAATTATTTAATTTATTCTAAACGATTTTTAAAATTGGGGTAATGAGAAAATTTAATTGTGCTAGTATACATATTTACACATATGACAGGGCAGTTTCGAAAAAATTGCGAAAGTCGAAATTTCGAAATCGAAATTTAAAGTCGAAAATTTCAATTCAAAGTTTTTCCCGAAATTTTCACGAAATTTTCTCATAATTTCTAATTTTTCTCGAAATTTCGAATTGAAATTCAAATTCGAAATTTTCCCGAAATTTCGAATTGAAATTCGAAATCGAAATAAATTACAAGTCAAAACTTCGAAATAGAATTTCGAAGTCATTTCGAAATTGAGATTTCGCAACATCTTTGCTTGGGAAAAATAGCTGCTTTTTTACGAAACAATTGTTTTTCCTAGGAAATCTTTCTCTTTATTCTCTCCTCTAGGCCCAGGTAAATCACAATATTCTCCATAATAAGTTTCGTTTCTTGGACATATACACGTAAATTTATTTCGAGGCCAATGGTCATGTCCATGCCAAGGTTTTTGGTGTCTTCGTCTGTCGCGTAAAATACAACGGCCACGTCCATGACAAATTCGTGTTGAACAACTAAAATGATAATTATATAGACACTCAGATCTCGTTATAAGAGACGCCCTTAGGGTCGGTTCTTATAATGAGCTGTATATTAAATAGAGGGTATCGCTTAGAAATCCCCCTCCCAATTGTCAACCGAATTTTTTAAAACGTCTCATAAATAGAGGTGTATCTAGTAGTGAGGACCCTCAATACATGATACACCTCTATTTAAAAGACGTTTTCTAAATTTTGAGAAAGGAGGGAGCTAGCTATCTATGTGATAGCCTCTATTTAACATACACTCATTTTAAGAGACTATTTTCATCCCCAAAGGGTGTATTTTATAACGGGGTTTTTTGTCTTAACTCTTTTGTATTCTCAATCAATTTTTGTACAAACGGCCCAAAAACATTGTTTAAATACACAGAAATTGAATGGCATCTTTCTCCAATTTGTTTTGAACTTGACCAAATAATAAGGCCATCTACACCTAATTGAGCTGTCCATTCATAACTACAAAAAAGCTCTTCTTTTGAATAAAACAAATTTTGGGAGGGAGAATAAGGGTCCAATTCCATTTTTGTAAATAAAATAACTGGACGATCCTTTCGACGTAACGACCTTCAAAGAATTCGAAGAAAAAAATTTTTTTAAAGGAAAAACCAAGTCCATTCAGCCTCTGCTACTTTTGCATGCATGTGTCTTTCACATAAAACTTTTTTCCGTTTTCGATCACCGGGGTATAAATAAATTGAGGAATAAAGAGCACTAACTTCTGCGTACAACCACCATAATCTAGAAAATATTTGCTAGAGGAATGGCTACTTTATGGATCTCATTATAAGGTACACCCTTGGAAAAATAGTACCTTATAATGAGGGGTATATTAAATAGAGGATATTACCTAAGCAACTAGCCCACCCAATGGCCAACCAAATTTCAAAGAGCATCTCTTGAATAGAGGTTCTAGTATAGAAGGTATCTTGTAATGAGTGTATCTTATAAGGAGACTCCCAATACTAAATACACCTCTATTTAAGAGACGTTCTTTAAAATTAGGTTGGTAATTGGTTGGGGGTGCTCCCTAACTGATACCCTTTATTTAACAGACACCTCATTATAAGAGACTATTTTTATTTCCCAGGGGTGTATCTTATAAGGAGGTTCGAAACTTTACTTGTCATTATGTTTTCTAAACAATTCCAAACAACCAACAGGCCATCGTTCACCCGCATCATAATTACACAAAGGCGTATCATAAAACCCCCACAAAGCTTTTGGGCGTAATTTCCTTCCCAATCTAATCGTTTCAACAGTAAATTTCCTCGCTCTTTTATTAAACAATTCTCGGCCTATTTCTGTCGCCGATTTTTCGCTAATTCCTGGGAAACGTTCAAGAACGTCTTTTGTCGATTCCAATTGGTAAATCCGTCGAGCTGCCCAATTCAAGGACCATTCGGGTCTCCACTTTTCGTAATCGATTATTGCTGGGCCGGAGAAGTCGGGATCGGGGATTGCTTTTAAAATGTCCTTCTTGGCCTTTTCTAAGTGGTCGTTTAAATTTATGTTCTGTAAAATTAAGAATGATTTTAGATTTTTGTAAAACCTCATTATAAGATACCTCCAATACTAGATACACCTCTATTTAAGAAAGATCGTTTAAATTTTGGTGGCAACTGGGCAATACCTCTTTAAGATAACGCCCATTATAAATCACGTCTCATTACAAGATACCACCCATTACAAGATACCCCTTGATTCAAGAGCATCTCATTTTAAGATACCCACATATCCTCATTATAAGGTACGATTTATAAGCCCTAAGGCTGTATCTTATAGTGAGGTCTTTAATTTAATATACCCCCAATATAAGATACCCCTCATTATAAGAAAACCTCATTATAAGGTTCTCAGTCCTAGAGGTGTATCTTATATTAAGGTCTGTTGTAAAGACTAGTAATTTTACTTGAGGTAAACCACCATTGATATATTTAACAATTAACGTTTTATTTAACTCTAAATTATCATCATTCGTAGATTCATCAAAGTTATCAAATTCTAAATAGGGATATAATCCAAGTTGGTGTTCATAAAATATTACAATCTTAAAGGAATTTCAAATTTTTAAAATATAAGAACACCACCTCCGTTCCATGAAACTTTTGATTTTTGTTTGTTTTAATTCCAAATTTTTGAGGCTCTAGAGGTTTTCTTGTTTTGTTTAAGCATTGTTGACTTGGAACGGCCCAATAAATCTGATAATTAAATTATTTTCTCTATTAAACACTCCTATACTAGCTACTACTCTGTTTAATAAACGCTTTTTAAAGTTGGAGAGAGAGGAGAGAGAGACTGCCAATAGGAAAGAGAGAGAGCCTCTAGTTAGAAGAGAGCCCCCCAATACTTTCTATTTAGGAAACACTTCAATTTAAGCTCATTTTTGGCATTAAGGAAGATCATTTTTGGCATCCCTCGTCCTCTTTCTCAACTACAATTTCTCTCGTTTCATGTACTAGTTATTCTCTTTAAAAACCCACCTATTTAAAATACACCTCGTTATAAGCGTTTTTCATCCCCTACTATTTTTCATTTCTTTTGGGTATCAGTGAGATCAGTGACTATCTATCTTAGTTAAAAACAGAATTTAAAAAACTCACATCTAGAGTAAGACAATATAGAGGTAATAGGACAATATATACAATAAAGAAAATATTGGCAGACTTGCTGACCATTTTGTACCCTAAATTTTTTTTTTAGTTTTTTTGATGAAAGGAAAAAAATGTTACAAAATGTACTAGAATTAACCTCAAGATAATGAAAAAAAAAGTTATTTTTCGAAACACGAGACTTGATAAAAACCTAACAGATAAAATATCAGCCAGATCATTTCCTTTTGTTCTATTATATTTAAAGGTGTGTGTTTGTCCAGACATAATAAAGAGGAGGGAAAAGTGAGGGCAAACATTTTTTTGAATTAAAAACTAAGGGGGGGGGGGGGGGTCTCAAAAATGTTGCGGAAATTTTGAAAAAATTCAAAAGAAAAAAAATTTTTTTTTCAAGTTATCACAATCCTCAGCCGTTAGTTTTACGGCTAATTTTCTTCAATCACGTGTTATTAGTACGGATGTGGGTGTTAGACTGGCAAAGTTATATGAGGCTTTACAAGTTAAAAATTTGGAAGAATTTAATCAAAAATTGGAAGAATTGAGTGAAAATAGTAGTGAGAAAGGTAAAGTTAATTTTTAAGAACTCATTATAAGAGACACCTCTATTTAACAGACACCTCTATTTAAAAAACCAAAAATCTCTTTATAAGATACAATCATTTAGGAGACGAAAAATTTCATTATAACAAACACCTCTATTTAAGAGACAGAAACTTCAGTATAAGATACGCATTGGTAGACCCTCTATTTAATGGACACCTCATTTTAAGAATTAGAGATCGAGCTGGGTCTGGACCAAGGCCTGGGTTTTTCCTGTACCCTGAGTCCAGGTCCAGGCATTTTTTCACCTTCTTGGGGTTTTCCTGGGCCTGGGTTTTTCCTGGACTACAGGCCCAGGATCCGGCCCAGGCCAATAAATCAAACCCAGAGCCCAGGAACAGACCCAAGCTTTTTAAAATAATCTCGATCTCTAATCTAAATAGTGAGATTTTCTAAATTATATTTAAAAAAATTTTATTTTTCAAGCAAAAATCATTCAAAATTTAAAAGAATCTTTTATTCAATGGGAAGAATTTTTATCAGAACTGGATAGAGAATTGGAACGTATTGCTGGGCCAGAAAAACGTTCAGAATTGGGAAAGAATGGAACTGGTGTTTTTGAAAGAAAATTTTTTCAATTTTTTATATTTTTAGATATTCAATTGGTCAGCCATTTAAGTCGTCTGGCACAAAATGGTTCTCTTTTATCTTATGTACAATCATCAAGCTATTCTCTTATGTCTGTTTTTTGAGGGGGATTTATAGGGGGAATATTAAATTCAACTAAATTAAAAAAGATTTTTTGGTGTAGTGGGATATGGCTCAATTTATTAGTGGAAAATGAAGGGGGTTCGAACCCTTTTGAGTGATAAATAATTTTATAACCCATAATCTTCCCTCGTTGCTCCAAATTTTTATTTATACAGACCTCACTTATAAGTACACCCCTAAGGCTGAAAAAAATCTTACCTTATAATAAGGTGTCTATTAAATAGAGGGTATCGCTTAGGAAGTTCCCGCATCCAGTGGCCTACCATTTTTTAAAAAGCGTCTCTTAATTGGTGTAACTTATATTGGGAGTTACCCTCTATTTTATTTACACCTCATTATTAGATACCACAAGGGTGTCTCTTAAATAGAGGGTATTTCTTAAGCAGTTCCCTCACCCAATAGGCAATCAAATTTAATTAGCGTCCCTTAAATAGAGGTGTCTCCATTATTGGGGGTATCTTATAATGAGGTCCGACCACTTTGAAATTTTATTTTTCAGGTTTTTAGAAGTAGTATCCTCCTTCGCCGTTCAAGAATGTTACGAACACGTAAAGAAAATGTTCGACTCCTTAACAGAATTTCACAAATTAGGATGTGATATTCTTTTATTAACTCAGAGACCAACAACTGGAGGTGGAGGATTTCTCAAATTAATTGGAATGCCGTTTAGAATGTTGCTAAATGAGAGTGAATCTATGAGACAGATTTTAATGCACCGACAATCGGCTTTGTCTATGGCGGGGATTAGAGCATTACACATTGTTGGTTGTTTAAATATAAAGTTGAAACTCATTATAAGATACCCCCAATATTGGAGAAACCCCTATTTAAGAGACGTTTTTATAATTAGGTTGGCCATTGGGTGGGGGAGCTGCCTAAGATATACCCTCTATTTAATGTACACTCATTATGAGGTACGATCTTCAAGGGTGTACCTTATAGTGAGGTTTAACCTCTATTTAAAAGACGCTTTTAGAATTAGGTTGACCACTAGATGGGAAAGCTACCTAACCGATACTCTCTATTTAAGAGACACCTCATTATTAGGTACATCTCATTATAAGGCTCGATATTTTCGGTCCCGAGGGTGTCATATAATGGGGTTTGATTGTGTACTTATTTTCAAAATAAATATTTAACAGTTTAAAAATTGTCAGTTTCCGTAAAATAGCAAAAAAGCTTTCTAAGTGTCCAAGAAATATTTTATAAAATAACTGGACAATAAATAATTTTATTTATTATTTTTAGTCTCCATTTTCCCCTTAAAAAGACTGACTACCATTTATTTTATTTTTAATACCCTTTTTTATTTTTGAAAAAGTTTCGGCAAAAATGCCGTCAACGGGGGGTTCGAAAAAAAATAAAAATTTAAATTCTTTTTAGTACACAGAATTTTTGTGTAACGATCATCCTTTGGAAATTGCTTCTTCAAAAAATAACGGAAATAATGGGGTACTGGAAAAGCAACAAAGTGGGTGTATTTTGCTCAATCATGAAGGGCAAATTTTGTATTCTTATTTGTGCACGGATTCGAGTGATTGGCCGGATGTTGAAGTTTTGCTTGAACAAGTAAATGAACTCGTTATAAGAGACCCCCTCATTAGAAAATACCCCCGATTTAATATACTACCTCCCATTATAAGATACCTCTCATTATAAGATACCCCCTATTTAAGATACCTCTCATCATAAGAGACTCCCTATTTAATAAACATCTCAATATAAGAGACCCTCTATTTGATAAACACCTCATTATAAGATACCCTCTATCTAATAAACACCCCATTATAAGGTACGATTCTTCTAGTCCCAAAGGTGTATCTTATAATGAGGTCTGATTATTTTTGACGGGATCAATCATGGGTGTTGTCCTCTAGGATCTTCTGAATCCCTTAGCTTATTCGTTAAATTAAGGTTAGACTCAATCAAACCAGAAGGCCTTCAACAGCCAAAAGTTCCCTTCAACCATCTTCACAACAAACATTAGCCACAGACGTATTAGCTTCTGACCGTTTTGAAGACAATCAAAATAACATTCAAACAAACGATTTAACTGGAAATTGCCAAGAAGTTGCTGTACATAAAAGAAAATGTTGTATAATTATTTAGTTTAAATTATATTGGACGATACGACATTTGCGTTAGCGACATTTGAACACATCCCCTGTAACTTTAAAAAATGTCACTTATTTTTCTTTTTCTTTAGCTAATGTTCGCAAATGTCGGTACGCAAATGTCGCGTACTTTTCTTATTCTTTTATTCTTTACAATTTTATTTCTTTCCTTTTTTACCTTGAAAAATAAAAAAATTTTATTTTATCTTTGTTTGGTAATTTAATTATTTAATCAATAAGTATGTTCAAATCAAGTAAATTAATGTCAAAATCGATCACGATAAATTGATTGCGCTTTTCTTCCCAATTATTCTAATGACCTTACCTACACCAGAAATTAACATCGAAAATTTTGATCATTTCGAAGAGAACGAAAATAAAATTAAAATTGGAGAGAAGACAAAAAGAGTACGTTAATACAGGCAGACCTCACTATAAGACACCCCTAGTATTAGAAATACCTCTATTTGAGAGACGCTCTTTTAAAATGTGGTTGATCACCGGAGGGAGGCTCCGAGAGATAACCTCCATTTAAGATACACTTCAATATAAGGAGTCTTAATGTAGGATACACCTCTATTTAATGTACACCTCTATTTAAGAGACGCTCTTTAAAGTTGGGCTGCCACTGGAGGAAGGGGAGCTGCCCAGGCGTATACACTCTATTTAAGAGACCTTATTATAAGAGACTATTTTTAGCCCAAAGGATGTATCTTATAGTGAGAGTTCATTATACTCAAAATCAAAAGTATTTCCTTCAAAAAATTTTTATTTTTCAGTTACTCCGCCTTGTAGGCCCCCAATTAGCAGTGCCTTTACTTCTCTATATTTATTTGTTATTTGGTGTTTTCTGTTATCGTTTAATTGATGGAGAATTAAAAAACATGCCTTTCACCGAATTATTTTTATTTTGTTTTGGAACACTGACAACGATTGGCTATGGAAATATCAAACCTTCAACGTCAATTTCTTTACTTTTTACAATGATATATGCCCCTTTAGGCATTCCTTTGTGTATGTTGACTTTGGCAAATATGGGGAAGCATATTACTAAAGCTTATAATTCTTTAACTTTATCATTGAGGAATAAAGTAAATTTATTTTAAATCGACCTCGTTATAAGATACACCTTTAGGGCTGAAAATAGTCTCTTATAATGGGATGTATGTTAAATAGAGGGTATTGCTTATACAGTTCCCTAATCTAGTAATCAAACAAATTTTAAAGAGCGTCTCCTAAATAGAGGTGTATCTAAGAGCGAGGGTATCTTATATTGGGGGTACCTTATAATGAGGGGCATCTTAAATAGAGGGTTTGACTAAACAGCTTCCCAGCCCATTCCCCAATTCAATGGCCAATCTAATTTTAGAAAACATCCATTAAATAGAGGTGTCTCATCTTGAATGTACCCTATAACGAGATCCGACAAGTAATCACCCCTTATTTTTTAAAAAGAAATTTCTCTCACACTCAATTGGACAAAACAAAAGATTGCCTTTAATCGCAACAATAACACTCTTTATTTTATCCCTATGTGGATCAGCAGCATTATTATCTACAGAAGAAACGCCTCTCTTCCACACAGACCATTTATATTTTGCTGTTGTTAGTTTTACAACACTAGGTTTCGGTGATTTGTACCCGAACACGGAAGGCAATATATTTCGATTAATTGGGATCATTTGTCTTCTTAGTGTGGGCATTATAGCGATGGGAGTTTGGTTCCAATTAGTAAAGAATTGGCTACAAAAAATATTTTGCTATAAAAAACGACGATTTCGACATGCTAGGAATATTCAGGCAAAAATCGATTTGTTAAAATTTAAGGGAGGGACAATACACCGTCTGACTTAACACCGTTAAGGCTAAAAAATGTCCTCCTTTACTTTGAGTAAACAAATCTTAAAATAAAATTTTTAGGCAAAGGAGTAGGGTACTAAACAATCCCAATATCAATAGGCTCTAAAATATTGAGATAACATAAAGTTGGCTGAAATCTAATTCATTCTCTGTTAAGGTGTATCCAGTCGGTGTTTTGATCAGACGGTGTTTTGCACTGATTCGATTAAATTTAAAAAACACAAATTGTTTAAAGGTTTGGTTCGGTCATAAACAAATGAGACTCTCAAATGTTTTAGAAGTTGTTGCTCGGGAGTTTAATGTAATCTGTCAAGTGAAGAAGATAATTCTCAATTTTTTTTAAGGCATCACCAATGCAGATACACCAAGTATTGAATGACTTGGATTTTCTTATATCTGATGCAAAAGCAAATAATGCGACAGAAATAAATTAATTTAATTGCACTGTGATTTTGACATAATAATGGGATAATAAGTTGAGACTTTCCGGTTTTATCAAAACTCCCGATTAAGTTTACGCTCATTAGCAAGACTCAAATAAATGCAAGTGAAAGCGTTAGTCTAGTTGGATCACACTAGCCCGGCTAGTCCCTGATCCTTCGTCCGTTCCAGCCACAATCCACATGCTTCTACTACGGCCAACTCAAACGGTTGTAACAAAGACCACCGTTTTGCGACTCCGTTGTGTAATATAGACAAAAGCCTTATAAAGGAAAGAAAGTGGAGTGTAGGTGAGGTGATCACCATTAAGTGATTAAGTGGTGTATTAAGAGAGGTAAAAGTACAGCCTCAAGCACGCTTCGAACTGTGACTTTTTGGTGGCTATTGCTTAAGGCATTAGGATCTCAATTCTTCCTTAAAATGTGTTAGTTCTTTGTCACTCATCCTGACCTCTAAGTAGATCCAAATTTTAAACAAAACCTTCATAAGTATTTAAATTTTATCTTGAAAAATAAAATTGCTAGAAATTTTGAAAATATGTATTTGAGTACTACGCTTTTTGGAATATAGAAAAATGCCCGGTTTACGTTTTCTGAAGAAATTTTCACAGGGGGGAAGAAAAAAGAAAGAGGTGATAGTATAAGAGGGAACAATGAAGTATCCAACGGTCTGTGAGATACAAAAGAAACTTAGTTTGCGTTTGAAACGCCAAAGTTTTGACGTTTATAAACGTCAAAAGGTTTGGCGCACACCTCCCAACTAAAATCCGCAAGCTGTGCGCAAAATTTTGGCGAGGGGCGCCAAACGCCAAAAAACGCAAACGACAAAAAAAAAGGTAAAAATGGACGTCAAACGCCTCGGCCCTCAGTTCTGAATCAGACAGACCCTCTGGATACGCTCTTGAAAGGGATATAAATATTTTTGGTTAGGGAATTGGCTGTTGTTGTTGTCTAGCCAAATAAGTTTGGATAAATATAGCTAAACGATTTTCTTCTTCCTCCAAAGTTTGGTTTCTATTAAACAAAATTAATTCATCCCCTTCTGTTGTTTCATCATCAATTCTAATGTAATATGGCCAATTTGTTGCATCAAACCCCCAAAAACAGGTGTTTTTCCCGTTCGTCGGTGAATGGGTGTGAAGACAGAAATCTTCAGGTTTAAACATATTATGACACGTTTTGCATTCTAAGCAAGGATTTGGAGTTAATGTCGGGTAGAGATATCCTTTACAACCACCAAAACAGTCGTGGGCAACTTTTAATGGAAGCAATAAACTTCGTAGTTGGTTGTTTAGGAGGTCGAAAGGTGCTGGAGATCCCGTTAATTTTAACATTGCTATTAATCTTTCAGCATTTGTTTTTGTTATTAATTCACATCTTTAAAAAAAAATAAAATTTTAAATGGATTGTGAAATGGGGGAGAGGGGCATTTCACCGACTTACTATTCACCGCTAAGTTTTCTGTGGTGTGTCAACGAAAAGTCTGTCGGTGAAAAGCCTGATTGTAGGTTAGGGAAGGAAAATCCCGAATTGCGGGCGGCATTTCGGGATCCTACTATTCACTGAAACAGACACTCTTTCTATGAAGAGTGTCGGTGAAATATCAAACAGGCCCTACTTGTAGCAGTAAAAATTTAAGAAATTAGGGGGTAGTTCACCGACCGACTATTCACTGACTAATCGAGAAAATCGAAAATAGTCTTTCGATGAATAGTCTTTCGGTGAATAGTCTGTTGGTGAAGTCTATTAGGAAATGGGGAGTCCCAAACCAGTACAAATTTAATAAAAATAAAAAATATACTTTGGCAAATATGACGGAACTATTTGATTCCTTTTTAAAACATTTAATTGTTCTTCACTTGAATGTGGATTTATTATTGCCAAATTTTTCATCATTTCATCAATTTTATATGTTGGAATATCTCCAAGACAAAGTGCTTTCATTTGTGGAAAACAGAGACGACATTCTCCGCCAATGACAAAACATGATAATAATTTGCCTAAAATTGAAGTTTTTTGGTTTAAAAAACTTAAGCAAGCTGTAAGCCATAAGAATGGTTTAAAACAGAAGCAGGACATTCTCACTGTAAGAAAGGGTGAGAATGTCAGTGACACCTTGACGTGAAAGATTAACGTCAGGCTATCTCACCTCGAACATGGTTTAGACCCTCCTGGTGTTGTTCAATTTAGCTTGTCTAGAGGAGAACCATACCAAAGCGTGTGGGAGACTCGACAAATTAAAATAAGACTGGAGCCTCAGGGTGACTTGGGTATGGAGCATGGATGTCAAGAATCATGTGAAAACCCCAACACAAAAATCTTGAAAAATTGGACCCGGCATTTTTTTCTCACCCCGCAACACCCCTGGGATCTCACCCCTAAAATCCAATTCAAAGAAAAATAAAAAAATCAAACCTGCAACAATTGTCGACTTAAGAACAGTAGAATTGCTGCTACTTGGATCCAATGACGAAAATGACAAATTTGAAGTAAAATTAGCTGCAAAATTGTTTTTATTAACAAGAGATCCATTGCTTAAATTGTTTGAAGTTCCATTAAAAATTGAAGAACTACAGCCCGGTTGTTGTGAATCAAGTTCAGCTTTTTGATGCGAATCGATTAATTTTTGTAAATTTTCCATAATTTCGTCACGAAAATTTTGAGGATTATTAAATTGGTTGTGATTGAATCCCGAAATTAATGAGGGGGAAGATTCTGCAATTAATCCACAAGCATTCCTCATTAACCCAATTAATCGACAAATTGTCTTTCGGTGAAAAGTCTGTCGGTAAGAATTTTGTTAGGGGGGAAATTGACGGACTTTGAGAGAATTTTTCTGAAGTTTTCAAGTCAATTTAGAAGAAAAATAAAGTTGCACCTTAAAAAAAATTTTTTTTAATTAAAAATATTCAGGTAAGAAGGAATTTGTATTAAAATAAACGGATAATCTCTAAGCTTTATTGATTTTTTTCTTTATTAAAAAAACTAAAAGCATTCAAAAAAGCTTTCTTTTTTAGTTTTTCTACACGGCGGTCTTTTTTTGCCACTTTTTTTAGTTAATACATGAACGCAGAAGTAACTATCAGTCACATGATAAAAAAATAATAAACACATTGCAAAGGCTTGGCCAATATTTTATTCCGCGTACAAAACGGTACACGACAAAATGGAACGCAATTAAAATAAGTGGGGCTGCTTAAGTGCTGTTTTGTACCCAATTAATCGACGAATTGTCTTTTAATCGACGAATTGTCTTTTAATCGACGAATTGTCTTCTAATCGACGAATTGTCTTTTAATCGACGAATTGTCTTTTAATCGACGAATTGTCTTTCAAATGACCGATTTTGAACGATGTGACATTCTGTCGTGTACCATTTTGGGGATGGAAAGGCTTGCCTTTATTTATTATTTGTACAAATGTTATACGACAAAAGGGAACACAATTAAAATAAGTGAGGCTGTTTTGTCTCCTTCTTTCAGATGACCAATTTTGCCCTATGTGACGTTTTGTCGTGTACCATTTTGTAGAACATTTGTTTATTTACCATTTTGTCGTCATGACGTAAGTTTTATTAGTGTTTTCTTTCTCTTTTTATGTCTCTCTGTTATATTTCTTTTTCTACAAAGCTAGTTAATTAACAGGTTAGAGAGTGTTGGGTGTTAATTAATTTATTTTAATAATTAATTTATTCCTTTTTTAACTACAAATTAAATAAAAAAATTTTTTTATGAATTTTCTACGTTTATTTAAAAATAAATTTTTAATTTCATATTATAATTTTGAATGTTTGCATACTTCTAATATTTATTTTGGAAAATTAATTAATTTTAAATTGTCAGATATTGGTGAAGGTATTGCTGAAGTACAACTAAAAGAGTGGTTTGTTTTAATTTTTTTAGATTAGTCAGCCTCGTTATAAGGAGTATTTTATGCGCCTCAATTTAGGCGATGTTTTTTTTTAAAAATACGCAAGAAATGTCTGCAAAAATTAGTCCGCAAAAAAAGTCCGCAAAAAAATCTGTCCGCAAAAAAAGTCCGCAAAAAAATCTGTCCGCAAAAAAATGTCCGCAAGAAATGTCCGCAAGAAATATCCGCAAAAAATCTGTCCGCAAGAAATTTGTCCGCAAAAAAATCTGTCTGCAAAAATCTGTCCGCTAAAAGTCTGTCCGCAAAAACCTGTCCGCAAAAAATGTCCGCAAAAAGATCTGTCCGCAAAAAGTCTGTCCGCAAAAAATGTCCGCAAAAAGATCTGTCCGCAAAAAGTCTGTCCGCAAAGAATTCTGTCCGCAAAAAATATGTCCGCAAAAAATTCTGTCCGCAGAAAATATGTCCTCAAAAAATGTCCGTCCGCAAAAAATCTGTCCGCATAAAGTCAGTCCGCAAAAAAATTAGTCCCTCTAGTTAAAATATGATTTTTTCACTTCGGGAGTGTATCTTATAATGAGGGTTTTAAAAAATAAAATATTTAAATATTTTCAGGCATGTAAAAGAGGGCGATTATGTAAACGAATTTGACGAAATCTGTTCTGTACAAAGCGACAAAGCTACAGTCACAATAACTAGTCGATATAAAGGAATTATAAATAAATTGTATTTTCAACCTGACGATATTGCTAAAGTTGGACAGACTTTGTTGGATGTTGAATTAAATGAAGAAGAAGAAGATAATGAGGAATTTTTGAATGAAGTTTTGCCGGAAAATGAAGGTTTTTTAATTTTTAATAATTACTGCATAGTCGGACTTTACTTTAAAATACTCTCCTTGGGGCTGAAAAATTCGTTTTTTATAACGAGGTATATTTTAAATAAGGGGGGGGGGGGAGGGGACATTTTTGTAGAGGACTTTTGCTGACGGATTTTTTGCGGACAGACTTTTTGCGGACTTTTCTTGCGGACAAATTTTTGCGGATTTTTCTTGCGGACATTTTTTGCGGACAATTCTTGCGGACTTTTCTTGCGGATTTTTGAAAGTCTGTCTCTTGTATATAGGGGTATCTTCTATTGGGAGTATCTTATGGTGAAGTTCGACTAATTTATTTTTTCCAGAAACTTCTATTCCCATAACAAACCAAAAAAGTTCAATAAAAATATTAGCATCTCCAGCAGTTAGAAGATTACTTTCTGAAAATAAAATTAATTTAGAAGAAATTAAAGGGACTGGACCAGATGGGCGAATTTTAAAAGAGGATATTTACAAAATGATTAATAAAGAAGAAAATAATGTGGAAATTATTAAAGGTTAGTTAATTTTGTTTTTGGACCGGGGACTTTTCCTCACATTAGGGGGTTTCATTTGGCCCTCACACTTTATAGAAAATCAAGGATTTCGGTTCCTGTCAATTTCAGAATTTTTTTTCGGTCCGGTCATTTCAAGTGGGAGAGCTAAAAAGGGGAGCTTTCTATACCCCCCAAATACTTGTCAAATCAATAGAACTTATTATAAGATTTAACCTTTCCCGTCCCCAAAGAATGTATTTTATAGTTGATTTTTATCTTCCCCTTGGGTATATCATATAATGAGGGTTTGATATTTTCTTGATCACTGGAAAGGGAGGCTGATTTATTTATCCTCCAAATCAACATACCTCATTATAGGCTACTCCCTTTTTCTTTTTTCTAAAGGTATATTTTGTAATGAAGTTTATTTTCCAGAGCCTACCCAAAAAACAACAAAAATTCCAATAAAAGGTTATACCCTTTCTATGATCAAAACAATGACAGAATCTCTAAAAATTCCACATTTTATTTATGGAGATGAATTTTTAATTGAAGAATTGGTTAAAATTAAAGAATTATTGAAAGAAAAGAAGTCAATGAATTTAACTTATTTGCCCTTCTTTATTAAAATTATTTCAAAAGCACTTGAAGATTTTCCTATTTTAAATTCTTCGTTGGATTTGGATAATCAAAATATTATTTTAAAGGTTTTTTTAATTTAAATTAATTGGAACTGTAGTTTTTTGTCCGCAATTTTATTGCGGATGTCCGCAAATTTTTTGCGGACTTTTTTACTGACAGTTTTTTGCCTTTTTTGCGGACTTTTTTTGTAATACCTTCGAACCTCGTCTATATAAGCGATACTCTCACTTTAATATGTCACCACGTTTTTTTTGGTTCACACTCGTCTAATCCGACACCAAGGGCGTTCCAGGGGGGGGGCTTGCAAAAAAGTTCTGCATATTAAAAATTTTTTTCTAGAATTTTCATAATATCTCTGTTGCAATAGACACACCAAATGGTTTGGCTGTCCCAAATATTAAGAATTGTCAAAATAAAAATATTTTGGAAATTGCTTTGGAACTGAATGTTTTGAAAGAAAAAGGGGTTAAAGCAGCTTTTTTACCTGAAGACGTGTCTGATGGAACTTTTACAATATCAAATATTGGATCGGTTTGCGAAATAATTTTTTTCTATTAGTAAATATACTCAGCCTTCGCTATGAGATACACCCTCTATTTAAGATACTCTCATTATAAGCGTCACTACTTATAAGATACACTCTCTATTTAGGATACACCCATTATAAGCGACTACTTTCTATCTCCTCTATTTAAGATACCTTCATTATAAGAGACTATTTTTCAACCCCAAGGGGTTATCTTAATGAAGTCTGACTCGATTCTATTTAAAAATGTATTTTTTTGTTTTGAGATTGGTGGAATTTTTATGAGTCCAATAATATTCCCTCCACAAGTTGCTATTGGAGCAATTGGAAAAATTAGAAGAACTCCTTATTCTGATGATCCGGAAGAAGAATATATTCATGAAAGTAAGAGAGTGGTTAATATTTGTTGGGCTGCTGATCACAGAGTTTGTTTATTTTTTAAATTTAAGCTCATTTTTGCGGATTTTTTTTTTCTGTCCGCAAAAAATGTCCGCAATTTTTTGCGGACAGTTTTTGCGGATGTCCGCAATTTTTTGCGGACATTTTTTGTCCAAAAATATCCGCAAAATGACGCTCTACTTCATTCGTATCAATTAAATTTTTATTTTTTTAAAGGTAATTGATGGTGCTACTTTAGCCCGTTTTAGTAATAAAGTCAAACAATTATGTGAAAATCCTGCAATTTTGTTGGCTGAATTACGTTAAGTGCCTATAAAAATGTGATGGAAAATTGTGATTTTTTAAATTTAAATAAACAGTCTAACCTCATTTTTAGATACCCCCAAAAACTAGTAAACCTCTATTTACGGAACATTCTCTAAAATTTGGTTGACCTCTATTTAGGCTACGCCCCATTATAAGAGAGCATCTTTTCAGCTTAAAAGGGGTATTTAAAAACGAGGTTTATTTAACAGTATTTAACAATAATTTTTTATTGCCTTAATATTTTTGCAGATTTTTTATGTCCGCAAAATTTTTGCAGACGTCCGCAAAACTTTGCATACTTTTTATGTCAACCAAAAATGTCCATAAATTTTTTGCTTATTTTTTCAAAAACGTCTGAATTTTTGCGGATGTCTGCAAAGAAAGTCCGCAAATTTTTTGCGGACGTCCGCATAGAAAGTCCGCAAATTTTTACGGACGTCCGCAAATTTTTTGCGGACAATTTTCATAAAATTATTGTAATTTCTTGTTAAAAAATTTTAAATAATAATTTTATCCAGATCTATTACAAGTTTTACAAGTAATAAAAAAAGCAGCAATATTATTCCCCCACCCAACATTTCCATTTTCTGGTAATCCAGTAAAAGGGTCAATTCCCATATTCCATCTAGTTCCAGGTAAATAATAGCCACAACAATTATTTTTGTATAAAAAAGAATTAATTGTTGGTATTGATAAAATTATTAAAATAAATTTAAATAAAAACATTTTTAAAATTTTAAAAAAAAATTTAATTGGAAGGGAAAGAGAAGAGAGGATGACTTAGGGGGTCTATCCGAAGATATTTGTAGAAATATGGCTAAGGTTGAATGAGGTTGGATCCTTCCCTATTTTTCTGGATCAGTCCAATTAGAATAACGCTGACACTGACTTTTATAATAAACACAATTAAAAGGGGAGAGAGATTCTTTCTGATTAATAGGTAGGAGCGAGGGAGAGAAGCTTTCTGAGAACATTTTTTTAAAGAAAACATTTTTTTGTTTTTTAGGTCAAATATTTTTTTAAAGAGATGAAGGTCAGTAAGAATACACAAAGTAATTTAGGAGATTCTTTTATTGTAAAAGGGAAGGAAAATTATTTTTTTCTTCTTATAAAAATCCACTTTAATAAGCATAATTTATCTACTTGGAAAAAAATGAAAATTATTTTAAAGAATCGTAAATTAAAAATAATACAGTTAAGCCTCATTTTAACTCATTTTTGGGGGCATTTATTGCAAACAGACTTTTTCGGGGTTTTTGCGGACAAAAATTTTTTGCGGACTTTTTTTGCGGAGAATTCTTGCGGATTTTTAAAAAAACGTCTTATAAATAGAAGTATATCTTATAACGAGATTTGACTGTATTCAAAACGATATATAAAAGTTTTATAGAACGTTTGGACGAATATTTTAAAATTGTTTTTTAAATCTTTTTTATGGTTGTGCCTCATTATGTGGAGTAGATCTGTTAAAATAAATTTTATGAAAAAATAATTTTTAATTTTTTCTACTCTTTTGTAGGCGCTAACGGCTGCATTTCTCGTTGATGTTGTGAAGTAGTTATTGTTGTTGTAACAATTTCATATTGTTCGTCTGCTGGGACATGAATTCCAATAAAAAATTGATAAATCCAGGCGCCTTTAAATTTTTTTTGAAAAAAATTTTTTTGGGAAAATTTTTTTGGAAAAATGTTACCTAGGAGAGCGCCAATAAATGGGGCAATAATTGGAATCCAAAACCAACCATAATTATTATAGCTGAAATTATAAATGAAAATGTAAAAAATATTTGAGTGTTTGTGAAGAATGGAGTGTCGTTTTAGGGGATATTTTTGCGGACAAACTTTTTTGCGGATTTGTTTTGCGGACAAATTTTGCGGACAATTTTTATTTTTGCGGACAATTTTCTTGCGGATTTCTCTTATGGAAATTCATTTGCGGACTTTTATTTTCAGGAATTTTGCGGACATATTTTACGGACATTTTTATTTTTGCGGATTTTTTTTATGTTTCCGCGTGACACTCCTCTCTCCATATTCAAAAATTTTTTAAACGTACGAAAACACTTCCCAGCCATATCCAACAATTAAAGTAAATAGGCGAGGTCCAAAATCACGTGCTGGATTGCACGGGTAACTTGAAAAGAAAAAATATTTTTTAATTAAAATTACGGACATTTTTTGCGGACTTTTTTGTCCGCAAAAAATGTCCGCAAAAAAAATCAAAAAATTTACCCAGCATTGTAAGCAAAAGACGTCCCTACCAAAACAAAAGATGTCCCAACCAAAAAAGGTTGAACCCAAGTTGGGTAGTGATTTCGCTTGTCCGTAATGTGGGCAATTAAAAGACAAAAAACAGCCGTAGCAACAACTTGGTCAATAAATCCATTAAACACCCCCAAATGGGGGGAGGAATAAGAGGCGAATATGTGGGCAGTTGCCTTGGTTCCGTATACTTGTCTGGTACCTCCGTCGAATTTATTGATGGCGTCTGAAAAATTTGAAAATTTTTTTGAAATTTTCAAAAAATTTTAGAAAATTTTCAAAAATTTTTTGAAAAATTTTTTCTCAAAATTTTTGAAGTTTTTTGAAATTTCAAAAAAATTTTTTTGAAATTTTTTTTAAAAAAATTTTTCAGAAATTTTTTAAATTTTTTAATTTACCACAATAAACCAAATAAGCAACTGCCGCCCCAAAGAAAGCTCCTAATAATTGAACTAACGAATACAAAGCAAAACGGATTGGTGCCAATTGTTTGAAGCTTAAAAACATTAATGAAACTGCTGGGTTTATATGTCCACCTTTTTTAAAAAAATAAAATTAATTTTTTTAATTTAAAGTCCATCTCGTTATAAGATACACCCTTAGGTAAATAAGTCTTTTACAATGAGGTGGAGCTTAAATAGAGGGTATTGCTTAGATCGCTGCCCCATCCAGTAACCAACCAAATTTTAAAAGAGCGTCTCTTAAATAGAGAGTGTATCTAATATAGGGGGTCTCATTATAAGGTACACTCGTTACAAGAGACCCCCAATACTAGATCCTCTATTTAAGAGACTTATAAAGTGGTTTCCTATGGTGTGAGGAGCTTCCTAAGCGAAAACCTCTATTTAAGAGACACCTCATTATAAGAGACTATTTTTCAACCCCAAGGGTGTATCTTATAAAGAGGTTTTTCTCACCAGATATTTTAGCACAAATAGCCACCCCAAAAGCAATACCCAACCCAACACCCAAATTCACTCCAATAGTCTGATTAAGTGCAGGTTTGGGTATTATTGCCTGTGCACAAACACAAGCTATAGTTAAAACCAAAACAAAAGTTCCCAAAAATTCTCCAAGTAGAGCTCTGCCCAACTCATTCCTTATACGCAATTTGGTTTGCAACTTAAATGTAGAAATTAAAAAAAATTTTTAAAAATTTTCCTAGCCTTTTCCATTCCTTTAATGGTGTGAAGTTGAAATTTTAGTTGTTAATAAAAATATGTAAAAATAAGAAGAAAAATGTATGTTGTGAGGATTTTGATTTTTTCCTCTGTGATACTTCACAAAATTCTAAAAAAATTTCAAAATAATTAAAAAATTTTTTTCAAAAATTTCCAAAGTAAATTTAAAAAAAATTGATTTTTATAAGGGTAATGCAAAACTTGCGGACCGACTTTTGCGGACCATAGGTTTAGGTTTTTGTTTTTCTATCGTAACTTTGTCCAATCTTGTACAATCACGATGATTTTGATGTCATTCGACTCAGCTCGTCGAGCTCTTTCGAATGAGCTATGTTTTGAGAAATTCGTCGGGTCCGCAAGTTTCGGCCTGCCTTTATTAGTGATATTGGAAAAAAAGCAATTTTAAAGTTAATTGCCCTTTAAAAAAATTGTTTATTCTCTCATTTGCATTTTTACACAATTACTGAAAGGAAATTTTTTTTGATTGAAAATACCGATATTTATGTTTTTGTACTATAAATTGAAACGCGGTTTTATTTATTTTTTTAAGCCAGAAAAAAATTTTTCTGGCGACATTTTTTTTTAAAAAGTCTGCTCTGGGTGGGCCCATTTAAGCGGTGATTGAAAGCAAAAATAAATAAAAAGATTTATTGCTTTTTTTTTGAGAGAGATAAAAAATGAAAAAAATTCTTTTTTGAGAGAAAATGTAAAAATAAAAAAATAAAAAAGGTGTTGCCGAAAAATATTTTAAAAAATAATTTTTAATTTAAAAAATATTGTAATTCATTAGGATCACACCCAGCGGATAATTGTTTTCAGAAGATCAACCCCCCCCCCCTCCCCAGAAAATCAACACACCCAAAAAGACCATCACACCAAAAAGACAAACGTTCAAGAAATAGACACTCCCAGAAGATCAACACTCTGAAGGCCATCTCCTAGACGTCAACACTCCCTCTGAACCCTAGAGAATAATGTCTAGAGTCTATAGAAAATTTTACATCATTCAGACCTCATTATAAGCCTCATTATAAGAATTGGAGGGTATCGCTTATGCCCCCACTAGTGTTGCGCCGGAAGTTCCGGTTCCGGCCAAATTTGCGGTTTCGGCGAAACACTAGCCTCCACCCAAAGACCAACCAAAAATAAAAAACTATAAGGTTTGTTTGACTGCTCTCTCCCTAGAATAAAGAATGAAATGGTTGTTGTGTTTTAATGGACTAATAAACAAAAATGAACACACTTGTATTTTATCAATTTTTGCGTTCCATCAAATCAATATTTAATTTCTAAACTTTTTTTGAGAAAAATAAAGTAACAATAAAAAAATAAAAAAAAGAGTGGAAGGTATTTGAGGTAATTTTCTCTCCTAAAAAATGAGGGGGGTTTTAATGGACTAATAAATATTATAACAATTTCAACACATCAAAAAAGAGATAAAAATTCAATGGAGTGAAAAATTGGAAAAATTTAAGCGAATTTTATTTTTATAAAATCTCTGAAAAAAAAATTTTTTTAATTGGTCAAAAAATGTTGTTGACCCAATTTAAAGGCACTTATCGGGAAAATGTGTGCAAAAACTATTTTTGGATATTTAAATATTAAAATTAAAATTATAGAGAAAATAAATATCAAAACATCCAATTATTGTAGTCTATTAAATTTTGGTTTCCTAGGAAATTGAGCCTTAAAATTAAAAAAATTACTCTAAGATTCCTTTTGGAAGCGAAATAGTGCGTGACAGAATGTTGGAGCAATTATTTAAGAGTCGACCAAATTGGTATATGACAAAATGGTACGGAACTGGTAGGGACAAAACGGTACTCTGAGTAAATAAGACAAAACGGTACTCATTTGTCAGTGTAAAATGAGACAAAACGGTACACAAGGTCAAACAGGACAATATGGTACAACCAGGTATGAGACAAAATGGTACATAGGGTAAAATGATACGGTATGGTACGTAGGCCAAACCATACCGTCTCTGGTACTGACTGGTAGAGATAAATGCTACTGAGGATAAATAAGACAGAATGGTACGTAGGGTATATAAGACAAAACTATACACAGGCTGAAATAAGCAAAACGGTAGCTAGGCAAAATGGTAACTTTTTTAAGCTTTAAAATTTTTAAGGTAGCTAACTAATCTCTTGTATATAAATAAAGTATTTAATACTTTTTATGCCTCAAGCATTTAATAAAATAAAAAGGCACAGATTGGCTAAATAACAAAATAAATTTTTGAAAAAAATTTTCGTCGCTTCAATGACTGATTGCCATCTTAAAAAATTCTGCCATGCTTCTGGCCCTATAAAAGTCAAAAAATCTTTTCTTCTTTAAAAAGACTAAAAATAAGCCTGATACCCTTGGGGTCAGTTGGTCACGGTCAATTTTGTGAAAATAAAGGAGGGAGGAGGATTGGGAATTGAGAAGGATAAATAATAAATCTGGGCTATAGCACATTTTGCCAAAACCACATTTTGCCAATAAGGCTAAAAACGGACGTTTTGCCAAAAAGTTAGTTGGCAAAATGTCGTTTTTTGCCTTATTGGCAAAATGTGGAATTGGTAAAATGTGCAAATGAGAGAATCTGAGGAGGAGAGGAGGAAGGGATATATAAATTATATACTAGGCCAACAACTGACAAATAAATGAGTCTAAAGAAGAAAAAAAAAGTGGTGGCAGCTGTCCTAATGTTTTTATAATGTTTTTAAAGCTGGCTTCTCTTTTTAATTTTCTTTTTGGTTAATTTCTCTAAATTTTTACAGCTTTTTTGCTTGACCGTTTTCCCCTTCCCCTTCGTCTTCTTCTCAATTTCCCTCCCCAAATCTCTGTATAAAAATAAATCCCCTTTTTTCCTTTTGACCATTAGAAAGGCAAAATCAATTTTAGTAAAATACTAAACGGAAGCTGAAAAGTTTTAAAAGCTAAAAAGAGGAAAATAACAACTTAACGAGACTGACATTAATGAGCAAAAATGAGGGGAAAAAGGATAAACAATTTTTTAAATTAATTATGTAGTTTTGGTATATTACTAAAAATGGAAAAAAGGGAAAAAAGTTAAAAATATAAAAAAATTAGTAAAAAGCTTTCATAAATGTAAACAAATTTGTTTGAATGTTTATTGAGGGAAAAAGGTCAAAATAAAGTTGAGCTACCGTATATGCTGAAATAATTAGTTTATCGTGTCAACCTGTCGCTGAAGGGGGTAATAAAGGGCAATTATTTCAGCATAACTGTATTTATCCTTAGAGAATCTTTAAAACATTCATTCATTGACGGAAAGTCCGTTGACGAAAAGTCGGGGATTTTTAAAAAAACATAAAATTATTATTGGCATTTTGTTTAAAATAAAATTTCAAAATGGAAAATTAAAAAAATTTCAAAACGGTACGCGACATAATGGCACAAAGGGTAAAATACGACAAAATGGTACATAACATAATTGTACATTGAATAAAATTAGACAAAATGTAACACTGCTTTTTTTATTTTAATTTTTCTTTTCCTCTCTGTCTCTCTCTCTCTTTTCCGTAATATTTTCGCTCGTGATTAAAACCTTGAGTTTAATTAAAAAATATCACGCTATATTTTTTCCTCTTTTTTAGGTTTTATTTTAAAAATTAACAAAAAATGTCTTCTTCGGATGATGAATATTTTGATATTGATGAACTTCAAGAGGGGAAAGATGCTGGAAAAAATAAAAATGAAGATGATTTAAGTGAAAATAGCGACCAGGATGAGGTTAATTTAATTTATTTTTTTAATTAAATTAATTTTTAAGTTACAAGTTGCGTTTAGACAAGGACTTTTAAATAAGCCTGGACTGTTTGTTTCTCAAATTAAAAAGCGGGAGCCGATTTATAAGAAGGTTTTTTTTTTATTTAAACTATGGGTTGATACTAGAGAGCTGGGTCTGGACCAAGGCCTGGGTTTTTCCTGTACCCAGAGTCCAGGATTTTTTGACCTTCCTGGGTTTTTTCCTGGACTACAGGCTGGTTAATAAATCAAACCTAGAGCTCAGGAACAGGCCCGGGCCTTTCAAAAATCTCTGTCTCTATTTGAAACCCGACCGGATGTGGAGTTATCTTCGCTAGAAACCCGGTAAATTTGATAAAATCCGCGTTTTTAGGTTTTGGCTCGGAAACTCCGACCTGTTTCAGTTTAAGAAAAGCCCATATACCTGAATAGATAATTCGAAAATTTTAAATTAAAAATTGATTTTTAAGGAAGAGATGTTGAGGAAATTGTCAACTTTTAACACAGAAAGGGATTGGATTGATACTTTACAAATCAAATTTAATCCAGAATTGTGTTATAATGATTCTGTTGATCAAGATTTGGAACGGGAAGCTGCTTTGTTTAGTTTTTTTTAATTTTATTTTGTTATTGACTGACCTCATTTATACATATCCTTACATTAGTATAGGCATTTTGGCTCCAATTCCGACCTTTTCCAGATCTAGGCTCCGGAGTCGGCTGTTTTTGGAGTCATCTGGATGGAAAACTAACGGTTAATATTTTATTGTAGGATGTGGGTGGTTTATCAAGGGGTTCTGAGGATTTCAAGGGATTTTCTAGACCAAGACTTTACCTTATATTTTCGACGTAAAAATATTTCTAAAAAATTAAAATTATTTTTCAAGTTATAAACAAAGCCTCAATTCTGTTCAAAATGCGAAACAACGTTTAAAAGCACTGGGTATTCCAACTGATCGGCCTTCTGATTATTTTGCTGAAATGGCAAAGGGAGATACTCAAATGGATAAAATTAGACGAAAAATTCTTGAAACAAAGAATATTAAAGAACGGAAAGAAAATGCTAGAAGGTTTTTATTTGAAAATTAGATACTCGGACCTCGCCTGATACTCCTTTTGCTCAAAAATTGTCTCTTATAATGAGGTGTATTTTAAATAGTGGTTTTCACTTGGGCGAGTCCCTCATCCAGTTGGCCGATTTTTAAGGAGCGTCTCTTTAAAATAGAGGGTATTGATTAAATAGAGGCTATCACTTGGGCAACTCTCCCATCCAGGTAGCCGATATTTTAAGGAGCGCCTCTTAATTAAAGGTGTATCTAGTATTGCTGGTATCTTATAGGGAAGTTTGACAGGAAGATTTGAATATTTAAAAAAAAATTTAGGTTGCGAGACGAAAAGAAATTTGCCCGCAAAGTCCAAAAAACACGTGAAGAGCAAAAATTGAGAGCTAAAAAGAAGTTGCTGGATGCTACAAAAAAGCATCGGAAAGGAAATAAAGCGCCTTTGGAAGAAATTTTAAAAAATCCAAAATTTGAAAGGAAGGGAGGATTTCAGGTTTTTTTTGATTTTTAATATTAAAAAAATTTTTTAATTAGAAAAAGAAGATGAACAGAACTGCGAGAAATACAAAATATGGATATGGTGGAAGGAAGAAGGGGTCAAAGAGGAATGATAAACAAAGTTTTAATCTTATGTAGTTTTAAACAATTTTAAGAAATTTTTGTTTTTTTAAAGGTTGTTTAAATTTGAAATTTTTTTCGTTATTTTTTGAAAATAATTGGGTTACCCGACGTTTGCAGATTTTTGCATTTGCGGACCGTTACGAAAAACCTAACCCCCATTTATTGGAATAAATAGGCATGGGTCTTCCCTAAGGATTGTTCCCCGTCCCCGAAGCTCAGAGAATTTGAACTTTTTGGAAATTCTCTGTCCCCCGTGGTTTTCGAAGACCTTCTCCTCTTCGCCGGGGAACATCCCTAGTTTTTCCAGTACCATGTCAAGGCTTTTTATATTAGATAAGTAACAAAAAAACATCTTAAATCCAAAAGTTGTCCGTAAGTGTAAATTCGCAAATGTCGTAATGCCACAATAATTATATTTTTTTCAATTATTATTTTAAATAAAAATTAATTTTAGAACAACTTACCCTTCTTATTTTTAATTAAAATGTCTTTTCTTAAATTACTAACCCAAAAATCTTTTAATAAAATTTTTAATCCCTATTTACCATCAATCTTTCAAAAAGCTCAAATTGGTGGTTGTGCATGTCCCCCAAGTAAATTTATTTTTTTTGAAATTAAAAAACATTTTTTAAGACGAAGAAGATGTCGATTATGCTTTTGAAATGTCCAGCTCAACTTTACGTTTTGGCAAAGGAGTGACAAAAGAAATTGGTTTTGATGTTGTTACATTTGGAGCTAAAAATCCGTTAATTGTAACTGACAAAAATGTGGCTAAAACTGTTGCTTTTGAGTATAAATTTTAATTTTTTAAATTAATTAAGAATATTTTAAAGAAATGTTGCAAATTCATTAACTAAATTGGGAATTGCTTTTGAAGTTTTTGATGAAGTAAAATGTGAACCTTCACAACAAAGTTTGTTGTTAAATTATTTTGGGGTCTTTTATAGAATATTGATCCTAGGATTGTTGCTTATTGGCATGAAACGAGCCTAAGAACCTAAAAATCCTTCGGCTCTTCGGTTTCGAGAGCTTGTCAACTTCCAGGTCAACTCCTCGAACCTTTTTTGTTCTTTTCCCTCGAGCAAGACTTATCAAGGACATATCCGACTTTTTTCTTCCATCCTTGGTGTACTAAACCAGGGCTATTTTATTAAAATATTTTTGTTATTTTAGGCATGCAATTAGCTATTAATTTTGCTCGGAAAAAACCTTTTGATTGTTTTTTGGCTGTTGGTGGTGGTTCTGTTATTGATACAGCCAAAGTATTTTTTTAATTTTTAAAAATCATTTTTCAAAATCTTTTAAGGCAGCAGCTTTGTATGCAAACAACCCAAATGCTGAATTTTTTGATTTTGTACAAAAACCGTTTGGTCTTGGACTTATTCCTGATAAAACAATGCTTCCACTGATTGCTGTTAGTTGTATTTATTTTTAATATTTTTTGAGGGAGGGCAATCATTTTATATTAATCAGAGGGAGGATGCTTCGAAGCATAGTTTCCGTTTATGTTTTTTAATTTTTTCTTCCGCCTTCCGTTTTTGGCAACATCTGAAGGGACCCCAATTTTTTGAAATTTTCTTTGAAAGATTTTCTGAAATTTTTTTCTTGCGGAGTGTTTCTCAATAGGAAATTTCTCAATAATTCTCAACTTCCCCATTTATTGAAATTTTTTTAAATTTTTTCCAAAGGTCCCAACAACAGCGGGTACTGGAAGTGAAACAACAGGCGTTTCAATTATTGACATACCCGAAAAACAATGCAAAACGGGCATCAGACTTCGATGTATCAAACCAAATTTGGCAATAATTGACCCTCTAAATGTTATGTCAATGCCTAGAAATGTTGCAATTTATTCTGGTTTTGATGTTTTATGTCACGCTTTGGAATCCTACACAGCTAAACCTTACAATAAACGTTCTCCTCTTCCGTCAAGTCCAAATGCTCGACCTGTTTATCAAGGCTCTAATCCGGTTTTTTTTAATTTTTTGGGAAGTTTTCTTTAAAAAATATTTTGCAGGTCAGTGATGTTTGGGTAAGAGAAGCTCTTCAAATTGTTAAAAAATATTTTCGGCGATCTATCTTTGATCCAGAAGATGAAGAAGCACGTACATACATGATGATGGCTAGTTCATTTGCTGGGATGGGTTTTGGAAATGCTGTGGGTATTTTTTGGTTAAATATAGTCGAATTTCATTATAAGATACCCCCAATATTGGAGACACCTCTATTTAAAAGACGCTCTTAAAAGGTAGTTGGCCACTGGGTGGGGGATCTGTTCACGTGATACCCTCCATTTAAGAGACCTCATTATAAGGTACGATTCGGCAAATGTCCAGTTGGCTGTCTACCTGTCCGCAAAGAGAATCTGCTCTTTTCTTTCCTTTTCTTGCATTTTTTGCGTTGAGAGAAGTGCACCCCCTCATTTTCCGTTTTTAGCATTTTTCCTTATCAATACAGTAAAGTTTTCCTTTTCCTACTTCCAAAATATATTTTCAAAATTTTAAAAGATAATTTTAAAATATTTTAAAAAATATATTTATTTTATAATAATAAATTTTGGATAACATTCTCAAATAGCACAATTGGAAATAATCGAATAATTCCCCCTAACGATTAATACCCCATGCTAGAGTTGGGTTGAAACAATAATTCCTCACCCCCAAATACCCTACTCCACGTTCAAATGCCAAAAATAATTCCCCTCCCTCGATTAATTCCCCATGCCAAGGGAGGATTGAAAAAATAATTCCCCAGGGGAATTAATCAAGAAAATACGGTATGTATTTTTTAAATATTTTAAAATTATCTTTTAAAATTTTGAAAATATATTTTGGAAGTAGGAAAAGGAAAACTTTACTGTATTGATAAGGAAAAATGCTAAAAACGGAAAATGAGGGGGTGCACTTCTCTCAACGCAAAAAATGCAAGAAAAGGAAAGAAAAGAGCAGATTCTCTTTGCGGACAGGTAGACAGCCAACTGGACATTTGCCGTACGATTCTTTCATCTTCAAGGGTGTCTCTTATAGTGAGGTTCGACTATTAAGAATTTAAATTATTTTTAATTTAAGGGTGTACATTTATGTCACGGACTTTCTTACCCAATAAGTTCACAAGGCAAATCTTATTTTGACAAGCATTATTCAAAAGAACATCCACTAATCCCTCATGGATTGTCTGTTGTTTGTACAGCGCCTGCCGATTTTTTATTTACAACATGTGCAGATCCTAAAAGACATTTGGAAGCAAGTCAATTGTTGGGATCTGATTTGCCGGTAAATTTAATTTTTTTATATAATCGGACCTCTCTATAAGATAATCCCTAATATTGGAGACCCCTCTATTTAAGAAACGCTACTTTAAAATTTGGTTGGGCATTGGGTGGGAAGATATGTTCTATTAACCCCCTATTGAAGATATCTCATTATAGGAGACTTTTACTCTCAAGAGTGTCTTATAGCGAGGTTTTTGACTGTTGCGGACAAAACTAAATTTAAAATTTTTTTTATAGAATACAGCAAGTCCTGATACAATCGCAAACGTTTTGGCCGATCAATTACGTTCGTTTATGTCAGATTTTGGATGTCCAAACGGTTTAAAACAAATGGGTTTTGATAGAAGCAATGTAAATAAATTGGCAGAAGCAGCACTGAATTCATTCCGTTCAAATCCAATTTCACCAAGAGAAATTGATTTTGATTCGGTTTCTGATATTTATGAGAAGTCAATAAATGTATATTAGATTAGAGGGGGGGGTGATATTTAAAGATATTTCTCGGTGATATAAATGACTTACGACACATGCGGACAAACATTTGCGGACAAAACCAAATTCAAATAAAATTGGAAGACAGACGGCTACAAGGTGTTCATATCACGTCTTATATATTTTAGTGGTTTCTCATGGTCACACACTCGTATCTCACCTACAAGTTACAGAAATCTCTCGGTGTGTCTGCAAATGCAAGTCCGCAAGTGTGGGTATACCCCACTACATAAGGAATGGGCTGAGTTACCCGATTTCAGAAATCTGAGGCCTGGACCTTTTTTCTTGACCAGTGGACACTTTATAGGCACTTATATACCATATAAAATTTCGAAACAGATCCTATTTTTTCTTAACCCGACCCATCCCTGCCCTACACTATTAAAACGGGAATTAAAATTCTTTAAGGGGAATTAGTAAAAAATTAATTTTTTAAAACCTAAAAAAATATTTTGTATTTTTATATAGATTTTTATTATTGTAAAATTGTACATACTTATTCAATTTAGAATTTTAATATAAAGATTTTCTATTAAAAATTACTCTTTTTTAAAGTTCAACATGTTTATTGTTTTGTTCATTCAATTCATTTTGAAGACATTTATTTTCTTCTCCCTCAATAACCACAAAAACATAAATAAAAAGAAAAATGATAAAAATAACTGGGTACATCACCTTTTTAAAAATAAAATTTAGAAAAAATTTTAGAAAGAAACCTTAAAAAATGTATCAAGTCTTAAAGCGTTTCTGTGATGCATTTGACTTTCTGATAAAAGAATTGAAATCTTATAGGCGCTTATTTCTGTAGCTTCTTCTGTTGCAATTTTTTTCTAAAAAAAAATAAAATATTTGTAATCAAATAATCGGACCTCGTTATAAGATACCCCTAGGATAAAATAGTCTCTTGTAATGAGGTGTACCTTAAATAGAGGGTACACATTTTTGCGGACAAATCTCTTGCGGACAAACTTTTTGCGGACAGATTTTTTGCGGATTTTTTAAAGAGCGTACACTAAATAGAGGTGTATCTATTATTGAAAGGATCTTATAACGAGGCCGACTTTTGAGTAAAAATATTTTAATAATCCATACCAATTGACGGCTTCTATGTTCAAGTCCAATAACAATTAATGCTTGCAACATTGTACACTAAAAAATCCGCAAAATTTTAAAAAAATTTGGGGAAAAAATTCTTACAAAAACAAAAACAGAAGTAAATCCAAACCAAACATCAATTGCTTTTACATAAGAAACTTTGGGTAATGTCTCCTTTGCTGAACTACTTTCTGCGCTAAGCGTTAAAAATACTGTTAGGGCAACAAAAACGCGTCCTTCAACAAATTCTTCGGGTAACCAAACACTTATCCAAGAGAATAAAACACCTAGTAGAAAAATGGAATATAAAACCTCTATTTAAGGTACCCTCAATATAAGATACCCTCATTATAAGATACTCCCGATATTGGAGACCCTCTAATCTAAGAGATTTCTTTAAAAATTTGGTCGGTCACTGGGTAGGGAGTTGCCTAAGCAATATACCCTCTATTTAATGTACACCTATAAGAGACTATTTTCAACCCCTAAGGGTATGTCTTTAGTGAGGTCTGAAAGAAAACCGATCAAAACCTCATTATAAAATCGCTATTTACGGCTGAAAAGTCTCTTATAATGAGTGTATCTTAAATAGAAGGAAAGTCAAATTTAAAAACCCCATTATAAGAGACTATTTTTCTCACCCCAAAAGGGTCTCTTATAATGAGCTTTTTTTTAAAAATTTAAAGAAAACTGTGACAAACAAGTAGCTGTAGGTACATAAGTCTGCCAAAGATGATACCCAATACTTCTCTTCATCAAAAATCGAGCTTCTAGACAAGAAAAATTTCCTTCAAAATTTTTAAAGTTAATAAACAATTATTTAAAAAAGAAACCTGTTTTCCTTTGAGTCTGACAATTTTTCTTTTCCAACCCAGCAATATATAATTCTGGTAATTGTAAACGTTTATAAATTCGAATGGCATCGGATTGACGAGAAAACCAACGCAAACTGGAGAAAAATTTTTTAATATAGTATTTGAAATTTTATTCTAAAAATAAGTTTACCTAACGGAGTCGTTTGTTGAAGCAACTGTTTAAGAAAAATATTAAAAAAAAATTTTTTTAGAATTTGTAGACTGACAGGGTTTTTTACGGACAATTATTGCGGACTTTCTTCCTGATATTTTTTCGAACTTTTTTTCTGCGGATTTTCTTTGCGGACTTTTCCTGATATTTTTGCGGATTTTTTGGCTGACATTTTGCAGATTTCCTTTGCGGATTTTTTCAAAAAAATTTTTGGGGACAATTTTTTTTGCGGACTTCTTTTGTGAATATTTTTCACGTCCGCAAAAACAAAAAAAATGTCCGCAAAAAGACACTTTACCTATTTTTAATTAAAAAAACAACCAACTTGAACTTATACGTAATTGAAGTGTTTGACTGTCATGTGGATATTTACAAAGGATTAATTGACTTTTTGGTTTAACATATAAACGTGCCTCAAGAAAAACTTTTCCACTCATTGGAAATACAAAAGCATAAAAATTGAGACGAGTAACTCTGTGGAATAAAGAATCCCGAGCATTTACAAAATGCATGTCTGGACGCCAAATCTTTCTGAAAATTTGTTCTAATAGTTAACCTCATTATAAGATACCCCCAGTATTGTATACATCCCTCTATTTAAGAGACCTCTGTATAAGAGACCAATGGGTAGGGGATCCTTCTATTTAAGAGACCTCTATTTAAGAGACGATTTAATGCGGTTTACCAATGGGTAGGGGAACTAACTAAACGATACCTTCTATTTAAGAGACACCTCATTATAAGGCACACCTCCTTATAGAATACCCTTAACACCTAAAATTTGGTTGACGACTGGGAGGGGATTTGCTTAAGAGATACCCTCTATTTAATATACCCCATTATAAGAGACTTTCAGTTCCAAGGGTGTATCATATAGTGAGGGCTTATTTAAAAAGAATAAAAAACAAACTTTAAAAATATCTCGTCATTAACAAGTATTGGAGTAGTCAGATTTAATGCCAAACGAGGATCTCTCCAACTCATTCTTAACCAACAATCCATATCATAATCCATTGTAGCCAATTGAAAATTAGCTATTGATTGAACTAAAATACCAACTCGAACTTCAACTGGACGGCCTTGAATAAATTGGGGAGCGCTTCTAGGGTCATATCCTGTTTTGTTTAGCATAGGTTCCAGAACGCCTGAAGGCAGAGGTTTGACTAGAAAAAATTGTTTTGTTAAATATAGTAAAACCTCATTATAAGATACCCTCATGAGGCAGAAAAAAGTCTTATAATGAGGTGTTTATTAAATAGAGGGCATCACTTAGAAAGCTTCCCCAACCCAATGGTCAACAAAATTTTAAAGAGCGTTTTTTAAATAGAGGTGTCAGCGAAAGTGGAGGTATCTTATATGGGGGGGGGTCTCTTAAAACGAGGTGTATCTTATATTAGTGAGGGTGGCTTAAGCAGAAACCCTCAACCAGTGGTCAACCAATTCTAAGGGACACTTAAATAGAGGTGTCTACAATATTGGGGGTCCCTTATAATGAGGTTTTTTTAAAATTAACAAACCTCCTCCCTGTCTAGAAATACTTTCCATTTTATTCAACATTTCATCCAACTCTTTATCATCTTCACCATACAATAATTGTTGCCTTAAACTTTCTCGGCCTTCAGGGCCTAACGCTTCTATTTTAATGCCTATTGGTAAATTTGTCTTTTCGGGTAAACTACCTAAAAATTAAAAACAAAAAATTTTCTTGGATCTGGACTAGTTTATGGAGTCCAATGAAAATTTTATGAGCTTAAGTTAAGGGAAAGTTTTTACGAAATGCGACATAATGCCAAAACGACAAAATGCCAATCCACCCAAAATTCCGTCGAAATGCCAAACTGGAAAAACCCCCCAAATTTGATTGACTCAAAAATTAATTGGACTCATAAACTAATACTGAACCCTTATATTTATTTAAAAAGGCAAACTTGTTGGTGTTGTCTTTGTAATTGAGAGAAGCTCTTCCTCATCTAACAATTTAACCTCTACAGACCTTTCACTTCTTTTTGCATTTCCTTCAAAATTCCAAAAGGAGTTGACACTCAAATGTTGTTGTTTTGATGCTGAACAAATTAATAATCGATAGGAGAAAGCTAATAATAACAAAAAATAATTTAAAAACATTTTTTGATTTATTGAAGAAAATTTTGAGAAAAATTAGCTAGATAGGCCCCCGTTAATTAAATCAACAATTTATAGAGCTATTCATTTGGAAGGAGAGGAAAGGAAGTAAAAGAAAAGGTAGGGGAAAAATTAGCAAAATAAATATTTAAAGAAAAAGGATTCGCGTATTAACAAAAAAGGGGTACGGCCCACCTTGTCGCGGGCCACCTTGTCGCGACCACCTTGTCGCAGGCCCACCTTGTCGCAGGCCCACCTTGTCGCAGGCTTTCCTTTGGTTTTTATTTCAAGGCTGGCCTAAACTTCACTCGCCACGTGCCGTACTTCATCCCACGGCTACAACGATTGGAAATATGGAAGGTTTAGAATTTCTATTTTGTTTTCTAGGTTTTTTTTAATTTTTTAGTTAATTTCCAGGAGTGTTTTTTTCCTTTTATTACTTTCTCTTATCCGGTTAAAGTCTACCGGAGTTTTAACAGAGTAAAACCGATCCAAATTACTCCAGAAAACCCCAATCGTGCCCAGAAGGTCTTTTTCCTACCCTCCATACCCTCCATATCAGCATAAAAAATTTTCAACCTTTGCGACAAGGTGGGCCTGCGACAAGGTGGCCTGCGACAAGGTGGTCGCGACAAGGTGGTCGCGACAAGGTGGCCCGCGACAAGGAGGGCGTGTCCCCAAAAAAGTACCAAAATGGTCAAAAATATAGGGGACATTAGAGTATGGCCGTTATAGTCATATTTTGGGGCATAACTTTTTTTTATCGATAACCGATTTAAATGATTATTATACCAATCGAAGGCTCTGGATGTAGGGATTATTTTAGCTGAAAGGAGTGATTTGATCAAATCGTTCTACAAAATGTCACAATTGCTTAAGTGCGCGCAATCGTGATTTTTGATCTTTATTTGACTGTAACTTTATAGAGAATGATCTGATCACATCACTCCTCTTAGATAAAATAATCCCCATATCAAGAGCTTTCGAATGATATAAAATTTATTTAAATCGGTTAGGAACCAAAAAAGTTATAGCACAAAATATGACTGAATTTGCCATACTGAAACGGCCTTATCGCTAAAATGGTAGGCGACCAATTGTCCGCGACCAACTGTCCCGCTTCATATTTAAGAAAATTTTATTTTTGAAATTTCTCTCAGAATCACTTATTTTGAATCTTTGATTTTCTTTTAGATATTTATTTTATTCTTATTAAATTTAAGCACAAAATTTGCTCACCTATTCCCATCTTTTTTAAAAATGTTTTGTGACACTGAAGTATTTTCAAGGAAAGTTTTTGTTGGGGGATTACCAATCGACATAACAGAGACTGAGGTTAAGCAGACTTTTCAGAAGTTTGATTTCGAATAAATTTAAGAAAAAAATTTTTTTTGTTTTTAAAGATTTGGAGCTTTGCTGGTAGACTGGCCTTGCCGTTCTGTGGATTTTTCTTTTGCAGTTAAAAAGGAGCAAGGTTCGGATTTAAAGATTGAGGGAGGGATTTTTAAAGGGTATAAAGGTGGGCTTGGTTTAGTCTTGAATCACCTCCTCCTCTTGAGCTACCTGGGGAAGGGGGCTGACTATTGGGTTTGTAGTCTAGGAAACTCCAAGCTTTGGGAAAATACAGCAAGCCGAAAAGATGCTCGGGTATAGGTGCAGGGAAAACTAAAGTTTGATATTCCTAGAGGATCAGTATGCTTTTGAAATCCCGGGCCTTTAGGCTTGTCAAATAGACCTATTTGCTCCAGGCTCCCGAGCCTGTCCTAGGCCTGAAGCCCAGAAAAATCCAAGCTCAGGAAGGTATACAAGAAACCCTAAAAGTCAAAGTTCCCTCAGTCCTTGGGTGTTCTCAAGGACTTTAAAAGGTTCTTTGGCCCAGAGAAAATGCCTTTAGCTCGAACCCAGCCCATCTCTTTATTAAGCCATTTCTCCTTAATTTTCCCAACTCTTTTCAGCTTCAGGCAAACAAGTAACTGGTTATGCATTTTTGATTTATCTTGAAGAAGTCTTTGTGCAGAAACTCATTTCAAAATGTTATCGTGAAGGCGACCGTTATTATATGCTCTTATCTAGTAAAACTGTCCGTGAAAAACCCGTGCAGATTCGGCCATGGCGTTTGACAGATATGGACTATATGCCTCGACCTTCAAGTTTTTTGGATCCTCGTCGCACGGTTTGCTCTTTTAATTGTTTTTATGGTTCTTTTAAGACCTCAGTTTCGAACCTGGAAAACTAAGGAACTAGGGATGGTCCGGGGTAGAAAAAAAAGTTGGGCGGGTCGTCTGATTAGGCTCTAAAATTTTCCCTTGGATCGGGTTTCAGTTCGAAAAGGGCCAGGTTTCGGGCAAGCTCGGGTAGCCAAGCTTTTGCTAAACTCCTACTTCATTTTAGAGCTCTTGTAAGCCCCAGGTTCCGAACCTAAAAACGTTATGGAATCCAATCCATTTAAAATATTTTTTTCTAAAGAAAATCAACATATAAGCTTATAGGATGGAACGTCTGAGAAAAAAGCCTTGTTGGATTTTAAGGATTTCTTGGGTCGGGTTTGGGTTCGAAAAAATCTGGGCTTCGGGTAGCCGTCTCATTTCTGATAGGTTCATGGGACCCATAAACTTTACAACAGTCTAACTTATTTTTTTCAGATTTTCATTGGCGGAGTGCCACGACCAACAAAAGCTAGTGAATTAGCTTTTGTTCTTGAAAGTCATTATGGCTCAGTTTGCTATGCAGGCATTGATGTGGACCCAGAAATGAAATATCCTAAAGGAGCTGCCAGAGTTACCTTCAATACTTTTAAATCTTATGTCGCTGCGATGGCTGGCCGTTTTGTTAATATTCCACATTCGGATAGTACTAAACGAGTTTGCTGATAATTTTTAATTAATTGGCCTTATTATAAGATACTAGGCACACCTCTATTTAAGAGACGCTTTAAAATTGGTTGGCTACTGATGTGAGAAGGGGGCTGCCTGGGTGAAACCCTCTATTTAGGATACATTCATTATAAGATACTCTATAAATCTAGCTATAAGATACCTTCAATGTTAGATACCCTCTATTTAATAGACGCTCTGGTTAGCCACTGGGTGGAGGGGGCTTTCTAAGTGATTCTCTCCATTTAAAATACATCTCATTATAAGAGACGATTTTTCTGTCCCATGGGTATCTTTTAGTGAGGTCCGCCTTCAATAAGATGTCCAATATTTTTTTCTTTTAAAGGTTGAAATCAAGCCATATGTAGTTAATGACCAAATGTGTGATAATTGCCATGGAAAACTTTGTCAAGACCGTTACGCACCTTACTTTTGTGGAGATGTTTGTTGTCTCCAATATTATTGTGAGGCTTGTTGGGATCGTCTTCATTATGGAGGTGCTAATCGAATTCGTGAAGTTCATAAGCCATTTGTTAGAATGGGTGAACAAACTAAGGTTTGCAAAATAATTTTTTTGTAAAATAAAGAGTTAGGTTTTGTTCCTTTAAGTTTCCTTTTAGCGTTGCCTTCCCGCAGTTTTTTCTCTCCCAAGACTCCTGTGTAACGACTTTATTGTATAAAAGGTGTTGGCTTGGAGTTTGAAACGCTTAGGGGGCAGTGACGCTTGAAATTAATAAAAGAGAAAGTGGGTTCCCAATAAGTCGAGTTTTAGGCATTTCCGACCTCTCCTTTTCTCTCATTGGTGAGGCATTCCCAAAACTTTTTCCCAAGCGCCTTCTAGTCTGAGGACAACCCACCCTATTGTAAAAAGGGAAGATTCAACTATTTATTGTTAGCCTTTTAGGCGATGCCCTCTATTTAAAACACCTCCATAAGGGCTCTCTTGTACCTCTTTAATTTTTTGGGAGAACACTTGAACCCGTTTTAATGCTAAACTTTTTGCCTTTTACTTCTCTCAAAAAAATTATTTTTTAAAGCAATTACATCGTTTGCCACACCATAATACTCCAACTACTGCTTCTTCTGCTGCTGTTGTTCCAGCAGTTATTCCTCGTGTTCTTTGAGAGACTAGCGCGATTTATATAAAAAAATATTATATATATTTTGTTTATTATATATTTATGTGTAGTTTGCATTCTGTGTAATTTCATTTTTTTTCTCTTTCTCGTTTTATATATTTATGCCATATATACACCTTTAAAAATTCCCTATATTATTTAATTTAATAATAATAAATAATTTTTTTATTTTTAAATTAATCTTGAATATAGGCCAGTATTTGTATCGGCCCTCATTATAGGATACCTCCCGATATTGGAGACAACTCTATTTAAGAGACACCCTTTAAAAGTTATTCAATGGGTAGGGGAGCTCTCTGGGCGACATCCTCTATTTATCGGACACCTCAGTTTAGTAGAAATTTCCATATAAGATACACCTCCCTATAATATACTCCCAGTACTGGGTACACCTCTATTTAAGAGACGCTTTTAAAATTTTGTTTCTCAAAGGGTAGGGGAACTGTCTGGGCGACACCCTCCATCTAGGATAACCTTATTATAAGGTAAGAATTTTCAAACCCAAGGGCTTATACTGAGGTGGAGTTCAACTGCATTATATTTTATTGTATTTGGGGATTTTAAATTATTATTGTAATTTTTTATCGTCTCTTTTAAATGAGAACAAAAAACACTCAAATTATTTGTTTATCCAGCACGTAAAGGTCGTTCAACAATTTTCGTTCTTTCATCGGTTAAATATTTTTATGATGATCGCGCAAAATCTTCACATACAAAACTATTTGTCGTTGTTTACATAAAAACCAGATGTTTTTGATGAATCATTAAATGAATTATTTTCTAAACCCCTTAAAACCTGCACAAAATCACATGAAATTCGTATTTTTTAAAATATTTTTGTTGCTTTATTTTGTAGCAATGAGAGGTCAGAAAGATTGTTTTTTAATAAAAAATTTAAAAAAATTTTTTTCCCAGTACAATCACAGCAAGTAAACCTCGGCTCTCTTAGCCTAACACGTAATCAAAACGGGGATTTGCTTTTTGGCCTGGGGCAAGGAGCAAACATTTTTGGTTTTGGAGCGGACAGAAGACTTGGATTAAATATAGGGCCCGGCAGGTTTGGCGCTATCAGTAAGTCTTATCAGCGACTGGAAAATTTTGTGATAATTCCACCAATTTAAGATGATAATGGATTGATATTGGGTAACCAACGCTTTGGAATTGATTCTCAATTAGGCTATGAAAATGGACGTGGATTTGACCTTGGAAGCTTTCTAAACGTTTGTATACGTACCGTAAATGTTCTAATAGAAGCCAGGCTCCGATAGAACCCCTTTGAATAATAAATGCCTAGGGCTTGATAAGAATACCGCTCGTGCCCTATTAGTTCTTATAGAGGCATACTCTTATACCTTACAGAACTAGACTTATAGAGACTCAGAAACACGCTTTCATGTCAGTTAGAAACCTTCATCTGACCCATTGAAAATCGCCCAGGGCTTTTATTAGAACATTTACAGTATTTATTATTTTTCCTTCTAAAATTGTGTTATAAAATCCCCTTTCCAAGTTGTTCCAACCAATCGGTCAACAATTTGCTCATAATTTCCAACAAAACCTAATAGATTCCCAAAGAACGAATTTAGCCCTAGGCGAAGTAAATCAGGAGAATGTCTCATCCGTAGCTGTTAATAAAGGAGATCACCAATTTCCGCCAAGTATTGGAAGTGGGTGGAATGGGGAAGAAGAGATTGAAAGGAAAGGAAGAATCCACCACAAAAATCATTTCAAAGAAAACTTGAAAGATGATGAAGATTTAACAATGCCACTTGTGCCTTTAGAAGGGTTAAAGAAGCAGTGATCTTAAATTGACTAAAACAAGAAAAAAAGATCTCATTATAAGATATCCCTTGGGCGCTGAAATTTTGGACCTTATAATGTGCTTTTTAAGTGAGGTGTCATTTGGGATCCTTCCAAATCCAAATCATCCCCACACTTTGGGCAACCAAGTTCGATTATGGCCGTATTTTATATGAGGAGCTTTTTTTTTATTTAAGTCTCTTAAATAGAAATCTATTGAGTTATCCTATAATGAGGTTCATGTAAGTTACATATTTTAAAAAATTTTCCTAAAACCCTCCCAAAATTCCTCAAAATTTTTATTATAAAAATTGTGTAATATCTTTTTGTAATAAATAAAATGCTATATATAGGTAATTATTTGCAATTGTCTTATTTTTAAACAAACAATATTCCTTTTCTCTCTTTCCCAATCAAAGGCACACACTTCGTTGTCAAATAGAAAAAAATAAATTTCAAAAAAAATTATGATGGCGGAGTAGATTTTTGATGAGGTTGTCCTAAAGTTGCAGCAGGACTTCCACTTAAAAGTGCAGTAAATTCATCAATACAAGCTATAATTTGATTGTTTTTATCCAAATATGAAAGCGTTTCTTCTGGCAATATTCGACGAACAGAGTCGCTAGAAAAAAAATTTTTTTTTGAAATTTTTAGATTGAAAAATATTAAAACAAGGGAGCATTATCCGCTGTGTACAAAAATTTGGTATTATTTTTGATTCTGTTCGATAGAGAACCCTCGACTTTCTATTGTGAAGTGTCCTTATTATTCGTGTAAACTGACTTTAGGACGAGTTATGGCAGGTCAAACTTTTGGATTTTGGGAGCGTTTTTGTTATACGGAAGAAAGGAGAAAACCAAAAATTTTTGTATAACTAGATTTTTGTATATCCTCGCAAGAAAAAATTTCACAAAAAATTCTAAAAAATTACCCAGGTATTAACGGCTTCCTTTCCAAACGGCATTTCCGAATTTCTACAAAAGCTTTACGAATAAATCTTGCATAAATACATTTGGACATAAATTGTTCCAAATTTTCGTTTTGGTCAGGGTGAATATCCATAAAATTGTAAAGGTCCTCGACTGCCTTGAAAAAAATTTTTTTTTAATTTTTAAAAACAAAAAAAAGAAACCCCAGAAAAAATATCATCGTCAATACGAGCAAATAACTTTTCCATTTCTTCCATAAAAGGTGGTGTTCCATCCAGAGTTTTTTCATCTCCAGCAGTATTCCGTTTACCAACGGCACGGACACAACGCTTTACATAAACAACAATTTTTGAATTTTCTGGGAGATGGTCGAGGTAATTAAGTATCTTAATTAAAATTAACAAATAAAAAATTAATTAACAAAAAAAACCGAATATTTCTTATCAACAACAATCCGTTGAATGCAAATAAAAAGTAATTTTGATGTCTCTTTAACTGAAGCATCCAACTCATGCCCCTCGTCAGTAATATAGAATCGTGTAATGTAAGTATTTATATGTTCCAATAATGTGGGAATATCAATCTAAAAAAAAGGTGCGTTTAGTGTAAGAACATTTATTGAAAAGATAATTTTTCTTTCACGCCTATTGTAAAGAAATTTTTTTAAATTACTAACCATAGCAACAATTGTAGGATCTGTAAGAGTTTCAGTTCGTTTAATCATACATTTACGAAGTAAATCCATCATCTTTCCTTTAGGTTCAGTTGCTTGGTATTTCATAATTAATTTCATCAAGGCCAAATAGCAAACACTTGGATGAGTAAATTCACAAAGACGAATAACAACAACATTTAATGAACGAAAAACCTAAAAAAAATTTTTTAAACAAAAAAATATGTAATAAAATAAGCTGTCTAAGTCGCTCCTCAAGTTTTTTTCGGTCCTAAGCTTTTGAAAAACTTCTGAGCTTTTCAAAAATTCGTCCTATAACAAATAATTGTCGCTATTCTTGTTAATGTTTAGTTAAGAATTTGGGGCCAAGTTTTGGTCAAAAGGATTCACTAGTGGTTTGGAGTCTTGAAAATCTTAACCCTTGGAAAGCTAAAAATATTATTTAAAAATATAACCTGATCCTTAAATCCAGAAAGGCGTTGATCACATACTAACGACAAAATTGCTTCTATAAATCCACGTAAAGTATCAGCACTAATTCTCTTCATTATATGAGTTTCATTTGTTAACTTAAAAAAAATTTTTAAATAAAAATAAATTTATAAAAAATAACCGTAGAGAGAAAATTACAAATTGAACGTAAAAATTCATTTAGCTCAGTTTCTTTAGAAAAATTCTGTTTTTCTTGTTTTGCTTCTTTACCAGATTCTAATTGTTCAAGATGTTGACTTCGAATATGAAAGACTTGTGTTACAATCTAAAAAAGTGTGAGATTCAAAAATGAAATTATTAAAAAAAATTAACCATTTTTAAAATAAGCTCTGATCTATCAATGATATATTGACGATTGTTGGGATCATTCAATAAATGTAATAACTAAAAATTTGGAAATAAAAAAAACTAAACAAATTTAATCACTAATACTATTTAATTTCAAAAAATTAAAAAAAATTTAAACCTGAGCAATCGCTTCATCAGCAACGCTTAATTGTAAGCAAGAGACATTATGAACAGCTCGATCAATATATTCAGTACTTTCTAACGAAGAAATAGAAGATACAGATTCACTACGACGAGAAAATATGCTGACAGGGCGGATAACAGGTTTCTAAAATAAAATTAAAATTTTACATCTAAAAATCAAAAATATATATACGATTGGTTGTAAATCATTTTGATCAACAATTGGTTGAATACTTCGAATTGATAAAACACCTCGCTCCGGTGGCACCAAATCATTTTTAGTAAATGTAGAATTTAAATCGATGGTTTGATTTGGTTTTGAATTAGCAGCTAATAAAGTCCTCTCACCGTCATCAAAATCATTTTGATAAAATTTAGGATCCAATTGAAAATGACCAATACTCTAAAAAACAATAAAATTTAAAAACGAATTCAAACTTGATTCAATGTGGAATGAGCAGAAGGTGAACGACGAGGATTAGGATTATATGAACGACGAGGAGCACGAAAACGATCGACTTGTTGTTTTTGTGGTTCGGTAGCAACTTGTTGTTGCTGATTATTTGTGTTTGTAGCTAATTGCCGTTGACTTTGTTGAGATGTTGAAGGAGCGAAATTAATCTCGGAAGCAGGCTGAAAATAAGCAATCAAAAACAAAAAATAAAAGTGTAAAAAACCTTTAGACTTTGAGATTCAATAGAGGCCTTTTCACGATATTCAGCAATCTAGAATGTTTTTCAAAATAAAAAATAGTTAAATAAACGATATAGTTAAGTATATCGGAGTAAAGTATAGGCACAAAACATACGATTCGTTAAGACAAGCTGATTCGAATAGTAACACTCTTATCCGGAAATGCCTGTGGATCAAGATATAGCTCCTCAAAAATCGAAAAAAGTCAGGTACATACTTGAAGTCAAAAATCGAATGCCATATATGAATTTATAGGAGTATATGCACTCAATACCAGTTATTCCAAAATTAAAAAGTAATTCAAAACAGCTCGGTGAGACGAAGCGTGTGTTATGTACCGAAACTTTACACCTGGCAAACTTAACTACAGTCAAATAAACCTTTGACATTTTTGAAGCATCTTTGACAATTTCAGCACTTAAAAAAACTGAAAGTGCACTTTCACCAATACATTTTTGTATAGCACCCAAAGCAGCACACGAAGCATCACGAACCTCAGGATCAGAATCAGAAGCATGCTAGTGATAAAAGTAATGAAACAAAAAAATTAAAAATACGTACATTAGATAATGACGCAACCAAATCCTTCAAAAGTCCTTTAGGAATATCCTTGCTGTTAAGCGACCGAAATGCTCTGTAGATGAAATGATCAAGTTGAGACTTTTGACCACGATTAGGCTTTTTAGTAGCTTCCAAAATACTTGCTGAGAGATTTTTTAAAGTCTAAAAAATAATCGAATAAGAAACATAAATTTTTTATTTCATGAAAAACGGGCGAAACCAGAGTTGTATTTAATGACTTATTAGATAGATCGAATATATTTATGATTGATCCGATATAAAGTGGTTTGTCTTTAAGATAATAGGGAGGATTATTTCCAAAAAAAATGAGTCGTAAACCAGTTATATTCAAACGGCTATGAAGTGGCGAAATTAAGTAAAGCAATCCAAATAAAACTTATAAATTACCGTGCTAGCAAAAACAGCGTCAATTAATTCAATCAAAGGATCACGAAGATGAGGCTTCTTCTCTTTGAATCTGTCAAATATAATTGGAGATAATGAAGCTGTATGCGGCCAAAATTTATTGCGCAATCCTTTCGCCATTATAGTAAGACATTTAGCAGCAACAGCAGCACAATTAATATTTGCGTCAGATGAGAGAACCTTAAAAATAAAAATAATTTAATTTAAATAATTACTTAAAAAACCTTTGCAAGCTTATCAATCAAATCTCCGTAATCTGAGTTATCAGTCAACTTGGGATTTTCTACCAAAATGGAGTGAATTGAATCCAATACAGCTTTTCTTTCTTGCCAAGTTTTACTAGCTAATTGAGTGTCTAAATTCGCCGGAAGTTTTGAAATAATGTCGACAGGTTCCAAAGGCTTAGAAAGATCGACTTGTTGTTTTTGTGGTTCGGTAGCAACTTGTTGTTGCTGATTATTTGTGTTTGTAGCTAATTGCCGTTGACTTTGTTGAGATGTTGAAGGAGCGAAATTATTCTCAGAAGCAGGCTGAAAATAAGCAATCAAAAACAAAAAATAAAAGTGTAAAAAACCTTTAGACTTTGAGATTCAACGGTGGCCTTTTCACGATATTCACCAATCTAGAATGTTATTTCAAATAAAAAATGTTTAAATAAACGGATTTAGTCTAGTAACCAGAGTAAAGTTTCGGCACGAAACTTTAAAAACTTTTTGTAACCTTGAAACTATTGGCAACTACTTTTACTCATAAATGAGTCTTAAACAGCTCGGCGAGAAGAATCGAATAATATATTTTGAGTTCAAATCACGGTGGACCTATATAATATACCGACACCGAAACTTTACACCTGGCAAACTTAACAACAGTCAAATAAACCTTTGACATTTTTGAAGCATCTTTGACAATTTCGGCACTTAAAAAAACTGAAAGTGCACTTTCACCAATACATTTTTGTATAGCACCCAAAGCAGCACACGAAGCATCACGAACCTCAGGATCAGAATCAGAAGCATGCTAGTGATAAAAGTAGTGAAACAAGAAAATTAAAAATACGTACATTAGATAATGACGCAATCAAATCTTTCAAAAGTCCTTTAGGAATATCCTTGCTGTTAAGCGACCGAAATGCTCTGTAGATGAAATGATCAAGTTGAGATTTTTGGCTAGGATTAGACTTCTTAGCAGCTTCCAAAATACTGGCCGAGAGATTGTTTAAAGTCTAAATAAAAGAAAAAAGTTAAGGTAACGAAAATCTAAATAACCGTGCTAGCAAAAACAGCGTCAATTAATTCAATCAAAGGATCACGAAGATGAGGCTTCTTCTCTTTGAATTTGTCAAATATAATTGGAGATAATGAAGCTGTATGCGGCCCAAATTTATTGCGCAAACCCTTTGCCATACCAGTAAGACATTTAGCAGCAACAGCAGCACAATTAATATTTGCGTCAGATGAGAGAACCTTAAAAATAAAAATAATTTAATTTAAATAATTACTTAAAAAACCTTTGCAAGCTTATCAATCAAATCTCCGTAATCTGGGTTATCAGTCAACTTGGGATTTTCTACCAAAATGGAGTGAATTGAATCCAATACAGCTTTTCTCTCTTGCCATTTCTTACTAGCTAATTGAGTGTCTAAATCCGCCGGAAGTTTTGAAATAATGTCGACAGGTTCAAGAAATTCAAAAGGATCGACTTGTTGTTTTTGTGGTTCGGTAACAACTTGTTGTTGCTGATTATTTGTGTTTGTAGCTAATTGAGGTTGATTTTGTTGAGATGTTGAATGAGAGAAATTATTCTCGGAAGCAGGCTGAAAATAAAAATTCAAAAGCCAAAAAACAAAAGTGTAAAAACCTTTAGACTTTGAGATTCAGTCGAGGCCTTTTCACGATATTCAGCAATCTATAATGTTATTTCAAATAAAAAATATTTAAATAAACGGATATAGTTAATGTAAGTATACCAGAGTAAAGTTTCGACATAATAAAGCCAATTCGGTATGACGAGCTGATCCGAATCGTAACAATCTTTTCCGGAAATGACTGTGAAAAGGTTCCAAAATTCAGTCAGGGATATCTTAAGGTCAAAAAACAAATATACAATAGCTCATATTAAGAGCTCGTTGGAGTCGGCGAAATTTACTACAAAAATGGTCATCCAGTTCTTTATTTTCATCAGGCCCGTAGCCAGGATTTTTTTTCGGGGGGGGGAAAATTTTTTGCGCCAAATTTTTGGCGCCGAAGGCGCCAAAAATTTTTATTTTCAGCGCCGCAGGCGAAAATTTTGAGAATTTTATAAGGCCGTAGGCCAAAAAAATTCAATTTTTCGGCGCCGCAGGCGCCAAAAATTTGATTTTCAGCGCCGCAGGCGAAAATTTTTTGAATTTTGGACCTCAAGAAGCTAGATTTCTTCCTTTTTTAGCGCCGCAGGCGAAAATTTTTTAAATTTCAGAGGCCGTAGGCCAAAAAAATTCACTTTTTTTGCCCCAGCCCTTCCCCAAATTTTTTCCTTTTTCCCATTTCGGGGGGGGGGGGAATTCCCCCCCTCACCCCCCCCCCTGGCTACGGGCCTGATTTTCATGTACATGTAAGATGCACCTAAAAAGTCAGTCTAACTTATGCAGTTAGTTTATGGGGTCCTTAGTAAGGTTGTCGGATCCGGATATCCGGATCCGAAAAAAGGCCGGATATCCGGAAATTTTCGGTTCGGATACCGGATCCGGATATCCGAAATTTTCGGTTCGGATATCGGATCCGGATATCCGAAATTTTCGGTTCGGATATCGGATCCGGATCCGGATATCCGAAATTTTCGGTTCGGATACCGGATCCGGATATCCGAAGATTTCCAACTATCCGACAACCTTAGTCCTTAGCACTAGAAGACGCATTGGCAACGCCCGTGTCGGAGTATGTGCTAAATATCAGTTATACTAATAGTAAGTCGTACATTCGAACCAGCTCGTCGAGACGAAGTGTTATGTATCAAAACTTTACACCCGGCAAACTTAACAACAGTCAAATAAACCTTTGACATTTTTGAAGCATCTTTGACAATTTCGGCACTTAAAAAAACTGAAAGTGCACTTTCACCAATACATTTTTGTATAGCACCCAAAGCAGCACACGAAGCATCACGAACCTCAGGATCAGAATCAGAAGCATGCTAGTGATAAAAGTAGTGAAACAAGAAAATTAAAAATACGTACATTAGATAATGACGCAATCAAATCTTTCAAAAGTCCTTTAGGAATATCCTTGCTGTTAAGCGACCGAAATGCTCTGTAGATGAAATGATCAAGTTGAGATTTTTGGCTAGGATTAGACTTCTTAGCAGCTTCCAAAATACTGGCCGAGAGATTGTTTAAAGTCTAAATAAAAGAAAAAAGTTAAGGTAACGAAAATCTAAATAACCGTGCTAGCAAAAACAGCGTCAATTAATTCAATCAAAGGATCACGAAGATGAGGCTTCTTCTCTTTGAATTTGTCAAATATAATTGGAGATAATGAAGCTGTATGCGGCCCAAATTTATTGCGCAATCCTTTCGCCATTATAGTAAGACATTTAGCAGCAACAGCAGCACAATTAATATTTGCGTCAGATGAGAGAACCTTAAAAATAAAAATAATTTAATTTAAATAATTACTTAAAAAACCTTTGCAAGCTTATCAATCAAATCTCCGTAATCTGGGTTATCAGTCAACTTGGGATTTTCTACCAAAATGGAGTGAATTGAATCCAATACAGCTTTTCTCTCTTGCCATTTCTTACTAGCTAATTGAGTGTCTAAATCCGCCGGAAGTTTTGAAATAATGTCGACAGGTTCAAGAAATTCAAAAGGGTCCATATCTTAAATTAGATTATAATTTTGTATAACAAATCTTAAGAAAATATTCCAAATAAACTAAGCAGTAAAACAAATCGTTTTTATTGATTTACTTGCCACGGACACCGTAGAGGACTTTCAAACGCAAAAAATGAAAATACTGGATGAGAATAACCAAAATGTTACAAATAACACTTTTTTAAAACGCCGCGATAAAATGTAACAAAGGACGCTTAGACGCTAGAACCCTAGGCAGCCCATTTATGCGCGGCTATTTAGTCGCAGGCCGCGCACACCGGTTCAATATCGTGCGCGACTACAATAGAGAACTCACATCAGCACATAACATGAGGATTTTTTTGAAGTTTTACGGTTTTTTAAAACAGGTTTGCAACTATGGATTGACATACATATGTGTTTATTTAAATCTTGACAAAATTACGTTTTATCTATTTTAACAATTTAACTTTTTACCACAATGAAACTTGCGGAAATTTTCTAGTTTGAATTTTTTGGGGTTTTTAATGGGGAAAATTTTTGATTTTTAAACTTTTTTTTTCTATTTTTGATTGTTTAACTTTACCCCCCCCCCCCCCCCCTCCCTTCCAATTATCTACATATTTTTTCTCTTAAGAAAGTGATAAGAATAAGAAACCCCCCATTTTATAAGAAACACCATCCATTCATTTAATTTTTATTCTCGAAGTATATTGATTTTATTTGCATTTTCGGTCATTCATTTCATACATATATATTTTCGATTATATTAAATATGTACATTTATAGAAATTAGTTTCCTTTCTATTAAATTGATCAATCAAAAACTTTTTTTTTCTTCGTGTTTTTAAATATTTTTAGATTTTTAAAGAAATTTTTCTTGAAGAAAAATTTTTAAATTAATTTTGAGTCAATGACAGTGGATTCAAAGACTGCTCCTCAAACTCAGGTTTAATTTAGAGAAAATAAATTTAATAATATCTTTCAAAAATTCAGGATGCTTCCTTATATAAAAGGCCAAAAGTTTACATTATTGGTGTTGGAATGACAGCGGTATTTTATTTTTAAGAATCTTTATTTTTTAATCATTTTCAGTTCACAAAACCGCTTACATCTGGCAAGGATTATCCAGAATTGGTTAAAGAAGCAGGTAACTCTTTTTAACATTGTTTTAATAAGTCAAACCTCACTATAAATTACACCCTCGGGACTGAAAATTGGTATTTTATAAGTAGGTATTTCTTATATTGGGTGTAGCTTGTCTCTTAAATAGAGGGCATTTTGTAGTGAGATTACTCTTAAATACGGAGTATATTATATAAATGACTTTTTTCTTTAAAAAATTTTTCTTCTCAATTCTAAAAATAATTTTTATAGTTGGCGAAGCTTTGAGTGATGCTGGTGTAAGATATGAACAAATTCAACAAGGTTTGGGCTTTTAAACTAATTTTTAAATTTATTTTTTAAATAAAAATTAAATTTAAGCGACCGCTTCCTACATGTATGGTGGGTCTTGTTGCGGTCAAAGAGCATTATACGAAATTGGATTAACAGGAATACCTATATTTAATGTTTTTTTCCTTAAAAATCTTTTTAAAAAACATTTCTTAATTCAAGTTGAATAATGCTTGTGCAAGTGGTTCCAGTGGAATATTTCTTTGTAAACAAATTATAGAAAGTGGAAATGTTGATTTAATGCTGGCTGTTGGGTTTGAAAAAGTTTTTCTTTTCAAATTTTATGGAGGCGGACCTCTATATAAGATATTCCCCAGTAGTGGATACACCTCTATTTTAGAGACGCTCTTTAAAAATAAGGTTGGCCACTGGCTCTGAGAAAGCTGCATAACCGATCTCTATTTAAGGTACCTCATTATAATACAGTGGTGCACAAAAGTAATGCCCGCTGCATATAGGTTTTTGATTTCAACTTGTTACCGGTTCATTTTCTTTCTAAAATTTTTTTTGTTTGTCCTAAAATAAACTATTTTTTATGGGCTTTAAGATTATTACAAACTTTAGGATGAAAAAATTATAAAAAATATTTTTTAAAATTTTAAAAATTTTGACTAAATTTTTAATGGTGCAAAAGTAATGCCCGCTATTTATTTTCGACAGAAAAAATAAAAATAGGCCAATATTTTGGTTTTATTTTTATTAATTATAAAATAATAAGTAAAAATAAACACAAATGACATTTAAAAAGCAATAGGAAATTCAAAAGACCGAGGTAAAGCTCAGAGGCATTTTGGGGAGCCACAAGGGGGAGGGGGTACGTTTGGGGCCATAATCAACCGGAGGATGCTAGCCAGGTCCTGAAACTTTACCATTTGCTAGCTAGGAGGCCTGCCAAAAAACCCACTAGGTATCAACTATATCTAGCTTTGCGCCTTCAAAAGATGGTTCAAGATCAACACCAGTCCGTGGAGCAGTTGTGAGGGTGTTACGGAGCAATGAAAATCTTTTAAATTTTCACAATTCTGATGGGGGAAATTACATTCACGATCGTTATTATCCAAAAAATATGAAAAATGCTGGTGGAGGAGTATTCGAATGGGTTAATAGACACTTCATATTTAGGGTCAATTTATTCTCGTTTCCAAGATGCCTTTCTTGCAATGGCTTTAGTCCGTATGTAGAAATTTCTGGCAACACAAATGCTCCTATGTACCGCAGCATTCTGCTGAACAAAATGATACCTCATAATCGGAAAAAACTAGCACCTTGTTGGAAATATATCCATGAGTATGCAGCCTGCCCCTTGTGGCCCCCAAAATGCCTCTAAGTTCTACCTCGGCCTTTTGAATTCATTATTGCTTTTTTAATGTTATTTCTGTTTATTTTTACTTAATATTCTATAATAAATAAGAATAAAACAAAAATATTAGCCTATTTTTATTTTTTCTGTCGAAAATAAAAAGCGGGCATTACTTTTGCACCATGAAAAATTTAGTCAAAATCTTTAGAATTTTCAAAAAATATTTTTTATAATTTTTTCATCCTCAAGTTTGTAGTCATATTAAAGCCCATAAAAAATAGTTTATTTCACGACAAACAAAAAAATTTTTAAAGAAAAAACGAACCCTTGACAAGTTGAAATCAAAAATTTATATGTAGCGGGCATTACTTTTGTGCACCACTGTAGACCCCAATATTGGATACACCTCTATTTAAGAGACGTTTACTAAGTGGCTTTTACTGGGTAAGGAAGCTGCTCAAGCGATACCCTCTATTTAACATATACCTCATTATAAGAGACATTTTTTCAATCCCATGGTTATTTTATAATGAGGTTTGATTTGGTCTTAAATTTTCTTTAAAAACATTTTCCTTTACAGATGCAACCAGGAAGTTTAGAAAATTCTCCAGAACATTTAGACGACCGTGCTTTACCCGTAGAAAAACATATTCAATTAATGGCCGACACCTATGGATTACAAGCGGCCCCAATAACTTCACAAATGTTTGGAAATGCTGGACGGGAACATATGGAAAAATATGGTTAGAGAAATTTTTTTTTGAAAATTTCTGTTAAAAAATTAAAAAAAGGTACAACAAGAGAACATTTTGCTAAGATTGCGTGGAAGAATCATTTACATTCTGTCCATAATAACAAATCACAGTTTCAACGTGAATTCTCTTTGGATGAAGTTGTTAATGCTAGAAAGGTTTATATTTTAGTTTTAAATATTGAGGGGTTTTTGCTGAAACAAAGGGCTCTTTACACGAATTTTCGAATTTTACTCAAAATTATACCAATTAAAAGTCCTCAAAAATTCCCTCAGACTACACAAGTGTCATTTACCGTAAATATTCCAATAGAGGCCCTGGATGTTTATTCTTACAGAAAAAAATATTTTTAATGGGTCTCATTGATCACTGACAAAATCCTCAACCTTCCGGTTTCTAATAAGCTCCTACTACGGTTCTATTAGGGATGGGCTTTTTTATTTAAAAATGACCGTAAAAATTTAAATTTTTAAAAAATTCAAGATTTATGATTATATGGGTCTATTCGAATGTTCTCCAACCAGTGATGGTGCTGCTGCTGTCATAATTTGTAGTGAAAAATATATTGAACAAAATCCTCATTTAAAGCCTCAAGCAGTTGAAATTGTTGGAATTGAATTAGGAACAGGTTTTTTAATTTTAAATTGAAAAAATTTTTCTTTAAAAGATGAACCTTCCGTGTTTGCTGAGAATAGCAATATAAAAATGGTTGGATTTGATCTTATTAAAAAAATATCTGAACGTTTGTATTCAAAAACTGGTGTTGATCCATCACAAATTCAGGTTTTATTTTTTCTAAAAGAAATTTCGAACTTTGTCACTCTCTCGCTTTTTTTTCCTCAAAGTATTCTAACAAGAATGGGCAGACCGAAAATTATTTTTTATTTTTTAAATTAAAAAGGTTATTGAACTACATGATTGTTTTGCTCCAAATGAGTTGATAACTTATGAGGCTTTGGGTCTTTGTCCTATAGGTTTATTTAAGAGATTAAGAATTTTTTATAAAATATATTAACAGGAAAGGCAGGTGAAATAGTTGATAAAGGAGATAATACTTATGGTGGAAAGTGGGTAATTAATCCCAGTGGAGGCCTAATTAGTAAAGGACATCCAATTGGTGCAACAGGTTTGCTTATTAACCGTGTTTAATATAACGGTCTTCTAGAGCTGTCCAACCCCAGAATTACCCGCCGAAGACCACCCAAGACCACTCAAATCTCAACGGTTTGGAGATTTGATCAAGATCACCCAAACTAGCCAGCCAACCCCATCCAAGACCAGTCCCATAGCCATCCAAGACAAGGGCCGAAAAAAGACTCGAGAGATTTTAGAGTTTTGGACAGTCCTTTTATTAGAACTCGTAATGTTATCGGCACCTAGCTTAATTTCTGTTCCTGTTTCCAAGCTTTTAGAATGCTGACATGAGATAGAATTATGATAGGAAATTCTTGGCTTTCTCAGTCTTGGGCCTTTCCTTGTTTCCTGTCCCTCTTTTTTTGATTTTTGACTCTACCTATTCGTTAATAAAAAAATTATTTTAAAAGGTATTGCCCAAGCAGTAGAATTATGTAATCAATTACGCAAAAGATGTGGAGCTCGTCAAGTAACTAATGCAGTTTATGCACTTCAACATAATATTGGTTATTTTAAATTATAAATTTTCTTTAGTTTTTTTTGAGTGTGAAAATCATTTAGTGTGTGGAGTGGCTTTTTTATTCTTTGCTTTTTTTTTATTTTTTAGTGCTTTTTATTTTTGCTTTGATTTTTCTGTCCTTTTTTGAATCTTAAAAAAGATTTTCCCAAAAATAATTTTTGTAGGGTCAAGGATCGTCTTTCGCCCCGATCGCCAACCCTCACCCGAAAATGGTTCGCACACTTTTTTACGAATATATACCCTTTTAAAAGGATTTTTTGGGAGCAAGACATATCGGGATATTTACATAATACTATACAAACAGCTGCCCTTCACAACCTACGGCTACTTAGGCCTTGGATCGTAATATTAGAGATCGAGATTTTTGAAAAGCCTGGACCTGTTTCTGGGTTCATGGTTTTATTTATCGACCAGGGCCCTGGGCCTGTAGTTCAGAAAAAAAACCAGGCCCAGGAAAAACCCAGGAAGGTCAAAAAATGCCTGGACTCTGGGTACAGGAAAAACACAGGCCTTGGTCCAGACCCAGCTCGATCTCTAATATATATAATTTTCCCAATAATTTTTAGGAGTTTTTATGTCCTATTGAAGAAGGGATTTTGTTTTTGAATCAACATAAACACAAAAGAAGTTAGTCACATCAATCCCGACATGTCCATCCCGATATGCCTCCCCGTCCCTTCTTTTTTTAATAAACTTTATTTTTAAGGAATTGGAGGCGCTGGGGTAGTTGCTATTTATAAACTTGGTTTTCCTGAATTAGCTAATAAAAAGAAGGAAGAAAATGGAGAAATGTCTAGTGAATTTAAAAGTGATGCTATTTTTGAAGAAATTAAGGAAAGAGCGGAACAGGTTTTGAAAATTTTTTTAATTTTAAAATTAAGTCAACCCTAAATATAAGATTCCCCCCATATTAAGTCTCTCCCCATTTAAATTACCATCTATTTAATAGACGTTTTTAGTCGTGTATCCTATACTTACTGTTAGGTGACACCTTCTATTTAAAAGACCTCATTATTAGATAACCCCGATGCTACATACCCCCTCCATTTAATAAACACCTCATTATAAGGCAGGATTATTCACCCTCAAGGGGTATCTTATAATGAGGTGATACCCTCTATTTAAGATACACCTCATTATAAGAGACTTTTTAAGCCTCATTATAAGAGACTTTTTTTATTATAAGAGACTTTTCTTATAATGAGGTTTTTTAAAAATATTTTAATTTTTTAGGAAATTGATTTAGTCAAGCAAGTTGGGTCTTGTTTTAAATTTATTATTTCATCTCCAAATTCATCTAAAAAACGAGAATGGATTGTTGACCTAAAATGTTCCCCTCCATATGTTGGCCTTTCTAATAACAAGGAAAATACAAAACCAGAAGTTACCTTAACATTGGATGATCAAATTTTAATGAATATTGCAAAAGGAAAAATAAAACCGGATCAAGTAATTTTTTTTTATTTTTTGAGGGGGGAAGGAGAAAAATTTTCTAATTTTTCTTAGGCATTTTTACAACGAAAATTAAAAATTAGTGGAGATTTTAAAAAGGCAATGAAATTGAAGGATATATTGGATCCTAAAAAATTAAAATCTAGGATTTAGAAATAAATAGAGGGAGAATTAGAAAAAAATGTTTAAAAAAATTTTATTTTCGAATTTTTAAAAATTAAAAATTTTTTTTAATTTACAAAAAAAAAATTAATTTTCTAATTATTGTGTTATTTTTTAAATAAATATAAAATATCTTCCAGTTCATTTTGTATTTCTTCTAAATTATGGAGTATTTGTGTATCTTTCACATTCATTTCAACCTTTAAATTAATTATTTTTAATTAAATTAATACAATAAAACTTCGTTGAAAGACACTTCTGAGGTGTCTCTTATAATGAGGTATTTAAATAGGGATTACGTTAAAAATGAGAGCTATCGATAAGACTTAAAGAAAAATCGTATTCTAAAGAGATACCTTATAATGGGGTGTATCTTAAATGGAGGGTATCACACTTAAATATTTCCTCCCCCCAATTTCCAATCAAACTTGAAGAGTGTCTCTTGATTAGAGACGTGTATCTGGTATTAGGTTTATCTTATAACGAGTTTTCTAATATTGAAAGTATCTTATAAGGAGGTTATCTTATAAGGAGGTTTTAAAAATTAAAAAATATAATTTACAATTTCTTTCCGTAAATAGTCAAACAATTCAGTCCAATTCATAAAATTATTATTGTTATTTGGAGTAATATCAATAGAATCACCAAAAGCCGAATCAGGAGATTCTGATATTAATGGGAAAGAATTAATTTTTGTCTGAGAATTTAATTGTTTAATAGGCAAAGTCAATCTATTTTTATTTTCAGAAATTGAAGAAAAAGGGGAATTAATGGTAAAAGAATTAAATGAGGAGGTGGAAGGGGAGGAAGTGTTGTTGGGGTGATTGTTTTGTTGTAATTGGAATTTGTGAGAAAATAATTTTTTTGAATTTTGGTTGTTGACTAGTTGAGAATTTAAATGATTAGATGTTGGGGGTATTTGGTGTTCATTTTCTTTTATGTAAAAAGAATTTGAGTGATTTGAGGATTCTGGTGAAGAATCAATTTTATAATGAATATTATAGGGTAATAGAGGCAGTTCTTCTTGACATGGCTTCCTTTAAAAATTTTAAAAATTTAATTTTTGTTATGATTGGATCCCTCTTATGTACTATATCCCAGGGGTGGGCTCTCTTCCGCCCTCCACTTCCGCTTTTTAAAATGCATGAGGGTCCATCCATGGTATACTCCATTTACGTTCACGTATGTATTCCTCTCGCGTATACCCTCATATATAGGGGGTATATTAATTCAGAATTTTATTAAAATCAGAATTTATATTAAAATCAGAATTTATATTAAAATCAGAATTTTATTAAAATCAGAATTTATATTTAAATCAGAATTTTATTAAAATCAGAATTTATATTTAAATCAGAATTTATATTTAAATCAGAATTTATTAAAATCAGAATTTCTTTATTTTTAAAAGAAAATTCTGTTTAATATTTAAATCAGAATTAGCTCGGAGCTTACTAAACTAAACCCTCCGTTATAAAAAAATACCTCCACACCTAAATTCAAAAAAAGGACCAACAGCAGACCCATACATTCTTAATTTTTGTTCATTAATTTTTTCTTTTCTTTTTTTCTTCTTCAATTTTAAATTTGTAGTTGAATTATAAAAACGTTTAATAAATTGTTTTGCTTGTTCTAAACGTGGATAATTAAATAAATTAATTTTTGTATTTTCTATAAATTCTCTTTTTTCGCTAATTGCACGTGTTTTGGTTAGAATGGATGTTGTTGAGGATGTTAATATATTTGTTGAATTGGTTATTTGTCTAATTGGATTTTTTCTGTTATTGTGGAGACTTGTAGCCAGTGAAAAACTTGAAAAAAATGTTTTAAAAATAATTTAAAAATTTTTTGCGGACAAAAAATTTTGCATTTTGCAGAATCCGCAAAAATATGAAAAGTCCGCAAAAATAGGAAAAATGCATAAAAAAAGTCTGCAAAAAAGAGTCCGCAAAAATTTGTCCACCAAAAAGAGTCCGCAAGAAAAATGTCCGCAAAAAAAATTCAAAATTAACCAGGTTCCATTATCCAAACTTTTAGTTCTCTGCCTCTGAATTGGAATATTATTACAAATTTTAAAATCATTAGTTCGACTAGAAGAAACAGGACAACAATTTTCTTTAAAATTTGAAGAAAAATTTAAAGTTTCCAAAGAAGTATTAAAATAATTATTAAATAAAGGAGGAAATGATTCTGACATTGAAATTGCTGAAAAAATAAAAAAAAATATTTAAAATCAGAATTTTTAATTAAAAATCAGAATTTTCATAGTTAAAACAGAATTATGTTTTAATATTTAAAATCAGAATTCTTTATAAAATCATAATTAATTTAAATTAATTTAAATCAGAATTTAAAATCAGAATTACTTTATTGTTAAAAGAAAATTCTGTTTTATTATTTGAAATCAGAATTTTTTAAATTATTAAAACAGAATTCTGTTTAATATTTAAAATCAGAATTTTTAATTAAAATCAGAATTTATATTTAAATCAGAATTTTTAAATTTAAAATCAGAATTTCTATATTTAAAATCAGAATTCTCAAATCAAAATTTTTAATTCAAATTTAATTAAAATCAGAATTTAAAATCAGAATTTCTTTATTTTTAAAGCAGAATTCTGTTTAATATTTAATTCAGAATTTTTAATTAAAAATCAGAATTTTTAAATAACCATTTTGAAGAGAAAAACCAGAATTAAAATTATTATTATGTTTAACATATTCTGTTGACGAATAAAAATCAGAATTTTTATTTAATTTGTTCATTTTATTATTAATTAGCAAGTTTCTTCTTCTTCTAGGTTCTTCACTTTTTATTTCATTTTTATTTTTTATTTTACTATTAGAATTTTGTTGAGAATTAATTGACGGCAAATTTTGTTGAGAACTGTCAAGAAAATAATAAATTATTTTTTAAACTATTTTGAAGGTTATTAGAAGAAATTGGGGAGAGGAATTTTTTTGAAAGAATTATAAAATTAAGTAAAACCCCGTTATAAGATACCCCCAATACAAGGTAAACCTCTTTATAAGATACCAATAAAATTAGGAAAACCCTCATTATAAGATACCCCCAAAATTAGGAAAACCCCCGTTATAAGATATCCTCAATACAAGGAAAACCTCCCTATAAGATACCCCCAATACAGAGAAAACCTCCCTATAAAATACCCCCAATACAAGGTAACCCCCATTATAAGATACACCTAAAATTATGAAAGCCTCATTGTAAGATACGTTTTTAAATCTGGCAGACCCCTTAGTGGGGTAGCTGTCCCCTCTATTTAAGCAAGCAATACCCTCTATTTAACATACACCTTGTTATAAAGTACGAATTTTAGGGTGTATTTACAAGCGAGGTTTTGCTGAATTTAACCTTTCTGGTTGATCACTGGGTGGAGGAGCAGTCTAAGCAATACTCTCAATTTAGGGTACCCTCTATTTAACATACACCTCATTATAAGGAACGATTTTTTCAGTGAATTTAGAAGCCCGTTAAAAGTAAATAAATATTTATTTATTTTTGGATATGTAACAAATAAAATTATTTTTTGACAAAAAATGTGGGCGGTTATGGGTGTATAAAAATGAGGACAACTTGAAAGGATATTTGAAAAGAAATAAGAGAGATGACAAAAAACTTTTTTTAAAAAAATATAATTTCAAGTCCAACAAATATTCTCCCCCCCCCCTCTCCCCCTTGCAGTTAGATTTTTATTGAAGAAAAAAAAACAAAATCATTTAAAGAGGAGAAGGAGTTTTATTTATAAATAAATCTGGCAATTACACAGTTGGCTAGAAAAAAAAATAAAATAAAAATTATAAGGAAGGAGAATAAGTAAAAATAAGCAAGAAACACCTTGAAGAGTCATTAATTATAAAATAACGAAAAAATTTTCTTTTTTCATGTTCAAGGCTTATTTTTATTTTTATACCTGCCTAAATGTGTTAAAATTCAAAATCGTAAAGTAAAATTCCAAACAAACTTTTTTTTAATTTTTATAAAGTAGAAGGGCAAGGATTGTTTGTGGGATGTAAGGAACTCTTCCAGAAGAAAGGCCAAAAAATATAAAAATAAAATTAAGGAAAGGGAGAGGATAAGTGAAGTAGGCAACTGAACTACCCCCAAAAAGAACCCTTAAGCATATAAATAACGAGGGGTATGACGACGAGTACACCTCTGGTAAATACGACTAAGGGTAGATGTCGGAACCTGTCCTAGGACTGGGTTGTTTTCAAGTCTCGTAGCGAGGCAACCAGGTATTTTGAAAAAATCCGGGTTTTAGGAGTTTCCAGGTTTTCGAGGTTCTAACCCGGAAACCCAGGGAGCTCCTGAAGCTCCTTAATTTTTTATAGCTTATTTTCTATAAACTACCTTTTTATCAAATTTATCCCTTCACCTCCCCCACTTGAACGGCATTTTTTCTTTTCCTCAAAATGCCGAGAAGCATCCCCTACCGACCAAGTGCCGAAGGCTACCTTTAAAAAAATTTTTTTAATTTTTTTAAATTAAAAACTAACAGATCTATAAGCAGTTCCACAATATAAATTAGCTGTCATTAAAATTTTTAAATTTTGGAGAAAAATAAATACAAAAATTAAAGCTCTAGAAAAGTTAGAAAAATAAAATAAACAAAATAAAAACGGAAAAGGAGTGGTCATTAGCTAACAAATAAAAATAAAAATATTTATTTTACTAAAGGATTAAGAAAATTATAGTATTTAAAGGTATAGAAAAATTTTTAAAATTTATTTTAAAAATTTTTAGTCAAAAAATTAATTTATAATAAATATGGCAGTTGTTATACCGTAGTTATCCTTTAATAACTACCCTGGGTAATTATTGTTTAAAACTTCCGCTGGAGGGAGTAATTAATCGAGGGGGGGGGTAATTATTTGAGGGAGGGCAATTAATACAGGTTATACGGTATAAATTTTTATGAATTAAAAAATAAAATATGTTGCAGAAATATTTTTAAAATAATTTATTTAAAAATATTTTCAAAAAATCTTTTTTTATTTTTCTCGTCCTAATTTGACAATATGCGCATTTCGATGATCTTTTTCAGCTTAAGTTTAATGATGTGTAAAATTGAGGGAAATGTTTGTTATACCCATTAAATCCACTGAATTATTTTTAAGGGTGCATCAGTACATTTACAAAATACACTAAGAGTCCTTGATTGCCTTCCTATTTAGGGGGTTACACCTTTTGAAGGGTCGTACATGGACTATATTAAGGATAAGACTCGTCCAACTGCCCTCAGACATCGAACTAAAGTCTTCCGTTAACAGGTAAACAATTAATCTAGTAGGCTCTTGACCCTCGGATTTTAAATACTCTCGGGGGTTTGCTCTTGAAGACGAGGAAATCGAACTCTTAAAAACGAGGAGTATCCAAAATTGAGAGCAGTGTAGCTCTTTACAAAGCACTAAAATAGGAAACAGACCCTTAAAAATAGTGGGAAAAATAAGACAAAAAATAGGGAGAATCCTCTATAAATATAAGGATCACCCTGGTAAGGATCAGTGGTAGGTCAGAAAGTCAGAGGTGTCGGAAATCGGAAGAGCCGAAAATCGGAACTGGCTCAAAGGTCGGAAATCGGAATTCCGAACCACCTCTGGTAAGGATCACTGGTAAGGATCACCCTGTGTGAGAGGGTATTTAAAAATTGAGGTATTTGACTCTCTAATGTGAGTATAAAGTAAAAGATGTTGGTAAGTATATAAGAAAGTTGAAAAACAACAAAAACATATGTAAAGAAAATTGATCTGCAAAATACAGAACAAATAAGCTGCAAAGCTAAAAGAGACAAGTTAGTAACAATTGGCTCTAATCCAAGAGAAAAATAAATAAAAATGATGGAAACAAATTTATTTTTGTTTTGTTTTTGTTTTTAAGCTTTTAAAAGAAAATGTGTGTCTTTAACATAAAATCCTCCAAAAAAAAAATTTTTCCTGTCCTCAAAATGCTTTTTCCCTTTTGTCGCACGCAAAAAAAAGACGGCTTTTCTGACGTTTTCTCTGTCCTTTTTTCTCTGCGTGAAATTGGATCCGGTAGGTTTCCGGAAAAGTAAAAGTAGTTAAATGGATTATTGCTTTTATAGGAGAAAAATGTGTAGGGGGAGAAAAATGTGTGGGGAAAATTATGGGAAGAAATTTTGATGGATTGGAAAACTAGTAGTCATTTTTCACTTGTTCAACCTTCTTCAAGTAAATCGCGCGAATAGCGATCCGTGTAAACAAATTATTTTTTTGTTTGTTTTTTACTTTCTAGTTAACCTTAAAGTGTAGTAATTGTGTGTAAATATGTATATATATTATAGGAGGTATGTTCCCCCCTACCTTTTTGCGGTTATTGGGGGTAATAAATATGTATGTAAATAAATATTTATAAGAGTAGGAAAAGCAGGATATTTATGTAGTAGTTGAAGGAAAAAAGTTTTTTGAGTGAAGAAAAAATATTTTTTGGGAAAAATTATGTTGGCCACTAGTGAAAACTAATTTATGATACACCTCATAAGGAGCCTTAAGGGTGACTGGGGCTATCTCACATCACAATGTTGCTTCTTCAACTATTTAAGTCAAATTTATTTTCCCAACGATTTTGAGGAAAAAATATTTTTTTAATTAAATATAGTGAAGGTTTGATTTTTTAAAGTAAATGAAGGCTAATTTAAATTGATGGAGTGCTGTTTAGTCCCCCCCCCCCTAAATTTCCATTCATTTAAAAAGAATTTTTTGAAGGTCGCCACTTTACAATTTTTTGTTCATGCACTTTTACATGCCTTCTTCCTAAATCCTTTACAATATAAAAAAATTTAATTTTAAAGAGTGCCTTTTTTAATTAAATTCCAAAACAATGCATAGACTTTCTTTAAGAATATTTATTAAGAAAAATATTTCTAAAAAAATTTTTTCAAAAAAATTCCAATCCCGACAATCTTCTCACAGAAAGACTATTCACCGACAAGTAAAGGAAAATTCCAGACTATTCACCGACAAGAAAGGAAAATTCCAGACTATTCACCGACAAGTAAAGGAAGATGATTTTTGCTTTAGCACTCATAATTTGATAATATTTTATTCATTTTATTTAAAATAAATTTATATAAATTAAAAATGCTTTAGATATTTTATAAAATGCGGATTTGAGAATTAAATGGGTGTAAGAAGGTTTAAAGCATCATGATCATTATTAACAATTTCATCTCTTTTTGCCTTTCCTTCTACCTTTTCATCTGGTATATTAATTCCAACAAGAAATTGATAAATCCAAGTACCAAGCAATGCTCCAATGAGTGGGGCGATTATTGGAATCCAAAAATAATAATTACGCCAACTAAATATTCGAGAGTAATTAATGGGTCTACCGACAAACTTTTCACGGAAAGACTATTCACCGACAAAGGAAAATAGGGGAAAATGTGTCGGTAAACAAGGTGTCGGTGAATTGTCTTTCGGTGAATTTTTTGTAAAAATTAATTAAAAAATGAATTTTACGAAAAGGCTTCTAATCCGTAACCACCAAAAAGCATAAATAGGCGAGGACCAAAATCTCTTGCTGGGTTAATTGGAGTACCCAAATTCTTTAAAAATTATTTTTTTTTAATTTTTTTTTATTTATTCGAACCATTCCAAACGAGGACGTCAACAGAAAAACAGTTAAACCAAAACATAGGGGATGTAAATATCCTGGGATCTTGTTACGTTGATCAATAATAGCACAAACAAAGAGCAGTAAAAGGCCTGTTCCGACAACTTGGTCAATAAATGCTGAAAAATTTTTTGGAGTACTTTACTAATAAACCCCATTATAAGAGACCCTCTAGAGCTGAAAAATCGTCTCTTATAATGGGGGTGTATCTTTAATAGAGGGTATCTCTTAAACAGCTCCCCCACCCAACAGCCAACCAAATTTTAAAATCAGCGTCTCTTAAATAGAGGTGTATTTAATATTGGGGGTATCTTATAAAGAGGTTTTGACTGTATCTTAAATAGAGGTACCAGTATATAACGAAATGTGTGGTTGGGGAAAAGAACAAAAAACAGCTCCGGTTCCATTTTTTCCATCAACAGAGCGAATTCCTCCATCAAATTTATCAAAAGAATCAACATAAATATGTAAACATAAAGCTGCTCCCAAAAAACCTCCAAAGGTTTGTGCCACCACGTAAAAAGGATAGTGAATAAAAGGGAGTTTTCCAAGTGAACAAATAGCTAGGGAAACTGCTGGATTTAGATGTCCACCTGTTTTTTAATTAAAAAATTTAATAAAAATTTTTTTTTTGAGAGTTTACCTGAAGTTTTGTAAGTAACGGTAACTGCAAGAAATATAGCAAAACCCCAAGCCAGACAAACCTTTGAAATGAAGATTTAAAAAATTTATAGTTGAGTACCTATATACGGACCTCACTTTTAGATACCCATTAAAGTTGGAAAAACGTAGCTTATAATGAGGTGTGTGTTAAATGGAGGTATTGGTTAGACGCCCCCCCCCCCACCATCCAATGGCTAATCTAAAAACGTAGCTTATACTGAGGCTTTGTAAAGGGGTATCTTATGTTGAGGTCTATTCAAGGGGGTATCTTATACTGAGGTCTATTCAAGGGAGTATTTTATAGAGAGGTCCGACTCTGTTTAAATTTAATACCTGTAAATGATTATTCAACTTAGCCTCAGAAAGTATAAATTGAGCAATACTACTACAACCAATTAAAACTAAAAGAAAAGTTCCAAGAAATTCAGAAAGAAGATTAACAAGTAGACGATCACGTATTCGAAAAGAAGAATGGCGTAAACTTTCTACTGGCGACATACCAGCAGGAAAGGACAATTGATTCTGAAAAATTTCAAAATATTTAACAGGGAAATTTTATTTAAGTACACCCTTGGAGCTGAAAGTTTTTCTTTTATAATGAGATGTATCCTAAATGAGGGGACCACATTAAGTCTTAAAAGCCGTATCTTATAATGAGGTGTCACTTAAATAGAGAGTATCAATTGGGCAACCTCTCATTTCCAGGTGGTCAACAAATAAAAAAACGTCTACTAAACAGAGGTGCCTTCAGTGATGGGTTATCTTATACTGAAAGTATATTAAATAGAGGGGTATCACTTAGCAGCTCCTCAACCTAGTTGACCGACCAACCTTTTAAAAAGGTATCTTAAATATGTATTGTTTTAGGGGTAACTTATAATGTGAGGTTTGGTTGTAGGCTGGAAATAAAATAAAGGGGTATTGAAATGCACTTAAATTACACATATTTAAATATTTTATTTCTTTCTCCTCCCCATTTCATCACTGCCTATAATAATAAGGATTTTAAATGTTCTTTGTGTTGAGTACTTTGAGTGCTTGGCCATTATACTCACTCTGAAAAATTTTTCAGCCTTGTTTGACTCAAAAAAGGATAAAGAAACATGTTTAGCAATTAAAAAAGTTTTTAAATTGATTTTTAAAGTGGCAAAGAATGAGAAAAATATTTAACTAAAAAAAATAAATACCAACTCTTCGATTATTTCTCCAAGGTAAATTGCTAATCGGATGATCATCGTCTTCCATTGTAACAAAGAAAAATTAATTTAAGGAAAATTCTCTTTTTTTATTTTTTATTTAGAAGAAAATCTAGATTTTAATTGGGAGTATTTTTTATTTTTTTTTAATTTAAAAGAAACAAAGTCAGATAATTTGCGGTTGGTAATAATTTGAAGGCTGAAAGGTGCATGTTATTTATTGATTTTTTCGTTGCTTTCTACGAGACTTTTTAGTCGAGAAATTTACTCTGCATAATATCAACTTATTTATTTAAAAATAAAAATTTTTTTATTAATTCTATAATGAATATTTTTATTTTTAAAGTTCTTTAGTTTTCAAGTTTGTAAATTTTTAAGTTTTCAAGTTTTATGTTAAGTTTTTAAGTTTCGAAGTTTTTAAGATTTAATCTTAAGTTTTTAAGTTTGAGCTTTAAAGTTTATGTTTCCAAGTTTTGAAGTTTTTAAGTCTTTAATTTAAGTTTTCAAGTTTTTAAGGTTAAGTTTATGCTCAAGTTTTAAGTCTGTAAGTTATCAAGTTTGTAAGTTTTTAAGTCTAACCTTAAGTTTCTAAGTTTCCAAGTTTTAGGTTTGTTTCTAAGTTTTTAAGTTTGAGCTTAAAGTTTTATGTTCACCAAGTTTTAAGTTTTTAAGTTTAGGGGTTTAACTTAAGTTTGTAAAGTTTGTAAACGCTAAATATTTAATATTCATATTTGTTAATTAAATTCTAATATTCCTCGATAATTAAAAAACAATTACAAATTTTATCAATTTCTCATTTAATAAGTTTACAAATTAAAAAAATTTTTAAAATTTTATTTTGGAGTTTTCTTTCTTTAAGATTCATAAATAAATTTTTGTTCTGGAAACAAAGCCATTTTTAATGCCTAAAGAATAATGAAAATAAATTAATTTTTATTAAAAAAAATTTTTTTACTTCATTTCTTTGCCAAAAATTTCTAAGTTTATTTAGTCGTTGAAAATTAAAAGCTCTAGATTTTCTTTCAAATAAATCATTTTTTGGTTGCGATTTAATAAAAAATAAAGGTGTTGCTTTTACGTCAGTGTCTCTGATGCTTCGATAAAGGGGCAATTCCTTTTAAATTTATTTTAAAAAGGATTTAAAAAATAAAAATACTTGAAGAACAAATCCTTCCGTTAAAAGAGATGATTCCATAATAATTAATATAGAAAAAATAGTTATAAATAAAATAGGGAGTTTTGAATGTTGTTGTGAAATATGAGAAGGAAAGAGAAATTTTGAAGCAATTTTAATCATTATTTTTTAAATTAAGTAAAATAAATCAGATGGGTTATATTATAACTCTGAAATATTAATATAAAAATCAGAATTTATGTTTGTAAAATAAATCAGAAAAAATAACTCAGAAGTGTTATATTTTAAATCAGAATGTTTATAGCTGTAAAAATAACTCAGAATTTATATGGTAAAATAACTCAGAAATATTAGAAAACAGAATTTATATTATAAAAATAAATCCGAATTAAAATAACTCAGAATTTATATTTTCAGTCAGAAATATTAAAATCAGAATTTATATTATAAAAATAAATCAGAAATGAAATAACTCAGAAAAATAATAAATCTATTCTGATTTATTAAATTATAGTATAACTCAGAAATAAATCAGAAATTTATATTCTGATTTTCAGAACTATTATTATTAAAATATCTCACAAATCAGAAATGTTAATATTAATTTTCTGAGTATAAAGCAACAATCTCTCAAGGGAAAAAATAAATAAAAATAAATATTTAAGCACAAATGAAAAATATAATCATTAAAACTAAAAAACTAACGTCAATTGCAGGTATTGGTTGCTATCCCGGAAGGACATTTAATAATAGCGGAAATTTATAAATTGAGAGAACAATGCTTACTCTATAATTATTTTTTAAAATTAATTTTATCTGTATTTAAAAGTAAAATATCCCATTTCTCGCAAATGATGCCAATTTTGTAATTTTTTTTATATTCTACATAATTATTAAATAAATCAGAATTATTAAACAGATTATTAAAAATGAGCCAGGAAATTAATTATTAAAAATGCTTAATAAATTCTTCTGACAGAAAAAAGAATAAAAATTCTGATATCAGAAATTAATTATTCTGATTTTTAATTTTTTCTGATTTTATATTTTTTAACTGATATTAATAAAATAATCTTAAGAATTAAAGTTCAAAAAATATTATTTTTTTTGTCAATTGTTCTTAAATTTAGGCCACCCACATGGATATACTTTAATTTCACCTTTCACCTTTTTACGAAGGGAAATTCTATGAGAATTCCTTTTTTAGATTTTACTACGTAAATTCTCAAATTTTAGTTTTCTATATTTATCTTTCCATTGTTTATCTTCTCACCAACGACCACAGGTAAACAAAAAAAAAATAAAAAATTATTTTTAGAGGAGCAATCCTGTGATCCAGATATCGAAAAAGTCGAAAAATTCGAAATCCAAAATTCGATTTTTGGGTTGGGACTCAAGTGTCCCTTTTATTTTTAATTTTTTTGGTAAAATGTTTTTGGCGTTATGTTTTTGGGCGGGCTTCTTTCTTATAATTTTGGCGCCTTTATTGACTGCAACAAAAATCAATTTTTGTAGTCTATTTATGACTCATTTTCCTCAAACTTTGGTCATTTTCTAATTTTTTCTTCTTTTTTTTATACAGAAATTTACATATCTCTCTACTTTATTTACCTGTAATTTTATTTAATCTTTCTATTAAAAATAACAACATAAATGAAAGGAACTCCTGATCGTGGGGAAGGTGGGTTTATTACCCCTTCGAGATGTTCGCCTACTGGGAAATTTATGTTTGATAAACCGCTCTCTACTAAACGTGAAAAGGTTTTTTTCTGTTAAAATTGATAAAATGATTATTTTTTAAAGCTTCTCCGTGGCACTCCATCTCGCTACAAAGTTCCACAAGCTCCGCGGCTCATGAAATCGGCACCTAATGTACAACGCTATAGTCTGATACGGGCACATATTGAACCGTTTGCAAGGATTGTTTCTTTCAAAAGTCCTTCAGAACGTAAAAACGAGTTTTCTATTTGACTTAAAATTAAAACTTTCAGGACCTCGACTGAGTCCTTTCTACCATCCTGATACTCCAGAGACGTATCTTGAGCAAAGATTTATTATGCACGGCCGTTTGGGTCGTGGCGACTTTGGCGAGGTTAATTTTTATATTTTGATTAGATTATAAGGGGAAATTTGGGGACTTTAGGGCCCTTTTTTCATTTCTTCCTCTCTTTCTCTTAGTTTGCCTTTGGAAAATCAATCGAAGGGGAAATTTTTGTACTTCTCCCATGAGGATACTAGTTCTTCGGTTTATGACACTCATTCTCTGTGTGTGTGTGTTTGGGTCTGAGTTTCTGTGAGTCATTCCAAGCTTTCGAGTCTTCGCGGTTCTTAGAGATCAAAATTTCATTGGTTTCTGCCCAAAATCAGACTTTTTGATTGATTTAATGGCCAAAGGTAAATCAAAGGAAAATTAAACTAGAGGGTTAGAGACGTCTGAGACTCTTGGTCTTGAGTCTTGATTCCGAGACTTTTCTTCGGTTTTTTCGATCTTGGGGTCTAATATTGGTCTTGAGTCTTGGAAAATCGGACGTCTCTACTAGAGGGTTCTCGGTAATATTCAATTTCGTTCCCCCCCTTTTTTTTCCTTCCTCAAAGTATTACAAAATGGTCAGTCAATCTTAAGTTATAGAGCTCGTCGAGCTGTGTCGAATGACACCAAAATCGAAAAAATCGGACCTGATTTGACCGAAATACAGACCCCTGAAAATTGAACAACCATAGGGGCGAAAAGCCATAAGGACGTAAATTTTTACAAATAATAGCTCATTCGAAAGAGCTCGTCGAGTTGAGTCGAATGACACCGAAATCAACGTGATTGGACAAGATTTTACAAAATTATGACATAAGTCACCGACTCCGTTAGGTCTAATTCAGGTCATAACTTTGTCAAACCATGTCTAACCGCGTTGATTTATATGTTCTTCGACTCAACTCGAAGAGCTCTTTCGAATGTGCTGTCATTTGGATAAAATTTTTTTAGTCCAAAAAATTGCCCCTATGGTTGTTCAATTTTCAGGGGTCTGTATCTCGGTCAAATCAGGTCCGATTTTTTCGATTTTGGTGTCATTCGACACAGCTCGACGAGTTCTATAACTTAAGATTGACTGACCATTTTGTAATACTTTGAGGAAGGAAAAAAGGAGGGGGGAACGAAATTGAATATTACCGGGTTCTCTAAAGCTTAAAATTACAAATTTTTTTCAAAAAAAGGTTGTTAGCGTTCGTTCAAAAGATGATGGAAAAGCGTATGCAATTAAATGCGCGATAGAAGTTTATAGAAATATTGCTGATAGACGTGAAAAACTTCAAGAAGTTCTTAAACATGAAATGTTGCCTCCACATCCAAATTTGGTTCATTTCTTCAAAGCATGGGAAGAGAAGGGACGTTTGTATATTCAAACAGAATTGTGTGCTAGAAGTTTGGATGATGTCGCTAGAGAGAGACATGAGATTGGTGAACCAGAAATTTGGTATTATCTCATTGATATTCTTATGGTTTGATTTTTAAATTATTTTTTTGGGTATTTTGTGGGTTTTGCGGACTCATTTTTTGCAGACTTTTGTTGCGGACATTTACTGAAATAGGGGCTATCACCCTAATGTTGACCTATAAGGAGTTGATTTTCTGGAGTGGACCCATTTTACGATTTTGAACTTTATTTTTCAATACTTCCCCTTAGCAATTCCTTCATTGGCATCTCCTGCCCGGTCAATTTTCTCCCCTATAATAACGGCAAAATAGCTCTCTTTAAATTGCAATCCTCAAAAAATTTAAGCGGTGACAGAAAAAAAGATAGGGAGAGTGCACGGTCCTCGGGCAACTAGTTATTAAAATGCTCTCATAAAACTCGTTCAAATGCCCTTTTCACATTTATTTTTTGTAGGCATTGGAGCATATGCATTCTCATGACCTTATTCATGTTGATATTAAGCCTTCTAATATTTTTATAACGTCTGACGGTATTTGCAAATTGGGTGATTTTGGATTGGTTTTTGATCTTAACAAGGTATTTTTTTAGTTTGAAAAAAGTCCGCAAATTTTTTGCGGACAAAAAGTTGCTGACAAGTAAAAATACTTTTTAAAGGACGATCCAAAAAATGTAATGGAAGGAGATGGAAAATATTTGGCAGCTGAAGTTCTTAATGATAAACCGACTAAGGCAGCCGATATTTTTAGTCTTGGAATGACTATTCTTGAATTGGCGACCGATTTGGATTTGCCGAATAATGGAGTTTTTTGGCATGAAATTCGTAATAGAATGATTGACGAGAAATATATTAAAGGTTCTTTTTGACGAATTTAGAGAGTGTGTACTAGGGGTCGATCCCCGTTCCCCGAGACAGGGAATTCACCGGGGACCCCCAGAGCCCCCGTTCACAGTCCTCGCGGCTCGAATTCCCCATAACCCCCGTCCCCGTAAATTCAGCCCCCGCTTCGTAATATCGAAATCTAGTAGGTAACAGTGCGTTTCCAGAGGGTATCCATTTTTGACTTTGGACCCCAAGAAAAACTTGCGGACAATTACAAGAAAAGTCCGCATTGTTCTCATTCTTCCCTTTACAAATGTCTAAATTAGGAATTTATGAATAAATTTTATTTTAGTTTTATCAACTGATCTTCGTCGTGTTATTGCATGGATGATCGACCCATGTCCATTGAATAGACCGAAAGCCATTGAGGTTCTCAAAGATTCGTTTGTTTCAAGATATCGAAGCAGACGTCAAATCAAACTTCTCAAACATCGCGCCGTTAGTTTTTTTTAATTTATATTTGTTTTTGGGGTTGTCGGTTTCAACAATTTCTCTCCTTCTTCTGACTTTAAACCAAATTGAAAATTCTTAAATTTTTGGGGTTGAGTTTGTGAGACCGACAACTAGATATATATATTCCGTTTTGGTAATGAGTGTAGTTCATAATTTGGACCTTTCTTCAATAATGATTTGAAACCGACAATCCCCCTTTCTTTCACATGTTTGTATGTGTCGGTGGAAAATAGAAAAGTTTTTCCTAAGAAAAAACATTAAAAAATACATTCTTAGTTTCCCTATCTTGTTGTTGGTTTTCTAATACTTATCGGTTTTATCCACATATTATAACGGGCAGGGCTTTTAATTGGGTATGGGACAAGCCTAGAAAAAAACTTCAAAGTTTATTGGAAATGAATCAATCAAGCTAACAATAATTGACTTATGTGCCCCCTAAAAATGTATGCGCGTCCTAAAGTGGCTACGAAATTCGATTTCCAACTTTGGAGAATTTTTCTGAATCAATGCCCCTTTTCCACCGTCACATATTTTCTTTTTAATATAGATGTGTAAATTAACTGATCTTATGTTCTTCACGTATTTTGCCATAACTTCATTTTTTTATCAAATTTTTTATCCAATAATTTGGGTAATTAATTTTTGTTCTGAGCGCTTCACTAATCCAAAAATAAGTACTCCATTCTTGGAAGGTCGAATTATGAACAACAGCTCTTTGCTACATAACCGAAACAGAGTATATTTTAAGAAGGAATATTTCAAATTAATTTTTATTATTTTTTTAAAGGAGCGTACACCTGAATTTAACCTTGCTTCGCCTCCATTTACTAGTAATTCTCCGGTTCCTACTACTCCATCATTTCGACAACATTTGGATTTTGATGATAAGACTTATAGTGAAAATGGTATGAAAGGTTTATCTTTTCTAATTAGGGGCAGACCTTATTATGAGATACCCCCAATATTAGATCAACCTTTATTTAAGAGACGTTGACTTAAAATTTGGTTGGCTATTGGGTGGGCTGACTGCCTAAATGATATCCTCTATTTAGATACCTATAATTATTAAGACATTAATTCAAATGGTGTATCTTATAGCGAGGTGATACCTCCATTTAAAGTATACTCATTATTAGGTATACCCTCTATTTAGGATACCTATCATTATTAGATACTAATTCCGGTGGTGTAGCTTATATCGGAGTGATACCCTCCGCTTAAAGTACACCTCCTTAAAAGATATACCCATCGATTAGGTATACCTCCTATGTAAGAGACCTCATTATAAGAGACTTTCTTTAGCCAATTGTTTTTTCCGATGGTGTGTCTTATATCGGGTTGGTGCCCTCCACTTAAAGTACACCTCCTTAAAATATATACCCATCGATTAGTATAAGAGGCTTTCTTTTAACCCCACTGATTATTTCGTATTTTTAGAAACTGGTATGTCACCACCAGCTGATGGTCGAATGAACGTTTCATTGCCTTCTCGAAGCACCGTTTCACCTTCACCTTTGGCACGTTTTACTGGAAGTGGCAATACTCCACCAAGTTCTCGTTCTAGGAAGAGAGGGCCGCGAGCTGGAGATGAGCTTTTTGGAATTGAGAGACGTTTTTTGAGAACAAGTAAAGACAGTGAAGAGAAGGGGGGTAACAATGAAGGTTTTGGTGAAAAGAAGGGAGGAGGAGTTGGGAGTGATTAAATTACCAAAAAATTAAATTAAAAATTAAATTATTGACACAAATTTATTTTCTTTTTTTTAATTTTCTGCTTTTATATAAATATTTTGTGGGTAAAATGAACCTTATTTTTATCTATTTTTAGTGTTGTATGAAAGTTCTTCCAGTTATTGTTTTCTTTTCTCCTTTAGTTTCGGGTCTTGCACGGTTTAAGACTTTGAGAAAATCGTTTGTTTTGGCTCGCATTCGTGAATGTAGATATGCCTAGAAAATTGAATTGGAAATGATTATTGGATCAATCTAGAGGCTCTGGAATTGTACGATCCCCGTAGGAATGTTATGCGCCCCAGAATCCCAAAAAATTTTTAAGGAGGTTTAAGCGGTCAGTAAAACCCGAGAACACAAATAAACATTACTGGACGTTCCCTGGAGTAGAAAGACTGGTTTAGTAAAACGGTGTTCTCAAAACTTCGGATTAGGGTCCGTGACGAAAACAAATTCGAATTTCGGATTTTAAGGAACACGGCCTATATCCCTGTTTCCCGTGTCCTAAACCAAAGCCAAAAAAACTTTAAAATTTAAAATAAAAACCTTTGAACATTTAATATGATAATGAAGATAATCCCGAAAAGTATAAATTAGATTAATTGTATCATCTCTAGCCTTTTTGTTTGTATGTCGTGGAAAGAGGACTTGAAAAAGAAAAATAAAAATTTAGAAAAAAAAAATTAAAAAAAAACCAAAAGTAATATATCCAACATTTGGACCAATTTTAGCCTCTGAACAATTTTTTAGTTCAAGTGGAGGTTCTCCAACAGAATAAATTATTTGAGGTGCTGTTTGGCTAGCTTTTCTTCCTTCACGAAATTCCTTTTTTAAAAATAGAGATTTAAAATTTTTTGCGGTTTGCGGACAATTTTTACGGATTTTCACTTTTTTCCATTGTTTTGGAAATTAAGGTCTGAATGGACGGGGTGGGAGTTGAGAAAAATGTAGGACCAAATTTCAATTCGGGTTTGAGACTGTAAAAGTTAAGGTCTTAAAATCGAAAAAAATATGAACGATAATTTGGAAAGTGACAGAAAAATCCGTAAAAATTGTAACCCTTCTGTATAGGTTCCTATTTAAATAAATTAGATAAAAAAGAAACCTGTAAAAATATTTTCCCAATAATAACATCATCTGGATCTTTAAATATTGTACTAAAAATAACAGTAACACGATCAGATTTTGCTTCAACAAACCTTTAAAAGGAGAATATTTTAGAAAAAGATAGGATGGAGGCGAGGCTTGGAAATCACCGGCTTTGAGGGTTTGGACTTGCATGAACGTGTGAAGAACTACCGGAACAGGCCAATGTACCCGAGCCCAATGTACCGCAGAGCTATAACTTCTTTCAAAGTGGCCGGATCCTGGACGCGTTAGTATGGTTCGAAAAAGGTAAAACAAGAAGTCAAAAAAGGCTTTTTTAAGGTTCAAAAAATGTTTGCCGGGTAAAGCCTTTGGTCTTCGGATAGAGGATTTTGCCAACTAATAGCGAAGTATTGGTCGCGAGGTAAATCGTGAGGAAAAGGGTGTACCCTTAGCTTAAATTTCCAAGTTTAAATTTTAAAAATAAATTTAAAAAAAACCAACTAACAAAGTTTCGTCTTCTCTAAAATGAACAACAGCTCTCCTCTCTCCTTCTTGCCCTTCCTCTTGAAATTTAAAATATTTCTCAAAAACAGAAGCAAAACAATTTCTCTTCAAAAAAGAAGCCTTTTTAACAATTTCCATAAAATCATCAGAAATATCAGCCAAATTAAATATTAGAGAAATATTATATCCAGATTCGGGTGCTTTTGACAAAAAATGTTCATATTCTCTTTTGATTAACTTTAAAAGAAAAAATTTTATTTTAAAATTTTTTGTGAATCATTTAACAATTGTAAAAATAAATGTACAATTCTTAAGGACTTTTCCGGCAAAAAAAGTTCAATGGGACGACCTGGTATGGTTCAATGCGCCTCGACGAGCTGAATCGAACCATACCAGACCATTTTTAACAAAGTTATAACTCTGCGGTAAGTTGGGGTGTACCTCTTTTCCGGCAAAAAACGAATAAAGCAAACAATAAGAGAAACATGGGGAAAAAGTCCGCAAAAACGCCCCAAAAGATTCCCACTAATCTCGACTACAGGTGAGAAATATTCCCAAATTAATTCAAATGTGATTTAAAATTTTTAAATTAAAAACCTCATCCGCTCCATGTTCTTGTAACTCTTTATAAAATTTCAAAGAAATGCTCAACTAAAAATATATATTTTAAATAAAGTTAAAAATAAAAAAAAATTAACCATTAATTTTAATCTATCCCCATCTGGATTGGATACTTTGTACATTACACCATCAAAATCAGCAAAAACAACGTTGACGGAATCAAACTTGCCACTTTAAAAAATTTTAATTTAGTTCGCAAAAAAAATTTGCAAAGTTAATAGTCAGAGCCCTATCAGAAAATAGCAAAATATTGGCTGGGACTTTACCATGAAAATTCTCCGATAAAATGGTGAAAACTGCCCAACCAGTTAACCAGGGATATCACAAGTAGGGTTGGGGTTTTCGAGTCGGGCCGACGTTCGAGTCATTCTTTTCGGGCCTCGTTCTGTCGGGCCAACTGAACGAGTCTTTTTCGAGCCAAAATTCAATGCCCGACTCTATCTTTCGGACCGGGCCATTTCGAGCCCCCAACCCTAATCACAAGTAAATAAAAAGTCGGGTATACTAGATCGTGGTTTTCGAAGGTTCACCGGATCCAGTATCAAACTGAAAATTAGTCGGGATTTCGAATAACCTTGACATCACTCCCTTTGATCCCACTAGGCCCTTATGCTATAAGGTATACCTAGGGAATTTCAAGTCTTATAGCGGAGGAATCTTGGTAAATTCTTGAACGGCATCCTTCTAACACTTTTAATATTTTTAAAATTAATTTAATTAAAAAATTCAAACTTTGTTTTTGCAGCAGAAAATTTTTGTTCCAACAATTCACAAATTATTCGATTATTTTGCTCTAATAAAATCATTATTTTTGCTGTAAAAATAAAATTATATTTAAATATTCTTTTATAAATATAAATCAATTGCTTAGCAACATATAAAAAATTAAAAATGATTCACACAATTTTTTATTTTCGCTTTATTAAACATGAATATTTTGCTGTTGATTTGTTCGATTTTATATTCCTTTTTAAAATTAATTTTATTCAAAATACATAAGAGCAACACTTGTGGACGGCGACATTTGCGGACATACATAGCGTTTTAAAAAACTGTGTCGCCAAATAGTACTACTTTAGGTATGTCCCATGATGCAGGATGTCCCATGATGCCCACTGCCGGTAGTTCCAAGTTTAAAAAAATTTTGTTTTGTCCGCAAATGTTTGTCCGCAAAAATTTTTTCTATCCGCAAATATTATCCGCATAATTTTTTGTCCGCAAATGTTTGTCCGCAAATATCGCCAATATAAACACATTTAATCAATTGGGCTAATATCAGTTGAAAGAGTATAATAATGAACACTTCTAGCTTGTACATTTTGAACACAACAGTTTACTCCAGTTGGACAATAAAAACACTTGGCAGTTTCTATAATTAATTTATTTTTTTCTTCCACCTTTTCTTTTAAAATTTTATTTTCTTCCAAATTTTCTTCTACAATTTTTTCTTCATTTTTTAGAGAATGTCTATTAAATATCCATTTATTCTCTTTAATTTAAAAAACCTTTTTTGGCTAAAAAATTAAAAGTCAAACCTCGTTATAAGATACACTCAATACCAGAAACCCTCTATTTAGGATACATCCCATTATAAGCCCCTCTATTTAAGCCAGCCCGTTATAAACCCACCAATATTGAATACCCTCTATTTAAGCCACAGCCCATTATAGGCGACACCCTCTATTTAAGGTACATCTCGTTATAAGAGACAATTTTCGAGGGCGTATCTTATAGGGAGGTTTGACTTTTCTACAAAAAATTTACCCTCAGGCGTAATAGGAGATAACAACGTTGGTTGATGTTTTAATGGTGGCCCTAGCGGGTCTGTTGGTGTTGTTTGGGGTATTGGAGTTGTCGGAACTTTTGGTTTTGTTGATAAAATTTTTTCTTAAATAAAAAAATGTATCAAAAAATAATTTAAAACAAAATTTACTGGGCGATTCTCCAGCTGCCAATTCTCCAGCACTTTCAATTGTACAATAATGGCCTTGATGATGACAACTTATATATTTTGCACTTTTACTTTTCTTCGTTAATCGATAGCCAACCTTAAAAATTTTTAATAGTATGATCACACTATAAGGTACCCATTAGAGGCAAAAAATATCATGCCTTATAATGAACTGTTTATTAAATAGAAGGTATCGCTTACAATTAGAAAGTTCCCCATAGTTAAGAAATCATCAATTTAGAGAGCGAACCTAATTAAAGGTTTACCTAATATTGGTGGTATTTTATAATGAGGTCAGAATATATAAAAAAATAAGTCTGAAAAATAAACCTTTTGTGTAAAATTAATTAAAGAAACTGATTTCTTAAATTGAACAGATTTTTTATTTTGATTTTTCTTCTGATCAGATATTTTAGTAGAACCTTCAAAACCCACTGAAATTTTACTTCTTAATTGTTTGCCAAAACTAAATTTAAAAATTTTTTAGGTATTATCAAAATTTGCGGATAAAAATTTTTTGCAGATTTATTTTGCGGATTTTTTCTCAGATATCAGAGTCCGCATGTGTCAATCCGCAAAAAGATTTTTGCGGATTGAATCCGCACATTTTTTGCGGATTCATGCTTGCGGGCAGAATTTTTTCGATTAAAATTTTTTAATTTAAAATTAAACCCATTGATCCAACTATCAAAAAGCTCTTTATCTTCCTCATCATCTTCACAGGCCATTTCCATTCTAACACAAAAATGATTAAAAAACGTCGCACAAAGTAAAGGATATTTAATTAAATTTTCCAAAATTATTTTTTGACGTAATAAAAGAATCCATCTTTTCAACAAATTTTGGAATAAAATAATTGAAGTAATTAATAAACTAAAAATTGAAATAATTGAAGGATTGTCTTGTTGGTGACAAAATAAATTTGTTAAGAAGCATTTTGGTAGGCGTAAACATATTGAGGTTGGTAGCCATAAAAGCAATAATACGCCAAAAAATAGAAAATTCTGAAAATAAATTTTAAAATAGTTAAAGTCAAGCTATAAGATAACACTTTTGCAAAAGACGCCGAAACACCAAAGTGAAGGAATGACACCAAATACCCAAAAAATGACGTTAAAAAACATTAGGCATTTCACCATTTAAGGACTAAAAATGGTCTCTTATAATGAAGGGTATTTTAAATAGAGTGAAGAGTTATTGATAGAAAATCTCTCGACGACCAACTGATTGGGCGAAGTGTACAAACTAAAGAAAATCGTATTCGAAAGTGAGAGGTTCTTATGATGAGGTGTTCATTAAATAAAGGTGTATCTTAAATTAAGGGCTTCGCTTGAGGGCTCCCCTTCCAGAGGCAACCAAGCGACACTGAGACTTGGGAGGTCCCCCTCTCAAGTTGTAAAATGTTGGAAAACGTCTCTTAAATAGAGGTACCAGGTGCATTTTAAAATGAGGCTTACTTTAGTTAAAAATTAAAAAAAACCGTTAAGAAAAGAATAGCCTTTAATCCAGTCAATGTTGTTGCCCATCTTCTAAATTCCAAAATAATGCTTCCAATTAAAATAACCAAAAAAATAGTAAAAAGAAAATTAAAATTAAAAGAAAATAATAAAAAATAAATTAAAATAAAAATTATCAAAATTAACTGAAAAATATTTAAAAACATCTATTTTTAATTTTTTAAATATTTATACGCGTATTTATAAATTTGTCTCTCCATGGAAACATGCAAAAAAACGAAAACAAATATTTATAGAAAAAATACAAGTCGAAAAAAAAATAAATTAATTTGTAAGGGTTGGGTCGTTTTGGCGCGGCCCGCAAGGACGCCGCCTTCAATTTTCCCCTATTAATTTAATTTTCCACTCTCGCCCAAAATAGTCCGCGCCGAAATGTCCCTCACATTTATAAGAGATTTAAGGAATAAATTAAACTTTTCAAAAAATAGATATTGCTCTGAAAAAAAAATAAGTAAAAGATCAAATTTCAAGAAAGAACGATCATTTGCGGACAAATAAATTATAGTAGTAATTGTTTTGAATGTCGAAAAAATTTTCAAAAAAAAACTTGAGATATTTATCAATTCTAAACCTTCCATAAGCTTAACATTATTCTTGATTTTCTTGCTGCTGCTGCTCCTCATTAAAGATGCCGGCAATTCTTTTAAGCGTAAACACCTCAAACATATCCCCTAAAATTAAAAAAAAATTATTTTTTTAGAGGGGCCAAAATTTGCGGACTTATGTTAGATTTGCCCAACCCCCGAGTCCGCAAAATTTCTGGTCCACAGCGGTGATAGGCCGGGTTACCCGAACACGATAACAGGACTCTTTTTGACCTAACACTCGAAATTTCTTTCGATCCGGAAGCAGAAATCCGACCCATTTCCTCTCCCCAAATTTCACGATTCCTCTAAAAATCCCTTTACACCTAATTTTCCTAAATATAAATAAAAAAATTAAATTTCACAAACTTTTAAGTTCTTGAATCGGCTGGGGAGTGAAGAAAAAGAACTGCACCTCCTTGCTATCCTTCGCCATGTCAGCCAACATTTCCATGATGTAACGCCTATTGACCCTAAAAATTAATTTAAAAATTATTTTTAGTTTTTAAAAATTTACATATCCATAAAAACATCAAATTCATCCATACAACGAAAAGGCGATTCCATACATTTCCATAATGACATGATAAAGCAAGCTGTCGTGTAGGAACGCTCCCCTCCTGAGAGCCCTTAAGAAAAGAATATTTGAAACTAAAAAAGATTAATTTTGTCCGCAAGATAAATAAACAAAAAATCCGCAAAAAATTTTCAAAAATCCGCAAATAATGTCCGCAAGAAAAATCCGCAAAAAATTTTGTCCGCAAAAAATTTCCGAAAATTCGCAAAACCATTTCCATACAATTTCCCAATATTTATTAAAAAAACCTTTCAAGTCCTGCAAAACTTTTTTCTGCATACGCGAATCCCTTTCATCCAAGCTTTGTTCAGCAAAAGATTCTTCCATTGCCTTGTGTGTCACAACCTTTAAATTAAAAATTTTTTAAATTTTCAACAATTTTTGTACTTTAATCATTATAGTCCCATCATCATCTCGAACATCTAAACTTGCTTTATATCCACGATAATTCATATGATCTCTAAACCAACATTCCAATTTTCCAGGCAAACTAGTTCTGATTAAATCGAAGCGTCTCTTACGGGCAGTGATCATACTTTCTAGCATCTAAAGAATTGAGAAATTAAATAACAATCGGACCTCAATATAAGAAATTGTCCCTTATAATGAGTATATGCCAAATAGGGGGCATCTTAATATGGGTGTATCTCAAATAGAGGATAACTTACAACGGATGTGTTCTAGATAGAATCTTATATCGGTTGTTCTTTAAATAGAGAGTATCATAAAATGTGTATCCTAAATAAGGTGGCTTATAATGAGGTATTCTTAACTAGAGGCCCATGCCGTTCTCCCACCCAATGGCCCAACCCAGCATTAAAATCCGTATCTTAAATAGAGGTGTATCTATTAGTATTGAAGGGAGTGAGGTAGAGTGAGTTCCCATCATAATTTAATTTTAAAAAATCAAACGTTATATCGGCGCGTCCAGACTTTGAGTTTTGCCTTGAATTCTATATAAATATTTTTATAATTTATTAAATCAGCTTCTGTTGGTACAGGCTCTTTACTACAAAAATAAAATTTTTAATTTGATTGAAAAAATTAAAAAAAACTTTTTTTCAGCATTTCTAATTTCATTTTGAATAGCTTCAATGTCTCTATTCAATTGAACCGTTTCAGGAATTGTATCAAAGTCTGGCACTCCATCACCAATTTCAGCATGGTTTTCCAATAGATAGTCACGGTTCTTTTCAGCCTCTTCTCGTTTCTTTTCACAAGATTTACTTAAAAAGAAAATTTGAAATCAGTCAAACACCACATTATAAGATGCACCCAACACCACTACTTAAGTGACGTTTTAAAAAAATTTGGTTAAACACAGGCAAGGGAAACTACCTAAGGAATACTTTATGTTCGTAGCGCGGCGTAATGATAAAAAGCCAAAAAAGCAATCCGAAATGCCAAAGTACGGGAAAAGAAGTAGAAGAGCCGAAATCCAAAAGGCGTTAAAATGGCAAACTACATTTGGCATTACGGTGTTAAATCATTACGGCATCATATCCCTCTATTTAACAAACACATTATTTAAGATACAAAATTTTTCAACCCTCAAGGATCCTAAAAGTATCTAAAACAAGGTCCCCACTATAAAAATAAAAAGATTTCAAACGTTTTGTCTTCAATCTGCTTTCTATATTTCACAATCAAATCATTTGCCCGTTTAGTTAATCCTTCACAGTCCTCCAATTTTTCACGATTTTTTTCTATTTGTATCTGACAACTTTTTATATCATTCTAGAAATTTAAAAATATTTAAAAAAAATTATTTCAATTAAAAAAAACCTCAATTTGTTTATAATCATTTTTTAAATGATCAGCCCTTTTTGTAGATGCTTCAATTTTATTTTCAGCTTCATTCATTTTTTCAGTCTTTTCTGCAAGTGATTGTTCCAATTCAGTTAATTTAACTTGCAAAGCATTTCTCTCATCTTCACTTTCACGAATTGAGCTTCGCTAAAATTGGAAAAAAATATTTTTTTATGACTAGAATCAGTCAGAACTCATTAAAAAGATAGGCCCTTTGGAAAACGAATCTTAAATTGGAGGCAAAACCTTGGGCAGCTCCTCCAGGCGACTTATAAGATACGCCCCTCGGTTGAATAAATCGTATCTTATAATGAGGTGTACCTTAAATAGGGTGTATATCCTGGGCAGCCCCGAGTAGTTAAACAAAGCTAAAAAAACGTCTCTTACAAATAGAGGTTAGAAAAGCGTACTCTAAACTGAGGTTATCTAGTAACGGGTTATCTGATAATGAGGCGTGTTTTATAATGATTTTGTATCCTAAATAGAGGGCTCCCTCATCCAGTGACCAACCAAATTTAAAAAACGTCTCTTAACTAGAGGTGTATCCAATATTGGGTACATCTTATACCAACTTTAAATTTAAAAAATAAATAAAAATACCAAGTTAGTAATTTTATCTTCACTTAACCCCTCATCTTCCAATTTACTCAATTCCTCTTCAATTTCATATTTTCTTTCATTTAATCCATTTAAACGAGCTTCAGTTTGAGTCTTCTTTTGTCTCAAATTATTAAGTTTAAATTCCAATGTTTGGAAAGAACGCTTCGATTTTTCAACTTTTTCACTTTGTTGTCTCAAATGTTCTGTTGATTGTTCCAATTGTTCATTAAAATCATTCAAATTTGAAGCCATAAAATGATTGTCCAAAACACGAGCTTGAAAATTTGAATGGTCACGGAAGAATTGATAAGGTCGAGATCCTCTTTGAGGGTTAACTTCTGAACAGGCTAAGGTAATTGCTTTAGATGCATTTTTTGGAGGCTTAAAAAATATTGTTTTTAATAGATTAAACTTTTAAAGAAATTCGGGTAATTTTGTCTTTTGTAAGAACCCCTTTTTATTTTTCTTCAATCTTCCTTTTATCATAACTTTGGTAAATAGCGTAAAGTGCCGTAATGCCAAATACTGGAATATGTATCATTGCCGAAATATTGGAAATAACGGGACATACAAACCCCTCCTAACTAAAATACCTAGTTCGTACAGAGAGGAAAGACAACCTTTTGTTTCATACATACCTGCAATCAAACAAAAAATGGTTATCGTTGTGGCCTTCCTAAATCTAACAATAAACACTTTTTGACTAATTTGGGTTCTCAAAATTTAAAAAAAATTAGGAAGAAAATGAAAAAGGGAAGTCATAAAGTTCAAAATTATATACCCAAAAATCCTTTTATTTAAAAAAAAATAAAAACCTTTGGATACATTGCATTTCTTGCAACATCATCTTTTTCAAAGAGAAGAACACTTTCTGCTCTAACTTTATCCAAAATATAATTTAAGACTGTTGGATTCTCAACATCTAAAACACGCAAAATTGTTGTAAATTCATTTGGAGGCTCTCTTCCAAATAAATCATATTTTTGATCAGCAAATCTATTAAAAAATATTTTGAAATAATTAATTAATCGGACAGACCTCACTATAAGATATCCCTTGAGACTGAAACAATCGTACTTTATAATGAGGCTATCTTAAAAGAATGCGTAGCCTAGGATCCTCGTACTCCTCCTTCCCACCTACCTTTCCCAATGACCAACTTAATTTTAAAAAACCGTCTCTTAAATAGAGGTGTATCTACTAATGGATGTACCTTATAACGAGGTGTATCCTATAACGCGGTGTATCTTATAATGAGGCGTATCTTTATTAGGGAATAACGGGAGATTGTCAGGTAGCTCTCTCAACTAGAGGGCAACCAAATTTAAAAATAGTCTCCTATAATGGGTGTACCTTATGTTGAGGGTATCTAATAGAAAGGTCTAACTTAATAAAAATAAATTTTAAAAAATACTCTGTTGTAATAACATTCGGCTTTCTAATTTGTAATGTTTTGCATATTTCATCCAAAGCTTTTCGATCTTCTGAAGAATCACACAAAAAAGTTCCAATCATGTTTTTCAAGCAAAATTCTATTGGATTCGCCCATTTTTTGTCCTTCAATTTGATATAATTCCCAATAGGGCCAATTGGGCGTTTTTTGAATGAGTTGATGTTTGTGTCGATAAGTTCAAGTAAACGAGGCACATCTTTTCCAAAAATAGCCAATTTATCAGCCTTTGATTGTTCAAATAAAGTTTTCTCTTCAATAATGCGCGTTCGCCTTCGTTCTAATAAAGAATGCTGGTCAGTGTTTTCCTTAAAAAAAATTTTTTGAATAATTTTTAGGTAGTGAATAAGAAAAAAAATTAAAAAAACCTTAAACTCCTTCTTAAGATTCTCATATTCAACTTTGATTGAACTCAATTCATTAGTAAAAGATTCTTGTTCCGACTCGGCAGCATTCATTTGAGCAGCTATTTGAGTCAATTTTTCTTTTAATTTATTCTTTTCAGTTTCAGGATCATGACCAGAACTAAAAAAATTATGAATTAGTGAAAAAGAAAAAAAAATTAGGAGAGGAACGAAGAAAAACATAAAAATATCTCGATAGTTGCTAAAAAGACTATGTGAATTCTGGATTTTTTCCCATGTGAAAATGAAGTCAAAAATTGCTTCCCAACGGAAAATCCAAACGTCTATTATGCCCACCAAAAAGATTTTTTGGAAATTTTTCCCAATTAAAAAATATATTTTAAATATAACCTTCCCACTAAATCCTTTAGTTCTCTATTTGCTTTTTGTAATTGCCTCTCATATAAATCAATATTCCATTGCTTCCGTTTTACTTTATCGACCAAGTCATGATGATCAAAATTTAATTCTCTAGCCTTCCTTTTAAGTTCATTCAACTTTTCATTATGCTCTCTAAATTTAGCGGAAGCAGCACCGAGTTGTTCTTCGAAATTTTTTTGTTGTTTGTTAATATCCCCAATTTGCTTCTAAAAATTAAAAAAAAATAATTGTAGGAAAGAACAGATCCAACTAGCAACATTTTAAATGCTTACTAGTCAAGAGTTTAAGATATATATTATCACGCCACATTCGCACGACAGTAAAAGTTTTCGGTGCCTTGTCAGTGGTAAAGCCTGCACTAGGTACGTAGGACAGGCAATTCCGAACAACCAGAATTAAAAAAGTCCGGATATTCGAAAATTTCTGTTTAAATATCAGTTCCGGATATTTGGAGATTTCCCAAAAACCAAACCCCTAATGGTGAGTGAAAGGGATAAGCAATAACTCCAGGAAGGTCGCAAGATCGATGCCAGCCTGGGACAATATAAACCTTTCCCCTAATTATTTTTAATTAAAAAAATAGAAAATATACAATCAATTCATCCTTTTTAGCCAATTGTTCATCTTTTTTATCCTCATTAACTTTAAGTTTTCTTCCAAGTTCTTCAATTTCCTATAATTTTAAAAATTTAAAAATAAACCTTTAAAATTAAAAAAATAAACATTTTTTCCATCTCGAACAGGCGCCCAAAGTTGATACCAATAAAGTCGTTGAATTGCTTCTTTTTTGTTTGAAAGTTGATTTACAGCATCAAAACGCGCTTTCATTTGTTGATATTTTGCTTCTTTTGCAGTCTTTTCTTTATCCATAGATTTGACGACTCTAGTTAATTCGTCAAAAAGGGTGTCGATATTTCGAAATAAATCTTCAGCTCCGTCCATTTCCGAGCTCTTTTTGTATAACTTAAAAAAAGTGGAAAATTTTTTAATTGGAAGGATTAGGCTCTAGTTCAGTTTATGAGTTCCATAAAGTTTTAGATTTCCATTGGATTTAAGGATAGGTTTGGGATGGGCTTCAGATACCCCGGTCAATCACTGAAGTCTAGTTGATCTTGAGAACTGTATCATCATCACACCGCCATCACTTCTAAAAATTTCATGAACCTATCAGAACTCCCTAAAAATTGATAACAAAGTCAAAGTCACATCCCTTGGCAGCCAACTAGTTAAAGGTTTCCAACTCAAAAATTGTTAAGGTACACAAACACACCCTTAAACCCAAAAGCATAAACTGGACAAAATTAAGAAAAAAAAATTTTTAACCTCGTAAAGTCTTTGTGGCTTCATTGATTGCAGAAACTGTCTTGCTCTATCCTGAGAAAGCCAAGAAAGCGGATTTTCCAAATCAATGTTAAATTGTTGAAGTATTAAATCAAGTTCTCTTCTTTTCCCAACAATTTCCTCTTTGCCTTCATTTAAACGAGTTTTGATTGTGACAGTTGAAATTTTATGGGTAATACGTCGTTCAACAATTATAATGTCGCCGTAATCAGGTATGCTGTTTGGGCCTTCGTTTGAAATGTGAATACGGATTAATGAATAACTTAAATAAAAATCAATTAGAAAATCAGAAAAGATCAAAAATAGGATCAGGACCAGTGCCGAACTTTTTTAAATTAACAGTGCCGGCTAAAAAACATTGATTTTTCCAGCCGCTCCAAACTGAATCCTGTGGTAAATCAACGAAAAATAGGTATTTCATTAGTGGAGCCGGCACCGAAGCTAGCTCTCGGAGGCATGCCCAAAGTGACTAGGATTGATTAAGAGATCAGAGACATGAAAAAACCCAAAATAATTCAGAAGCTAATCAAAAGTCGGAGTATATTCCTCCTTCTCCTATAAAATAAATAAACCTTACTTTTCATTCTCTTTAATATAATCATTGATTCGCTTTCCTCTTTCATTTGAACGCCCAGCTCCTCCAAGTCCAATATTTAAGGCAGCAAATAATGCACTCTTTCCACTTCCATTTGGCCCAATGATATAAGAGCAATTGTACTTATTAACATCAAAATTAAGCTAAAAACAAGGAAATTAATTTAATGAAAAATATATTTTAAAGAATACCGTTAGGCTTGAATGGCACATAAAATTGACCAATTCAATGCAAGTTATCTTGCCAGCAACTAAAATTTAGATAAGAAATAAAATTAAAATTTTAAACCTTCTGGCATAATTAAAGATCGTTTAGCTAGTCGTCTATCATCAGACTGAAAAGAATCATCAAACCCTCTCTTTTTAGAAACTGCCAAGCTCATTTTTTCTTAAACAAATTTTGATTTAAATTCTAAAAAAATAAATAAAATCAACAAAATAATATTGAAAAAATAAAATTGAGAGAATAAAACTTAAATTTAAAATAATTTAAAAAACTGAAATAAAATGTTTTTATTTAAATGTTTTAACAGCACATGAGTGATTACAACAAAGACTCGATAAACAACAATGAAGCGATTACAAGCACTAATGTGCATGGGACTATATACAAAAATACACTTTTTTAAGAAAAAGAAGGGAATAAACAAGACGTGAAAAGTGAGTTCTTAAAGGAAATTTTTTAAAGAAGAAAATTGTTAATCACGTTTAGAGCATCACAAGTTTATTTAACGGGTCAATAATTCGACTTGAAGAATACGATCGGGAACCGGATTTCCAATGAACGCTGCACTTGGATCCTTTAGGTTCTTATCAACACGTTTGAACAAGATCTCACACCGATCTCCGGATGCTTGAGGACCACGCTGAAATAAAAATAGATATTATACAAGCTAGAATACAAGTTTTAGCGTCACCTCACGCAACGCGTGGATTTTAGCAGTGGAGCTACAAGCCAAAAATCCCATTATAGGATTGAATTTAAAGTGAGTGTTGTCGGTGGACATAAATTTGTACGCGTATCGAATCTAAAAACAATAAAAATATTCAAATAAATAGCAGTAAAAATATTAAAAAATGACATTATTACTGGAGCCCGGATTTTTAGGCACTAAAACGCGCTAACTGACCATCACTGACCACTGTCTTTTTCGCTTTAACTCATCCCTCATTTATTATACATGCAGAATTTATAAGGTAATTAGAGAAAATTGCCGAGAAACTTTATTAAAAACAAGGGAAGTATATACAAGGGAATTACCTTATAAATTCTGCATGTATAATAAATGAGGGATGAGTTAAAGCGAAAAAGACAGTGGTCAGTGATGGTCAGTTAGCGCGTTTTAGTGCCTAAAAATCCGGGCTCCAGTAATAATGTCATTTTTTAATATTTTTACTGCTATTTATTTGAATATTTTTATTGTTTTTAGATTCGATACGCGTACAAATTTATGTCCACCGACAACACTCACTTTAAATTCAATCCTATAATGGGATTTTTGGCTTGTAGCTCCACTGCTAAAATCCACGCGTTGCGTGAGGTGACGCTAAAACTTGTATTCTAGCTTGTATAATATCTATTTTTATTTCAGCGTGGTCCTCAAGCATCCGGAGATCGGTGTGAGATCTTGTTCAAACGTGTTGATAAGAACCTAAAGGATCCAAGTGCAGCGTTCATTGGAAATCCGGTTCCCGATCGTATTCTTCAAGTCGAATTATTGACCCGTTAAATAAACTTGTGATGCTCTAAACGTGATTAACAATTTTCTTCTTTAAAAAATTTCCTTTAAGAACTCACTTTTCACGTCTTGTTTATTCCCTTCTTTTTCTTAAAAAAGTGTATTTTTGTATATAGTCCCATGCACATTTGTGCTTGTAATCGCTTCATTGTTGTTTATCGAGTCTTTGTTGTAATCAGGAAAACAAGATCATGCGAAACATAATACGAATCCAATTCTCAACACACAGGGCTAAAAAATAACAGAAATAATAGGGGTAAAGGAATGGATATGAAATAAATATAGTAAATAAATGTTAGGAAATAAATATATTTTAATAAAACTGTTAAGCGTCATGACGTTGATGCTTCTTATAATGCTTCATGCAGTGAATGTTGCAATCCATCAATTCAGTTTTTCCACAATTGTGCACTCCTTTCTTCAAAATCGAGCATATCTGAAATTTATTTTTTAGCGGGAAATAAAAAGGTTGAGACAAATTAAGAGGGAATTCAATTTTTTAGTTAATGTGGGAATTGTTTTCAGTTTCATTTGTTAAGAGTCCTTGGCCTTACAAAAGTCGCTAGAAATTCTAACCCCTAACTACGGACCATATTCTAGAGTTTTGGATACTTTGTATGGAAAACGAAACCCCATCAATGTGAAGGCCAAACAAGTACTTATTCGTGTGGAGCAAACACTTAAAATTCCCAGTGGAAAAACTAGAGAAACCGTATCAGAATGAAAATTTGGGCCCTTAAACTTGAAAATCCCCATAAATCGGTTAAAGAAAAAACCTCATCATAGAAACGCGCCTCTACCACTTCTGGCGTTTTCGACCATTTGAGGATCACATTAAAGATCGCACTCATTAGACAATCATATTTCTTTGCACTGGAAGGAAATTTTTAGAAATTTAAAGTAAATAAACATACCAATAAATTCTTCCAGTTTTATGCATTTGTTGTTTAGTATAACTTTAAGAAAAAATAAATATATTTTCAGATAGTTAAGCCTTCTCGAACGATAAGCCCCCTCATACATGCCGCCCATTGATATTCGGATTAGGGTTGGGGGCCCGGTTCGGTTCGACAGATCGAATCGGGCATCGAATTTTGGCCCGAAGACTCGAACGGCGCGGTTCTATAAAAATGAAGCCCAAAAAAAGATTCAAACGTCGGCTCGGTTCAAAAAATCCAACCCTAATTCAGAAAACAAGTGAAAGGATGTCAAGTCAAACTAAAACACAGTTTGGTATTTTGGGAGCTTTTAGGGCTTGGCATTTGTTCAGTATTATGGCGGCGCATGGGGGGGGGGGGTGAGTTGTCATATGGAAGTGATATTTGAGGAGGGCCACGTGTTAGAGAAGTTCACGCGTATTGGATCTTAAAGTGAGGCCCGACTACTAAAATTCAAAAAATACCGAATATCCGAATACGGCGTCGCATAAGTAGATCCACGGAATTCCGGTTGCGGCCATCTAGTATCCCACGGAATCGAGTCACATAAAATGTGATACAAGCAGTAAAACCATCCTAAAAAATAATCTAGTTTTATATTAAAAATGTCAATTTTTAAACCTTCAACATCGTCAACAGGAAATGTCCGCTTAAATTTTCAAAAAAAATTTTTTTTCAAAATCTTTAAAAAAACCCTTGATCCAGTCATTTGAACCAAAGGGGCAGATTCTGTTGTACCATCACCCTTTGAACCGCGTATTTTTTGAACTGTTGGTTTGCCCGTTTCAACATCCTTGTATTTTTGAGACAGTTCAAAGTCGTAAATGTAGAATTTCAGACGATGATCCTTAGTTATGTGAACTCCAAAGTTTTCCAATTTGACATCCCTTGAGACAAAACCAAGTTGATGAAGTTCCTTCAAGGCAAGGAGAGTCTAGAAATGAAAAACATGTTTTTATTTTAGGCGTTTATCTCCCCACATTTCCGCAAATGATTGTCCACAATTTTTATTTATTCCTTCTTCTACCTACTTTCTTCTCATAGAGATTAGAAACGGTCAATGATTAATAATGGTGAGTAGGAAGGAATGAGAAAGAAGAAACAAAAATTGCGGACAATCATTTGCGGACATGTGTGGTTTCCATCTTGTTCTAAGCAAAAATGGTCAAGGACCAAAATGGTCAATTGAACAAAAGGCCCTGAGAGACCATCCACAAATAAACTAAACATCTGACCATTTTGAGACCTGAGCATTTTATAAAAACTGATATCTTTATAAATATTAAACCGTACTTCACGAGCAGCCTTAAATCTCATTGCCTCAGACAATCCAGGTATATTTGTAAGCCACATTTTGACATCTCTCAGATTATTATATCTTAAAAAGATTAAATTCAGAAGTTTTAAGTTCAAAAAACCTCGTCATAATGTAGAATTTATGTAGAGTATTATGACTTTTGAAGAAAACTGGGAGTTCGCCAGAGCCGAGTAATTCTTGTATACGAGTGAATTTGTTGCCAGGAACAGATTGTAGAGTACGATAGACCTCCATCTTAAATTAATTTTTTGAATGAAAGTTTAATTGAATAAACCTCCCTCTTCCAAGCATATTCAGACGAAGCTTTGAGGGCAAAACATTCTGACTCTTGTTTTGAAATGTACACTGTAGATCTTCTACCGTAATGGATTGGTCTGTCGCAAACATCGCCAATTGAAGCAAACATCGCCATTAAGGGACGCTAATTAGGAAATATGAATAAAATATATTAGGAATATTACTGAAATTTTAAAAATATTTACTGTAATACAAAAATGACAAAGATTAGAGGGGGTTAACTTACCACGAGCTCAACTTACCGCGGAGCTATAACTTAATTGTCGAATCCAAGACGCACTGGTATGTTTCGATTCAGCTTGTCGAGGCGCATCGAACCATACCAGTGCGTCTCGGATTCGACAATTCTGAAAAAAGTTATAGCTCTGCGGTAAATTGTGCTCGCGATAAGTTGGCCTGCTCCCGATTAGAGGGAAGACGCCCAAAACGGCGCGAGACCATATCGGCGCAAAGCCATAACTTGATTTAAGATTTCCTAATCTTCCAGATTTAGTATCAACCAATTCCTCTCATCGAGCTAAAGAGATTGGTATCAAAAGTGACAAGGGCCAGACATTTTCCAGCAAGTTATGGCTTAGCGCCGTTATGGCCGCGCGCCGTTTTGGGCTGTACCCATGATAAAGATTAGAGAGAACATCCCAAAACAACACACGGCCATAACAACGCAAATCTATATCTTGCTTCAAGATTATGGAATTTTAACAAATTTAGTAATCAACGATTCCCCTCATTGAGCTAAAGAGATTGGTACCAAAATTGATAAGGGCCAAAAATTTCCAGCTAGTTATGGCTTTGCGAAGTTATGGCCGTGGGACGTTTTGGCCTGCTCCCGATTAGAGAGAACACGCCCAAAACAACACACGGCCATAACAACTCAAATCTATATCTTGTTCAAGATTTCCAAACGTTAACAAATTTAGTAGTAAACGATTCCTCTCATTGAGCTAAAGAGATTGGTACCAAATTTGATAAGGGCCAAAAATTAGCCAGCTAGTTATGGATTTGCGTTATGGCCGCGCGTTGTTTAAGGATGTACCATGATTAGAGGAGTCTTTAACACACACAATCTCATATAATATTCTTAAATAGATTTATTCGAGTTGGATCAACATTAAAATGTGTAGCCGAACAAAACCGCCCTCAACCGACGCCAAGCCGGTTGAGAGCAGGATAATTTGACATAAAAAACACAACGCCAAAATTAATAAAAAATGATTAAATTTAATAATTCAAACTCGTTGTTTCAACCTGGGGCTATTTTCCGGCCCATAACTTTTTTTTATTTTTCTGCGATCTGACTAATTCTTTTGCGGATCGATAGCGCTTGATCTAAAGATTATTTTTCTTACTGGATCGATATGCTCTAATGACTCTTTAAAATTTATAGACTAGCAAAGATCGAAAATCACGATTACGCGCACTTATCCAGATGTAACTTTTTGTAGGATGGTCTGATCAAATCAATCCTGTCAGCTAAAATAATCCTCACATTCAGAGCTTTCTAATGATATAGAAATTATTTAAATCGGTTAAAAATGAAAAAATTTATGGCCCAAAATATGGGCTTAAGATGAACGTCTACCCTTAAAATAACTAATTTACCCCTTGAATTTTTAATTAAATTCAAATAGAAATTTATTTTATTAATTACGATTGTTTTCTAAATCTCATCTACTCTTTTTTCTTTTTTGTTTATTAAAGAAAACAATTTTCACTTTTAAATTAAACCAAAAACGTTCACCTTTTCTGTCAATTCGTTAAACAAATTGAAAGAATAAAATAGAAAAAGGGCAATTTATAAAAACAAAAAGTTTAAATGGAACGTGTTCAATCTACTAAAAACATTTTTGAAGTCTACTTATGTGGTCTAAATAAAAATATATTTACAAATTATTTTGAATACAGTTGAACCTCATTGTCAAATACCCACTTGTGGCGGAAAATGTACACCTTATAATGTCAGTATCTTATACTGAGAGTTTACTAAATAGAGGGTGTCGATTAGGCCCTCCTCCTGTCTCACAGTTTCAGGATAATTGCAGTAGAAAGAACATCAAAATATTGCAGTAGAAATAACTCCGCAAAAATTTTGCGGACAGTTTTTGGGTTTGCGGACAAAATTTGCGGATTTTACAAATTTGCACCTTCAGCCAGCTAACTTTAGCTTCCGTATCTTAGATAGAGGTGTAACTAGATTGGGGGTAACTTGTTATGAGGTTCGACTTTAGCCAATGTATCGTTTCAGGTCAATGTATTATTTTATTATTAATGTTCAACACATTTTTTTAATAATTGTTTTCTTTCTAATTAACGACTGGTCAACCGATTTGTCAGTTAATGCAAGCTTTGGAAGACCTACACTTCCAGCTAGACTGCCAGCACATCCTCCTCGAACTTTCCCCAGGCCCAGACCCAATCAATTTAGACCCAATCCACTTAGAGCCCCACCTCGTGGGCGTCCCTTTACAAATGCACCAGTTCAACGGAATTTTGGAGTAAAGGGAAGAAATTTGCCTTTAGCCTCTTCTAGGTACTTTTTACAGTAAAAGCTCATTATAAGATACTCCCAATATTGGATACACCTCTATTTAAGAGACACCTCTATCTAACATACGCTCTTCAAAAGTATTGGTTGGCCACTGGATAGAGATTCAACGAAAATCTCTATTTAACATGCCCTCATTATAATAGACTTTTTTACCCCATGTGGGTATCTTATAATGACGTTCGATTACCAGTCCTCTTTTTAGAAATTAATTTTTTTATTTTATTTAGAAAGCCTTTCGGACAATTAAGGGCTCCTCCTGCCGCACATTCATTAGCACATCATAGACCACCAGCAAGTCTTGCTCACATTCCTTTAAATTTAATTTTTACTCCTGGAGCTCCTGGAACTGGATAGAAGATTGAAGAATAAATTTTTTTATATTTTAATTTAGTATTTTTTATAGAAACTTTTTGGATAAATAAATAGAATTTATGACTAAAATATTTTAAAAATATTTTGTGGACATTTGCTGATTTTGCGGACAAAAAAAAACTGTCCGCAAAAATTTTGCGGACAAAATTTTTGGATTTGCGGACAAATTTTGCGGACTTTCTTGAGTTCGAATATATCGATCGACTTATTAATAAAATTTTAATAGTGATAATATTATATCTAGTTTGATTTTCGTCTCTCGAGTTGAAACAGTTGGATTAATTTGAGGACTTGACCAAATGGAACTTTTTTATGCCTTTATTTTTTTAATTTACAATTTAAAAATTATTTTTTTCTCTTTTCAATTTTCCAAACATAAAATATAGTCAATTAACTGGTTTTTAAATTAACGCCCATTATTAATCAAAATTTTTGATTACGAATATTTTTGCTCTCACAATCTTTACGCATAAACTTCGATTTTTATTTTGCCTTTCTGCATATATTCTTACTTTATCGAGTCGTTTTCTTAAATTTAAATTAATTAATAAATTTAAATTCTAAATTTTACAACAAACAAACTCTCATTATAAGGTACCCCTTTGGGGCCTTTAAAAATCGTGCCTTATAAAGAGGTGTATATTAGATAGAGGGTATCCCTTGGATAGCTCCTCCCACCCATTGGCTAACCACATTTTAAAGAGCGTCTCTTAAATAGAAGTGTACCTCATAATGGGAGTATCTTATAATGAGGTGTCCCTTATAACGAGGTGTACCTTAAATAGAGGTAATCGTTTAAAAAGCTCCTCCTACCCAATAGCCTACCAAAAATTAAAAAAACGTCTCTTAAATAGAGGTGTACCTTATAACGGGAGTATCTTATAATGAGGGTTGACTGTATTTATTAAATAATATACAAATTAGTAATCCTGCCGACGTCAATTCCCACCAAAACACAAACATGGAAACTCGGTGAATTATAAAAATTGAGGGAACTATCAAAAATAAAAATACAAAAATTTCTATTTTTGTAGGTTAATTCACCAAAATTAAATTACAAAATTCGCCAAATAAAATTACCTACCAAAATTTTTGCCAATTAATTTTTATACACAATTTTAGAATATTATTTAATTAGATTTTATTTCATTAATTTTCTTTTTAAATTTAAAAAATTCCTATGAGGTTTATAATGGAGTTGCGCGATTCCTTCCCAATAGCCTTATTTTCGGTTGACAGTTTAGGCAAAGATTTCGTTATTTCCAAGACTACTTTCACGGGAGACTAGACAACTCTCTCTCTCGAGCCTAAGCCCGTTGCGGGTTTTGGGAATTGTTTCCATAAATCAAATAAATTTTAGAAGCCTAAAAACAAATAAAAAATGAATTTACTCTTTTCTATTTTTGTATTCTTTGTTATGTTCAATCTGTGCTCCTCTCGTTATGGACAACGTAATTATTTTTTAGGATAAATTTTTTTATAAATTAAATTTTAGCCAACAGATACGTTGATTATAATAATAACTACAACCAACCTCCTACTAATAATTATAATAATTATTATAGTGGAGGGAGACAACAAGGAGGGTGGGGGCAATCTAATAATGGAGAAAGTGAGTATTTTATTGAATTAAAGGTGGACCTCATATTAAAGATGTAGCCGATCTTAAGATGCAGCCGACCTCACTTTTTGATACCCTATTGAGGCTGTGAAAATTGTCTCTTATAATGAGGTGTATGTTAAATATGAGGTATCATATTTCTTGAACATTTCGAGTCATGACCATTCTGAGTCTGGCTATTTTGAGTCTGACTATTTTGAGTTATGGGCATTTTGAGTCTTTGATCATTTCGAGCCTCTGACCATTTCGAGCCTTTGATTTTCTAAGTCTCTGACCATTTTGAGTCTCTGAGTTTTTGAGTCCCTGCCTATTTTCAAGTCCGTGACCATTCTGAGTCTCTGAGTTTCTGACCATTTTGAGCCTCTGACCATTTTGAATCATGGGCATTTTGAAGCCTCTGACCATTTTGAGCCTCGACATTTTTTGTCATGTGCATTTTGAGTTTCTGACCATTTCGAGCTCCTGACCATTTTGAATCTGAACATTTTAGGTCTCTGACCATTTCGAACCTCTGACCATTCGAGTCCCTGACCATTTTGAGTCTCTGACCATTTTAAAATTATTTATAATTTTAATCTTCAGATTGGAATCAACAACGTCCTTATCAGCCTTATCAGCAGTACAATAACGGAAATAACGATGACGACAACCAATCACAACAACAACAACCCATCCCACCCCCACAACCACAAACCCGAAATAGCGAATCTCATTCTTCGGTTGCTATTTGTTTAATTTTTTGTGTATAAAATTCTTTATATAAAAAAGATTCCTTTGCCACCTGGAGCACCTGGAACTACCGAAGGGGATTCATAAAAATTAGAGAGAGAATGAAGTGAAGAGAAAAACAGCATTTTATAATTAAAAAATTTTGTAAAAAAAAATCAAAGAAATTTTTAGAATAAAGGAGTGTTACGACAATTGCGGATCCGACAAGTGAAGTTTAAAAATAATGTTAAAGTGACAGTCCGTTGTGGAGTGCTGTCGGCTGGAATGCTAGCTGAGCCCTGTCTTTTTTTTAAATTTTATATCCACAAATGTCGCATTCGCAAATGTCGTATTGAACAAATATTCAATTTTTGAAGATTTTTAAATAAATTCTGTTGTTTTTTTCCAAGGCATGATTAATGCGGACCTACCTCATTTAAGGTAGGTAGGCTCTTCAAAGTTTAGTTGATTGAAGGGGGAGGATGCCTAAACGAAACCCTCTATACCAGGGTTGGAGTCTTCCGCGTTCCGCCTTCCACTTTTTAATTTCAAAATGCTTCAGCCCTGCTCTATACCCAATTATAAGACCCAAGGGGTATCTTATATTGGAGTCCAAGCTTATTTTAATATTTTTTGGGGTATTTTTCAGTAAAAGTGCTTGGTGAATTGCCAGACACGACTTTACTTATTTTTGTGAAATTCACGTGAATTTCCTTTTGAAATCTGCCCCGTTTTGCACTCAATTCTATCAATACTACATAGCATATACTCCTCTTTTTTGCTTACAAATGGCTTTAATCTCTAACTAATGTACATAAAAAGAATGTTGTGAAAGAAGCTTAAATTTATTGTCTACTCCCTTTTTTTATTTTTTTTCTGTGCTTAACTTTTTAAGGTATTTGGCGACATCCAATACCCCTCAGTTTTCGGTCTATTCGATTTTTAAAAAATTCGGGTTTTTTTTTGAGTATTAATCAATTGTCGGTTTTGTTTAGGAGGAGAGGTGAGAATTTCCAAAAAAAATTTTTGAAGAAATTTTTTGAAAATCTTGAAAACAAAATTTTGGAATTTTTTTTTAGAAATTTTTCGATTTTTTTGAAAAAAATTTTTTCTGGTTTAGAACCAATCGGCAACAACTTTGTTCGTCTTGACGAATCCGTAAGGCATGGTCTTTCTTACTAAATTCCCCCTACCCCTACTTTGCAAGGTTCCGTGACTTTTGCGCCGTGAACATTTGCGCCGCGACTTTTGCGCCGCGAATTTTGCGCCGCGACTTTTGCGCCGAGCGACTTTTGCGCCGGGGGACTTTTGCGCCGCGACTTATGCGCCGGGCGACTTTTGCGCCGAGCGACTTTTGCGCCGGGGGACTTTTGCGCCGCGACTTATGCGCCGGGCGACTTTTGCGCCGGACGACTTTTGCGCCGCCACTATTATTACTAATTATAAAAAACTACAGCGGGCCTCACTATAGAAAGGCCGAATTCGGCTATCCGGCCTTTTTCAGATCCGGATATCTGGACCCGACAACCTTAACTATAGTGCACTCTCTTCTGGCAGAAAATCATGCTTGAATAGGGGTAGCAGACCAAATATCCTGATCCGAAAAAGTCAAGTTCTTTGAAGATGACACCTCTAGGGGGTCTGTTTATTAGAAGGGGCTATTGTACTTCCTGAAATATTGTACTTCCTGAAATTCCTTCAGTTCCTGGACGCCATTTTTTAAGACTTACACTATAATTATGTTCGACTGTAGATATTATTTTTTATAATTATTGCGGCGCAAATGTCGCGGCGCATAAGTCGCCCGGCGCAAAAGTCGCGGCGCACAAGTCGCTCGGCGCATAAGTCGCGGCGCAAAAGTCCCCCGGCGCATAAGTCGCGGCGCAAAAGTCGCGGCGCAAATGTTCTCGGCGCAAAAGTCGTGATACCCTTTGCAACTATTTCAAATATCAAAGTTTGCTAGTAAAAAATCGAAAGACACACAATGGCCGGACATCAACAAATAAACAAAGCACTTATTTACTTATTTTTTTTTCTTACTAAACTCTAAACACTTTTTTGTTTATTATTAGAACGCGGAACTAATTGTTTAAATAAATTGGTCAATAATTCTTGTATTCTTTTAATCATTTACTTCCTAATTAAAAAATGTTTTTGGTAAATGTCCAGTTGGCGGTCTACATGTCCGCAAAGAGAATCTGTTCTTTTCTTTCCTTTTCTTACATTTTTTGCGTTGGGAGAAGTGCTCCGCTCATTTTTCCTTTTCTGCCATTTTCCTTCTCAATACAATAAGTTTTCCTTTTCCTAATTGCAAAATAAAAATAATACTTAAAATTTAAATAATTTATTTTACAAATGAAAAATTTTGGATAACATTCTCAAATAGATTTATTTAAAATATAGGCGGATAATAAAAACTGGGAGGGGAAGGATGGATATAAAAACTGGGCTCATATCTTTACTGAATATCGATATCTTGATAACTCAAAAATTAACGTAGAAAAGGTGTAAAAGTCTCTTTAAATATTGTTTTGAAATTTTTAGATCATTATTAGAAAGCAATAGAAAGTTACTATAAGATAGCAATAATCTCCAAGATTTCAGAATTTATCGATGTAATTTTTATAATCCAAAATTTTTCATTTGTAAGATAAATTATTTAAATTTTAAGTATTATTTTTATTTTGCAATTAGGAAAAGAAAAACTTATTGTATTGAGAAGGAAAATGGCAGAAAAGGAAAAATGAGCGGAGCACTTCTCCCAACGCAAAAAATGTAAGAAAAGGAAAGAAAAGAGCAGATTCTCTTTGCGGACATGTAGACCGCCAACTGGACATTTACCATGTTTTTTGTCCGCCAAAATTTTTAAAAATTAATTTAGCCAAAACTTCAATATAAAATACCCCCAATATTGAATACCCCTCTATTTAAGAGACTCTCTAAAATTTGGTTGGCTATTGAGTGGAGCTCTTTAACCAATACACCTCTAATTAAGATGACCTCACTATTAGAGATACCATATAAAATAAACCTCACTATAAGATACCCCCAATATTAGACACACCTCTATTTAAGAGACTCTTTAAAATTTGGCTGTCCACTGTGGAGGAGCTGCTTAAGCGCTAACCTCTATTTAATACACGCCTCTATTTAAGAGACACCTTATTATAAGAGACACTCATTATAAGAGGCACTCATAATACATCTCTATTTAAGCGACATCTCGTTATAAGATATCCCCAATATTAGACACACCTCTATCTAAGACACCTCATTATAATATACGGATTCCAATGGAGTATCTTATAATGAGATGATACCCTCTATTTAAGCGACACCTCATTATAAGAGACAACATTTTCAGCACCAAGGGAGTATCTTATAAAGAGGTCCGACTGCTATTGTGAACATTCAAAATTTAATAATTTAAAAAGGAACAAAGTTCACAAACAAAAAATGATTAAAGTTCGCAATTAATTTTTTAAATTCCCCTCACGTTTCTTTTTAAAATTTAATTTATAATCCTTTTCTTTCTTTTAATATTTTATCAAAAATCCTCCAATGTCACTCAAAAAAAATTTTTTTGAGAGTGTCTCACCATTTTATTTAATTTTGTCATTTAAACATTCTTTTTCAGCTGACTACAAATTTAATTAAAAAAAATAATTTTTGGGTTAATATTTTACCCACTGAACCTCCCGCTGTTGTAAATGCCTCCTCTCCCCTTATTTGTTAGGGCTAAAAATTTAGTCTCTTATAATGAGGTGTAAAATAGACGGTATCACCTCATTATAGGGTACTCCTAGGATACTTCACTATAATTCGTATCTTATAATGAGTTGTCGCTTAAATAGAGGTGTACCTTATAATGAGTTGTCTCTTATAATGAGGTGTTCAGTGTTCATTAAATAGAGGGTATAGCTTAAACAACTCCTCCCACTCTATTTGCTAATTTAATTTAAAAAAACGTCTCTTAAATAGAGGCGACTCTATTATTGGGAGTTTCTTTTCTGCTGTATTCACAATTTTATTTCAGATCAATTCTTTAAATTTTCTAGTTTTTATTCCGAATTAAATTAAAAAATTTAATTAAAAATCTTCCTGCCCCTCTAATATGGGACAACAACAAACAACAGGAACAACAACATCAAATAGAGAACAACAAGAAACAGAGATTATGCCAAGTACGAGTAGGTAAGGACTGTTTAGAGAAAATTTTTTGGAACAATTCATAGTCCAGACAATTAACTGAAAGACCCAGACAATTCACCGAAATACTCTAATATACCCCCTCCCCACGTTCTTTAAAAGCCCAAAAGGCCTATTGAAAAATAAGAGCCCGGGGCTTTAAATAGATAAAGAAAATTTTAATTAATTTTTGACACATTTTAAGGAAATAATTGTGTGTGTGACTTACATTAGTCATTTGTTTCCATTTTTCTATTTTCAAACTATAACGTAATTTATCACGCTTATTTCTGTTCTACTATTGTTACCAAAAATAATTTGTACATGTGAGATAATTAGATTAAGAGGATTAATTTGGGATTTAACGTGATGATTGAACTTATGAACAAAAAGGGAAAGGAACCGAAAGAAAATTGAGAGAGGTCCTCATTTTAGGACAAAATACCGTCCGGACAATACACCGTCCAACTATTTTTTGGGACTCTATTGGTCCGCGTCTAAATAACCCGCGCCTAGATATCCATTAGAGACCATTAGAGATCGAGCTGGGTCTGGACCGAGGCCTGGGGTTTTTCATGTACCCAGAGTCTAGGCCTGGGCATTTTTTGACCTTCCTGGGTATTTCTTGGGCCTGGGGGTTTTTCTGGGGGGTTTTCTAGGC